TGATTGCTTTTAAAATAATTGGAGCTTTCCTGTCTCTACAAAAAATTGTTAAGTGAAAACTGGTCAAAGGTACAACACTCTCCCCTATATATTCTTTTAATGGACATTGGTTGCCTAAAGAAATTATAGAACTGTTGAACAAAATCCATGGCTTCTGTGTAGCTGACTACTATGCTAGGAAAAATGGTTCAAGAGGTGGGTCAGCAATTTTACTAAAACAAAATGCAGGTATAGAATATAAAATAAGAAATGACCTTAAAATTGTTAATGAAGATTTTTATTTTAAATGTTCCATCATTGAAATTCTGAACTTTGTAAAACCGACAATAATTGTATCGTTATACAGAGTACCATACAAGTTCACATTAGCTAGTTTTCTGAAAAAGTTACAGTATTTATTAAATAAGTTGAAAGGGAGGAAAATGTTAAATGTATTAATAGCTACTAATTGTAATATTTATGTCTTAGATAATAAGGCTTCAGATGGATTTTTGAATGTTCTATATTTTAATGGTTTCAAAGTCAATGTTATGGAGGTGACCAGACCTAGCAGTGGAACTTGCATTGATAATATTATTACTAATGAGAAACATGAGATAGAAAACATCCTCGTTAAAGATATAGGTCTTTCTGATCATAGTGCCATTTGGGCTACATTACCCAGATTTAAAGAAAATAAAAAAAATAAAGAACATGTCCTTAAAAGATATTTTACTCCAAATGATATAGCTGAGTTTAAGAATAAAATTAAAAACTTGAAATGGAAGGTAGAGCTTGGGAAAAGCGTAAATGATAATTATAACAATTTTTTAAACGACTTCATTTTGACCATGAATGAAGTATTTCCACCTAGACCTCAGAGAGTAAAAAACAAAAAAAGAAATACAATGGGTGACAGAGGGGATCAAAGTTTCAAGTAGAAACAAACGACGTCTTCACAGAGAGGCAAAGGAGAATGGTGCTGAAGCACAACATTATTACAGATCTTAGATCTTACAGACAGTTATTTAAAAAAGTGGTTAGAGCAGCAAAGCGAAGGGCAAATGATCAATACATCAAACAAACAAAGTGCAAAAGTCAAGCATCTTGGAAAGTGATTAAAAATGAGCAAGGAATGAATACAAAGAAAAAGAACGATTTTACAGAAGTACTAATTAACGGATCCATAGTTAAAGACCCCAAAGTTATTCCAGATTATTTCAATGATCATTATCTAGACATAAGAAAGAAACTGAATATTCAAAGTAAACCAGAAAAGCTGTTAACTGTTGTAAAACAGGGATAAACTCAAAAAGTTTGTTTTTTGAGTTCAGAGAATTACATGTTAATGAAATTTTAAAGATCATACAATCACTACCAAATAAGGGGGAGCGAGCTGGCGTAGTGGTTAGAGCGCGGGACTTCAGTCCCTGAGGTCCCGGGTTCGATCCCCGCCAAGTCACCAATGGATTTATCTAAGTGATAATGCCGCAACCCCTAGGTCTAGCCCGAAGTAATGTGAAAAACAATCCCAGGCTCGTGCCTAGCGTACTAGGACAAAAAAAAAACAAAAAAAAACAACTACCAAATAAGAAATCTACTGGTTGGGACGAGATTCCTGTAACCTTAATCAAGGAGTGTAAAGATCATCTTGCTTTGCCAATCTGCACATTTATAAACCAATCATTGTTAACTGGTGATTTTCAATCAAAACTTAAAATATCAATTGTTAGGCCAATTTATAAAAAAGGTGATGAAAATTTAATTGAAAACTATCGCCCAGTCTCACTGTTACCTGTTATTTCAAAGATATTTGAGAAAGCTGCAAATTTACAATCACAGGAATATCTAGAAAAAAATAAATTAATAACTAAAAGTCAACACGGTTATCTAATCTCTTTAACAGATAATATTTACAGAGCATGGGACAGGTCACAGACTACTGCAGCAATTTGTTGTGACCTGTCAAAGGCATTTGATTGTGTAGACCACGATATCCTGTTAAAAAAATTAGAAGTATATGGAATCAGAGGGTACAGTTTGAAATGGTTTAGATCATACTTAACTAATAGAAAGCAAAAAACATCTTTAATAATAGATAACATGAAATATGAATCAAAATATGATACTGTAAAGTCAGGAGTTCCTCAGAGATCAATTGCCAATGAATATTAAGGCCGAAATAGTAATGATTGCAGATGATACTGCAACATTAATTAGAGATAATAGCACGAAAAAAATAGAATTTACAGCTCAGACAATAATAAATGAATTAGAACATTGGTTTAAAATAAATGGACTATTGCTGAATGCTGACAAGACAAATATAATTCACTTCAGAAGTATACAATATAGAGAGGGTGAAATAAAGATTAAAGTTGGCAACAATGGTTTAAGTAATCAGAAATCTGTAAAATTATTAGGTGTAATATGCGATGAAAATCTAAACTGGCATGAACATATTATACCATTATGCAAGAGACTAAACACAATTTGTTTTAACATGAGCTGCCTTGCACACTGTACCAGCATAGAAACTAAACTAATATTGTACTATGTCTATTTTTATCCGTTCTTGAAATATGGAATAACATTATGGGGTTCATCAAATTTAATAAAAAACGTCTTAAAAGTACAACAGAAATTCCTAAGAGCCATGACCCTCAAACAGCCTGGAAGCTCATGTAAAGAGATATTTAGAGGTTTAAAGATACTTACAGTAGCCTACCATGTATATACATCTTTGAGGTTCTGTGCCATATTAAAAATAATTTAAATTGGTACTATATTGAAAAAAATAGCCACAATTACAATACTAGTAACCAGGATTTACTTATATACCCTCATCACTCTACGACATCTTTAGAAAAGAGCATTCACTACATGGGAATTAAATTGTACAATAAACTCCCAAATGCCTTGAAAATTCTAGCAATGAGTCCAACACAATTTGCAGATAATGTTAAGAGCATTCTATTAAAAAGGCCAATTATAAAGTTAGTGATTTTTTAAATGATTCTCAAATATTATAAGCTGCTCCTGTTCCTCGCCGTAACATTTGATGATAGGTAAAAATTGATTTTTCAATGTTAGCCTTGTTGAATTTTTAATGTTAGCCTACAAAGATAGATAGCCTATATATTTTTTTTCGTTATGCAATTTTACAAATATTTTATTGACTACCATAAATCTTTTGTACATTTTTTATGTTTTACAGATATGTTTTATTATTAAATTATATAAATCCTGTTATTTAGTTTTAAGCTTGACAATATCTTTATAAATTTTCAGATAGACTATGCAATGTTTAGAGATGTTACAACATTTTTTGGTTATTAATACTAAATACGTTTAAGTCTGTTATTTTTTTTTTGTTTTAAGAAAGGACTATTTTTAAATGTTATAAGAAGATGACGAAGCACCTGTACATTTACCTGTAAACTCTGTACGTTATGTGCCAATAAACATGATGATGATGATGATGACGAGTGTCACCGGACATGAACTTACCACGAAAAACAAGCTTCAAAATTTAAATGTGATGTGAAGTTTACTTGTGGTTAGTAGTAATATGCTCCCAATTAGTTTAGACATACTTCAATAGCATCTTTGAGCTGCTGCCAGTCTAGTCCTACATTTTGGATTCTGTCATCTTGTTTGTTTTCACATAGATGAAGTGTAAGTTTTTGCTAACTCGAAATTTGAACCTTCTAAGTCTGGCTGATTATTTGGTCTTCTACTTATACCTCTGTTTTTCCTTTCTTATTTTTTATCCCACTTTTTGTCTTACTACGATATAACATATTTCTACTATTTTTCACTTTAAACTTAAGATGACCCATAAGGATTCAAAAGGAGATCTCTTAATGAGAGCACAGGTCGAGTATTACATTAAATTAAAGGTAGTCCATCTATGGGTATAACATAGTGTCGCAAGTCCAGCCTCAAAAAGTTAATTCTAGCCAAAACAGCGGTGATTTAGAATCACAAGTTAGCGTTATTTAATAGAGCTTATCATTCCTTGTCCCTAAAAGTTCCGCAATAGCTATTTTTTGTTGTAACCATTGCAGATAATGGATCAAGGAGCACTTAAGTACACGTAAGTACTGTTACCTACTAAACAAACTCTTTGAAGCAAATTTAATGTTTTTTAATCATACATGGGACACTCCACAAAGGGTCAGAAGGACATTTTTAATGAGAGCATAAATCAAATAGTATATCAAACTAAGTGTATTAAAAATTAAATGAAAACAGTGCCGCAAACCTGACCAAAAAGGTTGGTCCTATCCAAAACAGCAGCAGTTTAATATTACAGGGAATAGAAACTTACTTGAAGGCTTCGTCTCTGGCCGGTATTCCGGATAGACTGTGTCAAATTTAATTTAAAAACTGAACTGAGATGGCGGCGAGTTAAAAAAGTGGCACGTCATCTAGTTCGTTGAATGAGTAGATAGGCCTATTTTGAAGTTTTTCCTTCACTGAGGTTTTAAACCCAGCCACATCCATACTTCTGACTTCTTCAGGCAGACTATTGAAGAGTTTAATTGCGGTCACTGGGAAGCTATTCAGGGATTTGGACAGTCAGCATTGAGGGGTGTCGAGGTTAAACACTTAGCTTTGTTAAACAAGTTCAAGATCGTTAATTCAATCTGCCGCTGTTTTGGCTGGGGAATTACCTTTTAGTTTAATGTACTAAGTTACTTGACTTATGTTTTTTTAAGATTTCCTTTCGACTCCGTCTGGTCCATCCCAGGTACGATGGAAAAAAATTATATTTGGTTGAAAAATTATATTTTAGGTACCGTACTTATTTACAACGTTTTATTGCATTATCTGCAATGGTTCACAAAATAAAATATCGTTCCCAGAATACCTATGTAATTTTATTAGGTACTATTTTATATTGTTAGGGTTATACTTTTCTTAGGTACTTCTTGTTTGAGTATTCAACCTGTTCATCTCCATTGAGATTAGCTGCATTGTTAAGTCAAAGATTTATGTAAAACCTTTTGTTACAGTTTGCCAACGAATTGTGGAAGAAATCGAAAAAGAAATAGACAAAACAAGTCCTGACAAAAAAGTTGATGTAGGTAGTTACAGGCTTGATGGAAACGGGGAGATGAAAAAATCATCAGTAAGTCTGTAGTGCAATTTCAATTTTACAATTACTGACCTTATTATTTGTTGTTGTTGACGAGTATGGTATCAATAGGAGATCTCGCAAAGTTAATCTTATTCAAGACACATTTATTATACAGTATTAAAAATCTTGTCATTCTTTTATATTAAAAACTATGACTTTGAAAGCAACTCATAGTTTTTAATATAAAATAATAGTCATAGTCATAGTCATAGTCAAGAATCTTTATTCATAGTATGCATAGTTGTACATGAATAGTGTCAAATAAGTTAAAACTAATGCTTAAAACTATGATATCGCCATTTTCAATTCGTCTAACGAGTACAAGGACAGGTCCATTAAATATTCCTTGAGACGTTTTTTAAAAATGTTGGGTTTTTGTTCTGTTTTAATTTTCAAAGGAATAAATTTTAAAAATTCATGTCCTGCATTGACAGTCTTTTTTTTTAAGAGCTCTAATTTGTGTTTTCCAATTACAAAATTATTTTTGTTACGTGTATTGTAGTTATGATTATTTTCTTTAATTGGTGGAATAAAATTTTTGTTTTTGACAAACATAATACATTCAAGAACATACAAACCATAAACAGTGAGGATCCTTAGACGTTTAAAGTGTTCTTTTGCAGAATCATCTTTGTTCATTTTTAACATAGCTCTGATTGATTGCTTCTGTATTGTCAAAATTTGGTCTAGATTCGAATTTGAGGTGGCTCCATATACACATATGCCATAAGATATATGGGATTGAATATGGGAAAAATAGATCATTTTTAAAACATCAACACTGCATAGTTTTGACATTTTTCTAATCGCACAAAGACCAGAATTTATTTTATTGATAACAAGTTTACAATGTTTGTCCCAAGACAAGTTGCTGTCCAATGTCAGGCCAAGGAACCTTACGGCTTCTGTTATTTCAATTGGTTGGTTATTTACTTCAATATTAGGATTGGAATTGTTTTTGTTTTGTTTTGTTTTGAATGTGACACATTTGGTTTTACTTTCATTTAATTTTAAATTGTGATTATTAAAAAAATCCTCAATACAAGCTATTTCTATTGTGGATAGCAACTCAACATCTTCTGCAGTTTTCCCAGATACTTTAAGATTAGAGTCATCTGCATAAAGATACAAACCTGTACATGGGGCAAAATTTAGACACTTTTTAAAATTTGTTAAGTAACAAATGAAAAGTAAAGGTCCCAGGACCGATCCTTGAGGTACACCAGATCTTATTGTGCCCATATTTGAACTGTATTTTGATTTATAATTGTCTTTAGTGATGTGAGTTATTTCAACAAACTGTTGTCTATTTGATAAGTATGATTTAAACCAATTAAGAGAGTTATACCTGATTCCAATTTTTTCTAATTTAAAAAGTAATAGTTCATGATTAACGCTATCAAACGCCTTCGACAAATCCATGAACACTCCCAACACGTGCTCACCCTTGTCAATTGACTCAATGACTGATTCGACAAAGCCAACAATCGCTGTAATAGTGGACTTATCTTTCCTAAATCCGTGTTGGATGTCTTCTAGGATTGAATTTTCTTCTAAGAACACAGTTAATTGATTAGAAACAATTTTCTCGTAAATTTTAGATATTGGTGATAGCAAAGATATTGGTCGGTAATTACCAATATCTGTAGCCTCATTAGATTTAGGAATTGGTATTACTTTAGCAATTTTTAAATTGTCTGGAAAAATGCCACTAACAAAAGAGGAGTTGATTAAATGAGAGAGAATTTTACTTAGCTGCTTTCTTACAAATTTTATGACTGACATTGGAATCCCGTCATGGCTGGAGGATAGTTTGTTTTTAAAAGAATTTATGATTTTTTCAATTTCATCTTTATTAGTGTCACGAAAATAGAATTGATTTTGAATATTGACACAGGTTGAGCCGGTTGGAGATAGTTGTTCACGGATATCTCTGGAAGTCTGTTGGCTACAAGAAGGGGACACATTAATAGGCCTGTCCTTCACAACATTAATAAAATAAGAATTGAATAAATTACTAATTTCGAGAGGATCTGTAACTCTTTTGTTTCCATTTACTAAAAATATATTATTTGTGCAATTAACTGAACTTTTCCTGGTTTCTGAGTTTATAATATCCCAAGTAGTTTTAATTACATTTTTGGATTTCTTAATCTTGCTATCATAAAACTGTTTTTTTACTTCAATCAGTTTTTTTCTATATATTTTATTTCTTAATCTACCTAATTTTGCCAAATTTAAGTCATTATTGAAACGAGCTTGTTTATTTATTTGAATAATCTGTTTTTTCTCTTCCCTTAAACTGTCATTTATCCAAGATTTTCTTGTAGTTCTTAATTTCATTGTTCTTTTGGGGAATGATAAGTCAAAGTAGTATAAGAGCAGTTTGAAAAAAACATCAAATTTTTTATCAACTGGAGAAAAAATAACTGTCTGCCAATTTTCAGCTTCTATGTAATTTTTAAACAATTCTTTATTTTCTTTACTAAATTGTCTCCTATTGTCAATTATATAATCAGTATTACATTGTTTAGTTTGTGAATTTAAAATTTGGAGAATTTGACCGTCATGATCTGACAGTAATGTAATTACACCGCTTGCTTTAATTTCATCTTTTTTAAAGTTAGTAAGAAAGTTATCTATTGCTGAAGTTGATCCATTAAAAACTCGGGTTGGAAAATTTACAGCACAACTCATATGAAAACTCCTTAAAATGTTTTTCAACCTGCAAAGTGTGTTTTTTGCTCGATTGTTGTCGGTTTCCAGTACATCGATATTAATATCACCTGCAACTATTAAATGTGTATTTTTCAAATTTTTGGAAACAAAAGAGTTGATAATACTCTCAAGCCTATCCAAAAACACATTAACATTGCTCTTTGGGGATCTGTATACACCTAACAAGACAAATTTAACCTTATCAATTACAAACATTGTAGCACAACACTCAAACTGCTTCTCTTCCAGAATACATTCCTGATTGGGAATAGCCACCCGTGACCAAATTAAGTGCTCTTTACTTAAAATTACAACTCCTCCCCAATTAGAACTTGTACGGCAAAAATAAGAGTTGAGCTTGTAATGTTCAATGTTCAAACGATCAATTTCCTGCAATTTTATTTTGTGTTCTGTTAAAACTATTATATCGGGGTTTATTTCATCAAGAACAATTTGTAAGGACTCTAATTTTGAGGCTAAGCCTTGGATATTTTGATGGAAAATTGTTGTATCTTTGAATTTTAAAGTTTTAGCTATGTGACCAGAGTTACCTTTGGAGAGCAGTTTAAAGAGGGCACGGGTAGACTAATCCCATCATTACTACTGTGGGACTCACTAGAATGACCATTAGCACTTTCACTGGACACTACAGAAGCTGATGTTGGTGAAGCTGATGTAGGACTGCTCCCTCCCTCAATGGTGACTACAGTTGACTGGGTTGGAGTTGCCTGGGGGCTGGACAATTTCTCAGTTGTCGACTCCGGGGATGCAGCAGGTTGGGCTCTAACCACTGTGGTTGAGTCAGGTGGCTGTGTTTTTGAAGCAGGTAGATTATGACAAGTTGGTATTGTCAGGGACTCATCACCAATATTTTCTTGTGCCGCTATGCTCACTAGTTGTGTCTTCATGTGCAATAAATTTGTCATTTTGTGGAGAAATTCTGTATGAGACAAGCCGTTTCTCAATTCTCTGTGGGAGTCTTGATGATAGGACACAATAGTAACATCTGCCTCGGTTTCACGTTGAAAGTCGACAATGTTTGAAGTAAATTTTTCCAGTTTAATTTTATCTCGCACACATCCGATTGGTGAGCATATTAGATGGTGAAACCCTCTTCTTTTGAAGTCGTTTTTCAGTTGGTGAAAGGCCGTGTCATAGTCCCAGTTGTTAGGTTTGCCATAATAACGGTTCTTTGTTATAAGGCTGTAGATTGAGGCCCCTTGGGTGTTTTGTAGGGCTAAGTGGTGACTAAGGCATTGGGAGGGACTTGGTTTGCCAAAATAGTCTTTGAAGACAACTGCCACACCAGCAGACATATGGCGGGAATCACAGAAGTCAGCCGAGATGCTATGTGCAAAAGCTACAGTCCGATCACTCCTATACTCTTCTATTATCTTTGACATGTGCCTGTCCGTTACATAGATTCTAGGTTTTTCAAGATGATTTTCTTGATCAATATTAGCCTGACAGTTCATTATTTTTTTAATTTTGTTAGTGATAAGGCGATCCAGTACGTTTTTTCCTGTATTGTTTAAATGGAGGCCATGATTCGTAAAGTGGTATCTCCTGAGGTTATCAAGGTCCACCACATGTACCGATTCCAGTCGAGCTCCTAATTCTCTGATATAGTGGTTAGCCAAAACTATATCATTATGCATCGGATGTGTGTTTGATAGGTCATGTCTGTGGGGTATAGAGGTTATTATAACTGGTTTAGTTAGACTTAATTTTTTTAATCTTTCTTCTAAGGAGGAAAATATTCCGGATAGATCATGTCGTAGTGTGTCATTTGTTCCTCCAATGATGGTAATGATTTCTTCTTTACAATGCAATGCAGTTTCAGCGACTTGTATAAGCCCTGCATTTGGCATTACTGATCCTACCACCCGAAATTTTTCAGGGTCACTTTGTTCAATCTTAGGACCAATATTCCTTCCTTGGCTATCTGAATACACAGATATTTTTATTTTACTATTGTCTTGATTTTGATGATTTAGCAATGGTGGTTTTAATTCAGGTAAGTTATTCTGCGCTGTTATGTTGTGATTCCTCTTCTTTTTTTTATTGTTATTGAAATTCTTTGTTAGTTGAGCTTTGGGTAGTTTAGTCTTCTTTGAATCCGTATTCTTTGAATCCGTATTACCATTATGTGAACTTGATGTATTTTCTTTATTTTTTGTACCTAACCCATCAAACAAAAGATCGAGTAATGTGTTTTTGTTTAGATGCATAAATGAATTATTATGGGTAATTAATGCCAGTTTTGCTCTTTCACATAAAATTTGTGATTCAGAAAAAACTTTAGGTAGGGTCTGTTCAAGTACTGTTAGAGATATTGAAGTTGGCTCATTCTGGAGTCTGTTGGCTATGAGCTCCGCAGACAGTAACATGTGGATTCCACAATCTGCTAAGTTTGATTGCTGCGGCGATGTGACGTTTGTGACCGTTGCGCTCATTGAAGGGTGATAGACATTCATTATCTTATCAGCTATTGTCATTGCATGTGGAAGGTTAGCATTTTTTAGTGAGTCAAAATAATAGAAAACCTTCTGGAGCACATCCCACAGCAGAAGGCTCCAATGTGTTCCTGATCCTCCTATTGGTTGAATGTTGGATGAGTCATTTACTGCTATAAACACAAATCGCTTCTTATCAAGGTTTTGTGGCTTGAGGATGTCTTCATAATCATTAAGGGTTTTAATGGCCAAAGCTATGACAGGATTAACAAAAAATGTTTCCTTGTGAAATAAATCATTCAAAATGTCAAAGATAATTCTAATTGTGTCATCCGTAAGCCATTTAGACTCTAGTAGTGACAGAGTTATATTTCCTTTATCTTCGATTTCATTTATTGTATTATTATATTTATTTTGAGGTACTTCTTTTGGAGTCGATGTGATTGTATGTAGGTTGGGTTCTGTGGGACTATTTATGGTACATGATGTGTCGGAGCTTTCAAAGGTCGAATGTAACATACTTGTATCACTTTGGTGTGTGTCGTTAGTAGATCTGGACTTTGTATTATTTTTCCTAAGTTTCATGCTAGAATTAAAACTTTGTTCAGCTTCCTTCAAAGCATTATTAAATTTGATGTTTTTTTGCTTAAGAACACCATACTTAGATTTGTTTTCTTGAAACAAACAGATATCAATTTCCTTGATAAAGCCTACTTCGTTACTGCCATAGAAAATAACTTTATATTTCTTGACCTTGTCGTTGGATGCATCAATCCCCTCAATCACAGCAGGCCAATAAGGATGACCTTTTACTTTAGCAAAAACCCTATCACCCTTTTTAAATTTATACTTATTGTCCATAACAGTTAAAATTGAATTTGTTTATGTTTACTAATGTCCACTATTTTTAGGCTTAAAATGAAAGTACTTGACAGACATGTAAAGACAAAATATTTTTTAACTTTTAAAAAGGTTTTAACTTCAAATTTGCATAAAAATATTAGTTCTGGCAAAATCACTAAGTAAATAAACCAAACAGATAGGTCAGCAATGCTATGCACAGTTATCTCACTGATAACAGCCCTTTGACCTACACCTAGGTTGAGGCCAAGGTGTGCTGGGCCAATTAGTTGCTGGATAGCCTTTGCAGAGTAGGTACTGGTTTGAGTAGTTTATATTAGTGTTTCAGTGATTTCAAGGCAAATACCTTAAACTGCTGTTAAAATCTACTTCCACCGTTTCAACAAATTATATGGTGTGTATTCTATTGATATAGGCTAGTAATCAATTACATATTCACACAAAGTTTTTGAAACAAATTTTCAACAAAAGTTTTTCAGTAGATATATAAATAAAAATAAACTCACAAATTAAAATAGTTTTCCTTCTGAAACTGTATTTTCACAAAATAAAAATTTTGTCCATGGTTTAAAAAACCTGAATATAGGTTAACTTGGTCCAGTACTTGTATAAGCTGATTTAAAGATTACTATTCTATAAATCTTTAAAACTTAATTTATCAAAATATTTTCCTCTCTTATTTCTTTCATACTTATGATTTTTACAAAATTTAGAGTAGTTAAAACTATTAAAATTCACTTAAACTGTTGAGCTTAGAAAACACTGTTACTTATTCTTGTTTGTGCTTGCAACTCAATTGACATTTTAGAAAGCAAATAGATCATAAATAAGAATTCTTTCATAAATTAGATTCCTGAGCTTTATTTTGGTAATATCTATCTACATGTGTACAGCTCCTGACTTCTAAGCTGGCACTTGGCCTAGTGCGGGCAGTGGGAGGTGGGTGGAGGTAAGGAAAAGACCAGACTGCAAATATTTCCGCTGCCTCACGGAGTTGACTCCTCATGTATCATGTACTTGAGCGCCTTCACGTTAGTCGCGAGGACAAGTTGACGCAACCCGCATGACGAGACATGATTTTTTTGAACCAGCTGCTAGTAGCGATCGGCCAAGTGCCAGCAATTAGATGTCACGAGCTGTATTCCAACAAATGTTGATGCATTTAGCAGTGATGGAGGTTAATTATATTCTATCAAAGATTCAGTAGTTCAACACCTTGACAGTTTCTGATTGGACCTATGCAGATAGTCACATTTTGCATTGCAAATGTTACAACTAACTCAACAGTTAATTAATTGATGTTTAATCCAATCATATTTTTTTTAATGTATCAGGTGAGCTAAACATCTACATTTCAGTATCGACTACTGAATAGCGATTAATTTGTACTCGTAACCACATTGTAATCTAGTAAAATAAATTTTACAAAATTTTTTAACTTACAACTCAATGTTTTTAAACTATGGTGCAATTATTTGGTATATTTTAATGATCACATGTTTATTACAATTGCAGGTAGAGTTAAGACGGTCAGAGGTATTTTTATCAGATGTTATTGAGAAGATTTGTGATAGAATGGAAGATTATGTCCGTGCCACATACAAATCTAATGGACAATTGGCTGTTTTAAAACTAGTCTTGGAAGATGGGAAGATGAATCCGGACCTCCAAGACGTAGATATTGTCACTGATGGTGAAATCCATACTTTGAAGTACCATGTAAGTAAACTATGTCAACATTTGGTTAAAGACTTTAGGCCAGGTTAAACACCCAACACTCAGTGGCGTACCGAGGGGGGGGGGGGGGGCGGTCCGCCCCAGGCCCCACACCAACATAGGCCCCCAAATCAGGGCCGTATTCCCCTAACTTCGAACACGGCCATTGCCGAGGGCCTCTTGGCCTAGGAAGGGGCCTTACTTGGGTCTCGAAAATTCGAAAATAAATTTTGCTTTTGAATATAATAATCTGTTCTCACAATCACCGGAAGTGTCTGCAAAGATTGCGCGATCGAAAATCACGACTCCCAGCGATCGCGGGTGATGATAATAAGGTCTTGCAACCGCAAATAGATGTTCCGTGTTCACAATTTCGCCGCGATTGCAGGGGACGATAATGTTGTCCACGCGTTCGCCGGAGATATTGACGATTTCCGCTTGTAGAATATATCCCTGTGTCCGCGAAAGATGTTCACTATTCCACCGTTAACATAGGACATGTTTACAATTGCTCCGCGGTCTCGGAGATAACCCGCGCGACCGCGGGAGACGGAGATTACGACCCCAAACACGGACGCTCACGATTTCGTCTTCACAGATGACAATATCTTTCTTTTTTGCCCCGATCACAGAAGTCGTTTGGACCAATTATAGTAAAATATAATGTATAATATAAAGATAGGGGCCTAATATAATTATATAATGTATTTTATACAAAAATAGTAGGCCTATCTCCTAAATAAAACAAATTTAAAGAAGTGTCAGAAAAAAACTTGATTTGTGTTACTTCTTGGAGTGCTCAAGCTTATTTCGAATCTCCAACTCATAAAAACTTAAAATGTTAAAAACTTCAAGGAAAATTTAATTTAGCATCATTCAATTTTTCTCAAATACAAAAATAGATTACATTTAAAATAGTTGAAGTAAGCTCATTTAATCAGTGATACAAAATACATTAAAAGCGTATATTTCTTTTTAATTTTAATTACTGTTTAGGGTTACTTTTTTAATAAACACCATGGTACCCTGTTTAAAATAATTTTAAACATAAAATTATTTTAAACATGTTAGGCCTACTATGGTATTTATTATTTCACTTGTATATATATATATATGTATGTAAAAAAGGCCCTCTCATCTAAGCCGCCCCAGGCCCGCAACTATGACAGTACGCCACTGCCAACACTCAAAACAGTTGTTATCTAAAAATGTTGTTTTAAAAATTCCGTGCTTTTGTTGCAGTGCATTCTTATTCCTTAAGCAAGGGTTGAATTGAAACTATCTTAAATGTAATATCCTGTTATCAATACCTAACTCAGTCTTAGCTGAAAGTCACTGCTCAGCTGAGCGTTTTCTTGCTTGTCATGTCATGGTAGCAAAAAAGGAGTTGTTATTGTTAAGCTTTAATAGTAGAATTTCAAGATTCAATAGTTATTTGTGTAACTAGTGAGCAAAATGAGCAATTGACTCACTCGAGAGAAATACTTACTCACGAGCCGTAGGCGAGTGAGGAATGGTTTCTTGAGTGAGGCAATTGCACTTTGCACTCGAGTTGCACATTATATTTTTCCTACAGTTTCCATAAAACAAATAAATTGGTAAAGAAACGTAACATATTTTAACACAGAAGTGAACTTTTAATATGACATTTAATGATACAACAGTACAACAACTGGCCAGCTGATTTACCAGTGCCAACTATTTACTGGTGGATTTACTGGCCAGTGCTGCCAACGTATTTCGCGCGCATACGACCTTGCACGTTGCAAATCTGGAGTGAGACAATGTTAACATTGTCTCACTGATGAGCAAATTGGCCACTTTGCTTTCTCAAATCAGTGAGAGAACATGTACATTGTTTGGTAACTGTAGGAAAAAAGTTTTTATTCATAATACAGTACAACTTTGTTATACATGAATAGTGTCTATTGTTACTTACTATCTAAATTAGCAATAAGAAACAGTTAAACTGTGGCGTATTTCAGCTACATTTTGGTGATTGTGGTCGTTTGATTCACTACAACGACCAAACTGTTCGTGTAGGAAACAACAACTGGATCCTTTTATTTAACTAGAGGAGACAAATTTTACCGGCTAATCACAGACCCAAAGAGCCAGCTTTGATGATTATTAATACTAATCGAACCATTTTAACTACAGAAATACCATAATCTTTGAATGTATGCAATAATTATTAATCAGTCAACTGGACACAACGTGAACTAACATTTGAGAAAATCCAAATTGAAAGGTGACGCTATAAATAAAATAAGCAATTTTGACTACAGAATCTGGAAATAATAATTAATGAAATTTAAACTAATTAGATATCTAACACCATACCTCTCGTGGGGGCCTTACCTCCATGTTCCCGGGTTCCTACCCCGACACGTCCATCTTCTTACGGATCACCGACAAAAAGGCCCCGTCCTCGCTTCCTCCACTGAGCTCACGTGCTCGCCGCGCATGTGCGATCAGTCGTGAGTTGAGTGTGCCTTCTTGGCGGGACATTTGAATTGGGTACCTCAGGTTGTGGAGGCTGAGCTCCACAAAACATTACAAAATACTAAACATTATTTAAAATTGGTATTACTAAAATCTTCTATACTGTAAGGTGCAAGGTCAAGTAAAATGCTTTCAGTTTTGTCATAAATTTAGATTTGTTTTTTCGTTTTAACTTTAACTAAATAATTTTTACCCCATGTATTATAATTATGCACAGGTAATTCTTGAGTCTCAGCAATATGGAAAAAATATTAAATTGTATCAAAAATATATAAGGCGTGAACTGTAAAATACCCACCCCTCTAAAATAGGATTTGGTGGACTGGTCATATTTTAATTTATGTATCAATCTGATTGTTTTTTGTTGTATTTTCAAAATCGTTTTTAAATTATTTGTACCCATCTTCAATTGCCTATTCTAAGTCTGAGTTGTTAATGCTTGTTTTAATTTACATTGATGATCTTTTTTAGTGTGAGAGCATCCTAGAGGAGCATGAAGACACGGCAATGAAATTATTCCGCAGTGGAGTCGACAACATTGACATACGATTGTGTTCAAATTCTGCTCGTTTTTGCAAACAAACTCTTGATGATGATTACAATTTTGAGGATGAAAAAGATGAGTTATAACTATAATGAGTTGTTTAGTTAGCTGGTAGAATCAAATCAGGTGTAACATCTTCCTTTTTGTATGAATCAGTATAATCTCTTACCATGTCAAATTTTAAAATGTGCCTTGCATCAAATCCTTAAACCTTAGGTAGGAGTTACCACAACGTAGCTGTTAAAAATTGTTTATTATACACTCATTTTAATTTAACTTTGACTAAATTTATCTTTGTTAATTTTCAATCAGAAGGGAAGTTAATTTGTTTTAATGAATTTCCTCTATAGCATAGCATATAAGCTATTGGATTACTTACTGTATTAACCTAATGCTGTTTAAAATACGGAATAAAATCTGACATGTTTGAAGAAATATTTTAGTTAAAAATTCAATTAGACAAATAGAAATTCTTTCAGTCTGCAGGTTTGCAGCGGTGGAGGTATTTGTGGGGGTATTTTTACTGAATAGTAGCGGGTTGTTTGATTTATTTAATATGTTCATCCATACCTAATTTGAAACGTTGTTGTCAGAAATATTACAATTATCGCATGATTTTATACTTGTAAATACTTAAAGTATTATTTTAATACGGTATTTGTATAAATGAACAACATTTAACATGAGAGAGACTGTTAAGTAATGAACAACAACAAAATAAAAGATAATCTTATTTTTATCGTGTAAAAATCGATAATCTTGAAATAAATATACACCTATATTTTTATACCAATATTTAAAAAAGCTATATTTTTAAAATCCATGTTGTCTTAGTAAATAAATCATAAATAAATTGTGATCAAAGAATTGTAAATAACTCTTCTAGGTTTTCAACATTAACATTAGAAACAAATAAATTATGTTGATGTGATTTTACAATTATTTTTAATTACATAGTTTTGTTAGGTTCTTACAAAGAACAGTAAATCAAGTTGTAAATTAATATCTAGATGTAATAGAGTATAACAATTTTAATTTTTAAACATTTGTTAAAATCATGTTACTAGCTTTACTTTTAGGTTACAACATGAACAACTTGTAATTAATCCAAAACAAATCGACATATTTGCAACAAAGTATAAAGAAGTCCAAACATAAGTAAAAAATGTAAATATAAGCCTAAAGATCTATGTAATATTGTTTTGAACTATCATCACCGACTTCAAACTTTCAATCAAAATTAACTAACTTTGCTTGTTTTTTATCGTGATGTACAGATGATGAAATTTTGAGTTTATTGCACAATATTGCTAGTGTATTGAGTTTATTGCACAATATTGCTAGTGTATTGAGTTTATTGCACAATATTGCTAGTGTATAGAGAGTACCCACCATTTTAAGTTATGAAAGTTTGAAGCATGTATGACAGATCATTTAATGGGATTTATTTAGGAAGTGTATGTATGTAGCTATTTTCTAAACAGTTTTGTGAATGCACTATAGGCAGGGCCGTATTTAGAATCTATGAAGACCCTGGCGGCTCACATCAAAGAGGTCTATATTTTAATTCTTTAAAGGCTGGAGCTTGGGGAGTTTTGAAATAGATGTGGTACAAGAAGATAATCTATTGTAATTGTGTAACAATTCACAACCATTAAATACATAAAAAGAAACTATTATATGTAGAGAAATCTTCAAATGGGGTACTTCACCTAGGAAAAATATTTTTTTTATTATTTTATATTTTATAATAGCGCCAAAAACTAGGTGAAGTTACCCATTTAAAGTTTTCCCTTCATCTAAGTTGTTGAGATAGTAATGGTGGCACAGTAAAGTTGTTAACCCTGTATAATATATTTTTTTTTTTAATCTGTTGTTTTAAGGATTTCTCAATGTGACAAAAGTGAGCTTAAAAATGACATACATGCATATACCAAAAATCATTGTCAATGGTATATTAAATTTAATTGCAAACCTGCTGTCGGTTTGGACAAAAATTAGATAATGGAGTAAACTTGTTCTTCTCTGAGGGCTTGTTAAGTACTGGATGCGGCAAAATATCTGATGGTTTTTAAGTAAAAAAAACTTAGACTAAACAATTAAATTGATATGAAAAGTTGAATTGCATATTGTAGAAAGGTGCTCGTGTAGATTAGTGAAAGTAACATCACAACAATGAATCAACTGTGTTTAAGATCTGAATATAACATCCTTTATACAATGCACTTCTTTCATTGAGCATTCCTCCAGTTTGGAGGTAAAACTATGGAACCTTTTCTAAGTTTGCACAAGGCATGTTGGCAATTTCATGGCTTATGGCTTTTCTCAGTTTGTCCAGTGTGCAGGGGTTAGTTGTGTAAGGAACCCCTACAAGAAAGTCACAAACCCTAACTTCTGGTGACCAGCCATGCAATGTCCCCGAAACTTGAGATCCCTTGACTGCAAAACTCAAATCAAAACTACGGCTCAGTACAATAATTAAAGAAGGAAACAGATTTTTATTGTTTTAGAGGTTGTGCTGGAGGACTGTGTGATTGGTGATTAAAGAACAAACTATTTGTCGAATCCCACTCCCTCTTCCCACCCAACCTATTGGAAATTGGAAGATGCAAGCTAATAACTTCCCAATAAATGAGCAAGCACACCCTTACACAGCCCAACACACACATACACTCTCATACTTTCACCCAGCTGATGTAAGAGTAAAGTTATTGTCTGTAGATTGAGATGATGTGCGTTTGACCGTAGGTAACATGGTAAAACCTAGACTCATGACTGATTTACTTTTTTATTTTAATGTCCCTAGAGGCCAAAAACAATATTCAGTGATATGTTTATTATATATATATGAACGTGATGTCTGAATATGTTGAAATGTACAAATGTGTTGGGTTGAATAAACTTGAATGAGTTCCCAAACCATTACTGGACAGTCACAAACATGATTACAATTGATTAAAAGTCTGGCGCATATCCTTCCTCCATACATCTTTCTAGAGCGTGTCTATCTCATCCACCCCTCACCAACCTTGCTCAACAGTACAGCAGCAAAAACTGTCATCTTAACTGTCAGCATAAATATTTTGTTGCATCTTGTATAAGAAGTACTGTAACATGACAAAGTTAGCATTTCCTTTTCATGTATTTAAAAGTGAAAAAATCTTATAATTATTGTAACGATTTCCTTTTGTGTGTATCAATATCCCCTGGCAATCAATTTGTAAAAAAACTGTGATAGAAAAAATATATTTTGTATTTTTTAGTTACCTGTGTTTCAATTTTAAACCTTCACTCTCTTTGTGAACCATTTTCTGTATTTTAAAGAACATTATACATATTCATTTAAGGATTTCCTTAAAAAATGTTCACCATACATTTGGAGAAAGGGGTTGACATGAAACTTTTTTGAGTAGAGAGAGTAATAAGTTTTTAAAGAGTATCATTATCATTATTGACTTTTGGATACTGAAAAAGACTCCAATCTATATGGACCAGCTGTAACCAATTTTATTTGTTTTAAATAGTTGTCCGAGCCAGTTATAGAATGCCCTAGTGTATAATATTCTATTTTCTGTCCTTATTTTTGTTACTGAGATAATTGACCTCACATATTAGGCCCCTCGCCTACTATACGATTTTGGTCGTACGACACTGTGTCAGACCGACCACATTCCAATTAGTGCAGTAAAAATAAGAAAAAAAATTCCATAAACCTAAAAAAAATTAGCACAACCGGTGAATTTGGTACAGATGTTGGGTATACCTTCCTTTTGAACATAATAAAAGTCCCCTAAAATTGAAGCTGTGCTACGGCCGCCATATTGAAAAATGGTGGCATATTTCTGTAATTTTTCGCTATAGTGACTTTATTATTAGAGATACAGGAAAAAGCTAAATATACAAAATGTAGTCCATCTAAAAATGCACATTTTTTGTATTTATCATATTTCTCTAAACCCAACGGTTTTATAGATATTTGTGATTAAGAATATTTAGTTTTTTCTATTTATCAAAAGCGGGTGAAACACATGGAAATTGACGGTTACTTTCATGGTTTAGGATAATTCATCCCATTTAGTTAAATAGTGTGATAATAAATATAAAATCTTAAAATTTTACTTTATCTTATGAGTAAAACAACTCCGCCACAGCAAACCTGCAGACTCAGCAAATTTCCATTTGATTGGATGTTTTATTGAATGTATATAAATAAAATTAGGTTCGACAGGTACATAGGTTTGCTGCTACATGTAGTTTATTATAGTTTGTTTTTTTAGTAAAATATTAATAACTTAGTATCAAATAACTAATTTTCCAAGTTTGATCATAATACATCTATAAACAAGCAAACTAAAACAGTTAACTTATTCATAAGAATTGCATGGGAGTTTTAAATTGACAATTATTTACAAATTTGAATATACGAATTTTGGTTGTGTTTACTAAACAGATGGCAATTATTTGTCACAAATCGAATATTAACTGAAGGGGATTTCAAAACGAGATGGAGCAAGTTATTTAAGTAATATTACGTACTTTACAAAATATGGTTAATTACCTCACTGCATACAATATGTCCGATACTTGGTACAAATTAATATTACTTAAATAACTTGCTCCATCTCCTTTTGAAAACCCCTTTAGTTAATATTCGAATCGTGACAAATAATCGCCACCTTTTTATTAAACACAACCAAAATGTGTATATGAAATTTTTAAATTGTAAATTTAAATAACCCCTGCTATTCTTATGAATAAGTTAACTGTTGTAGTTTGCTTGTTTATATATTTATTATGATCAAACTTGCAAAATTAGTTATTTGATACTAAGTCATTGATATTTTACTAAAAAAAAAAAACACTATATTAAACTCCCTGTAGCAGCAAACCTAGGTACCTGTTGAACCTAATTTTATTTATATACATTTAATAAAACATCCAATCAAATGGAAATTTGCTGAGTCTGTAGGTTTGCTGTGGAGGAGTTGTTTTACTCATAAGATAAAGTTAAATTTTAAGATTTTATATTTATTATCACACTATTTAACTAAATGGGATGAATTATCCTAATCCTTGAAAGTAACCGTCAATTTCCATGTGTTTTACCTATTTTTGATAAATAGAAAAAACTAAATATACTTAATCACAAATAACTCATAACCTGTTGGGTTTAGAGAAAGATAATAAATACAAAAAATGTGTATTTTTAGGGACTACATTTTGTATATTTAGCTTTTTCTTGTATCTCTAATAATAAAGTCACTATAGCGAAAAATACAGAAATATGCCGTCATTTTTCAATAGCGGCCGTAGCACAGCTTCAATTTTAGGGGACTTTTAGTATGTTCAAGAGGAAGGTATAACCAACATCTGTACCAAATTCCCCGGTTGTGCTAATTTTTTTGGGGTCAAAACATATTTTTATTGTACTAAATAGTGAACCATTGGATCTTATGAGTGCTCGCCCACTATACAATAATCTCACGACCACGAAAAACTGTTGTGGTGCAGTCGTCCACGTGATAATTGACAATATTATTTTGATTTAATTATTTAATTAGTGGTAGCAAAACCAGTTCTGTGGGATAAAACTTTTGACGATTCTAAGGATGCAGAGAAAGAAGTGTGGAAACTAGTTTGCTCTGTTCTGAGAGAGGATTTTGAACAATCGGAGGATAAAGGACATTCTACTTCAGTCGTTCTGAAGTAACTGAAAAACTTTTTACCATCACTCCGAAGTTCTTCAAAAAGAGTTTGGAATGCTCCAATGTATTCCCTACTTCAATTAATTGGGTGAATCCAGCACTTCCGCTTATATCGCACACCGCTTAATTCTGCGCCACAGCAGCCACATTGCAACAACACGTAACGGATTCATTGTTTTTACTATTTGACACAGAGCCCCTGTTGAGATATTTCGCAACACACACACACTCGTCGGCTACGTAGCAACTGGTCATTTTTACGATAGTGTCGTAAAGTGGGCGAGGACCGCACATAGATAAAAATATCGTACAACACAGTGTCGTAGGACCGAAATCGTATAGTGGGCGAGGGGCCTAGATACAGTACAGTACTATTGCTTAAAATAAGACATCCCATCAGTTTGGCCTGGTTAAAAATGTGCCTATGCGACAGAAATCAGTAACTTACATCAGTGGCTCCTTCAATTAGGTACATTTTGATTTAAAAAAAGATTTGGTACAACTAACTTTAACATGGGGATGGAATGTCTAGTTCTATCAATAGTCAAATGTATCATGTAGTCAACATTTTGGACACAGAACAGATTAAAAGCCTACGGAGTACCTACTTACTTTCCGTGTCCGGAAATCAGACTTCGCTTTTCCAAAAATGTTAGCTACCGATATGGCTTTGTCATTTGCTTGTAAAATATCATCTAATGTGCAAGACTGGTCTAGGCGTGGACAGTTCAGCAGATGGCCAGGATCCTGAACAGCACCACACGCACACAAGATGTTTTCTTCGTCTGGTAAGAGACCCTATTTCTGCATGTTTGTCTTGCATTTTGGTACCTCGACCCTAATTCGATTTAGGGTCTTCCACACCGTGTAATGCAGGCCTCCACCAGGAGCCAATTCCTCCCTGGCTGTTACGGGAGGGTTAGTCAACGTGGCCTCCCACCTTGCCACCCGATTGCTCGAGAGTGATCCATCCCGGACTCGTGTCCGTGATAAAAAGCTCTTTCTGGACCGAAGCCGTCGCTCTGCAGGTTGGTGGCCGTGTAATGAGTGACAAAGTCTCTTGCTTAGTCCTTTCTGCATCGGCAGCGACATCACGTCGGATTGATGGAGGGGCGAGCCCTATGATAGGATAGAGTTTGTGTACTGGGGTTGGTTTCTAACACCCAATTACAATCCGAGCCATGTCATTGACTGCAATGTCAACCTTTTTTGCATGTGACGATGCATTCCATACTGGTGCAGCGTACTCCGCAGCCGGCACGTTGAGCGCTAAAGCTGAGGTTCTGGGGACATTAGGGATAGCACCCCAGCATCTGCTGGTGAGCTTCCTGATAATATTATTCCTCGGTGAGACTTTACCCCATGTCGCAATACAATGCGCCTTAAATGTCAGTGTGCGGTCCAGTATGACACCAAGATATTTGGGTGTAGGATGATGCTGAAGACGTAGTGCCTATTCAAAAGTCAATAGAAGAATACTCTAGAAGATATGATTCAGAAGAATAAAGAATAGGTTAAGTGTGAGTACCCAAATCTAAATGATACTCTTCTGGGATAAAATACTATAACTACCTTCCTGAAATAATAAAATCTGAAAAGAGTTTGATATGTTTTGAAAGGAAATTAAAAAGATTTCTTGTGGCCAAAGCGCTATACAGTTTTGAGGAATTTTTTTGTGTTTAAGGTTATTTAAATAAATATTTATTTTATATATATAATGTATCAATTTTCTATCTAGTTATTAGGCAATATAATGTATGATGTATTGTTCTGAACGCCTTTCATGTATACTTTTGTATATATGTGAATAAAGTATCTCATCACCCAAATCACTATCAAAATCACACATGGGAGATGTAAATTAGTGGTGTCACTGAGATCTTCTGATATTCTCCATAAGCAAGTGTGAACCAGGTTTACACCTCTAGCATCTTGTTTTTATCAGAGATCTAGAAAACATTTAATTTGGTAAATTCAGACCATAGCAGATTATACAATCGCATTGTAGATTTATCGTCCTTAAGTTATACAACTGAAAAGAATTCAATCCGGTCTAGCTTATATAAGGGGTGTTTTGTTATTTGAGTGAAAATTTAAAAACGTACGTTTTCATGTCCCTGGCCTTTTACTTCGTATATACTGGATTTGTAGTTTATTATTATGCGTTTTAGTATTTTTTGGGACTGGGGCAACATGTTACACACATTTATTTGGTTTTAAATAGGTTCTAGGTATTTTTTTCGTATTTTTAAAGTCTCAAAATTCATGACCATGACGTGTCCCTAGGGTACATTTTCCAACTTTCACGCTGTTTTTAGACTAATTATTCATGCCGAGATATATAAAGCCATATTTTTATGTCATCAATAGTTATTAAACTTACAAAAAAGGAGCATATTATAATTTTATTGTCATTGCAAACTGACTACCATGACAAAATAAGTCTGTCCCTCGATTTGGCGTCACGACCATTTGGAAAAAATGTTCAACTTTGGAGCACGACAGTGGCAAGCCTGGCGTCGATGGAGTCAGTTGGTTTTAGAGACTAGTTCGGGGTGTACGTCAGGATTGTAGTGCCAGTCGTTTCGAGTTGAAAGGAGGAATTACAAGATTAATAAAGGAAAGATTGTGTTTTTTGTAATTTTGGTGTGTCCATGACCGTAGTTAGTCATTCGATGAAGTAGACATGGTGTTAATTTTTGTTTATAAGATATTTCAATAGGTAGATTAACCTAGAAGTCCACTTTGTATCCTCGAACATGAGGTGCAGGGCTACCGCCAGAACAGAGCCAAATAACACGTTATTTCACGACCAAAGTTTCACGACCATCGCAGGTTTTTTCATGACCAATCCAGCCTTTTGGATTATACTATGGTTGGTCGTGACAATAACTTAAATATCATTATAAATTGAACAGTTTAGTTCAATTGAAACACATATTTTTATTATAACTAACAGTATAATTGAAGGATTGTTTAGAAAGATGTAGATTATTCCAGACAATTCACGACCGTACCGCTTGTCCCTGACCATCACGTTTATGATTTCTATCATAAAAATTTCAAAAACTAAAATATCATCATATTTCAATGTTTTTATACACAAAAGAAGCACACCTCTATACAAACATAACGATTTTTCGGGTCTCAGGTAAGTTTTTTCGGAGTTATACAAATTTAAAAAGATTTTATTGGCTTTTTTACAATGTTTTGAGTTTTTTATTTTTTTCTAGAAAGACCAAATATACCAAAAGCTTAGTGAAATTTTTATTGTATAATGGCCATAAAAGTAAATTAATTTGTAGCAAAACATAGTTATAAAAATAATATTAACTATTTTTAATATTCATTTAAACGTCCGTTATGGTCGTGACAGGATTTTGTGTTTTTCCACTTAAGGTGCTCTTTTAAAAAAAAACTGCCAAAGATAATGCGTTACCATGGACAATTTATGAAACTTTAAATGTTAATGAAATAAAAAAAAATAATAAAAGTTTTGAAAAAAGGGGAAAAAAATTGCAAAGTGTTTTTCCTGAAAACGTACGTTTTTAAATTTTTACTCATTTAGGCTATTTATAAATTTTCCAATTAAATCAAACACTATATTTTTAAGCCAACGCTTGTCCATTGGTGTTATAATAAAAGATGATTTATCCTTATAAGAGTAGGTTATATTTATCCTTATAATATATAAGAGTAGGTTTTATTCACAAATCATAAAATCTCCCTAAAACAAGACGTAGGTGAAGTTGATCCCACCAGTGAGCACAAATTATTATACAAATCATGATGTAGCGCTTAATTTGTGCTTCTCAAACGTATATATGAAAATTTTGCTCAAACAATAAACAATTTTTATAAATATTGTGCTCTTTAAAGACACCTGAGTAAATGCGGAAAAACTGCCGCCAGTAATGGCGTCCTCCGCGCCCGCCACATTGAGCCGATGGAGCAAATCGGTTGAAAATGGTGTCAAAGATTTAGTAACCTAACCTAGCAACGAAGCCTATACTGGACGACTGACGACTTAGACTCTCAGACACTGGCGCGTTTTGTGTTTTTAAGAAAACTCAAAAGACTACGTTGAGAACAAATCATTTAATTTCCGTCATGATACATTCGCTTAATGAACGATTCCAAACTAAATCACTCTTTAACTGAATAGTGACGACTGGCACTGGCGGCAGTTTTTTACTGTGTGTTTCAATTGGATTGGACTGCAATTAAGTGTCTTTAGAGCACAGATTATAAACATTATTTTGATCCCTAAATCATTATACATTTCATTGTTCTTATAAAAATGTGTTGTAAATCATGCATATACAATATATGTTTTGTATTGGTTTACACCCCCAAACAAATTTAACACCACCAAGCATGGTTCGGTACTGTCTTTTTTTATAATCATTGCCTTTGAATACATCATCGATATTTCACTTTCACTCAACTCCAACTGTGTGTTATTCGTTCAGTTATTTGTTGCCATAGCAACGTCAAGTCTAACGACTACGAGTGCTACTCGAAAGGTAATAAATGAAAAGTAGGCTATTTGAATTAATAAAACATGATTTTTGAATTTGTGGGTACGAGTATTAAACTTTAGAAAATCGCTTACTATGCAAATTAATGCTAACGTGATGTTTACAATTTTAAATAACTATAGCATGATTCATAATTTTTAATGCAAGTTGATTAGTCGAGATGGGATTATTGGACAAATTGGTCAACATATTTGGTTTAAAGAAGAGGGAAGTAAAGATATTAGTTGTAGGCTTGAATAACAGCGGAAAATCAACGGTAGTCAACAATCTAAAGTCAGATGACACCAAGGCTAGTGAAATTGTCCCAACTCTTGGCCTCAATGTGGATAAATTCAAACGTATGTATCTTGTAGGTTATTGAATTTGATTTTGTTTATCAGGAATTATGCGAATTTAATTGCTAGATACCTGGTCCAAATTATAATAGTTACTTTTTAGTACCTAGCTGATAGTATGACCAACTCTTACAATTTGTCTCTTTATTTTATTTATTCATAAACTTTGATACACCATTTAAAAAAATATACTAAAATTGATGGCAGCAGAAGACAATAGCCAATTTAACAGTGTAAATAGTAGGTACCTATACAATAAGTAAAATATAAATCAGAATCGTTAGTCAAGATACATTTATAACTGCATCCCTTTGACAGCAAGACTGTTGAGAGAAAGTTAAAGTCAAGGGAAAATATTGAAAAGATTATGTAATAAACATCACCTTTGGGATCTTTGAGGATTTTATTATGAAGGCAAATATTTTTTGTTCACCAAGTTGCTTATATAAATATCTAAATTCTTGTCACGATAAAATTAAATTTTTTTTGCTGGTCATGCAATAGATCCTGAATACTAAATAATGGTGTAAATACCTGCATTCATGTGATCAATTTGTTGCTAAATTGCAACCGGTCTCGACTCACAAAGGAGTCATCGTCGGGCCAGTACAGATGTCTTCTCGCTTCATTTGAAGGTCGTCAATTCATGATAAATAAATACATTTAACACGCACACGTACACGAACATAAAAACAAACATTTAGGGCTAAAAACGAAAGATGATACAATACGGTAACGGGATGTATCATCTTTCGTTTTTAGCCCTAAATGTTTGTTTTTATGTTCGTGTACGTGTGCGTGTTAAATGTATTTATTTATCATGAATTGACGACCTTCAAATGAAGCGAGAAGACATCTGTACTGGCCCGACGATGACTCCTTTGTGAGTCGAAACCGGTTGCAATTTAGCAACAAATTGATCACATGAATGCAGGTATTTACACCATTATTTAGTATTTAACTGTGATCAGGAGGCTAAAATTCAATATAATGAAGATCCTGAATATTCATCAGTAATCAGAGAATTAAGAAATATAATTTTGTGAAAAATATAGGTTTCTGTTACTTGTGATATTTTCAGACTACAAACTACAACTGTAGTAATTAATATTCAACAAAGCAAAATCTTCTTGTATTGCCTATGCTTTTTGAAAATCAGACAACTCAGTCACCTACCAAACTTTCTTAACACCTAAGAAAGTGTACTTTTCAAATACTGCTCTTGGGGAGGACTACGGTACAATTTCTTTCAAATTTGTTAAGACAAATAATTTATTTGGGAATTGGTGAAGGAAAATCAATTAGCCATTGCTTGTTGCTTTGTTGGTACAGCTAATTATAAACGTTCATGCAAATGACCCTAGGAACTGGGAGCAAGTAATATTTGCCAACTTGTTTCCCTGAACAGTTAACACAATAAGACTACCTTTTTGTTGTTAGTTTTAAATTAGGTAATTTAAAAATATCTTTTCAGACCAAAATGTCACCTTTACTGCTTTCGACATGTCTGGACAGGGGCGTTACAGGGATCTTTGGGAACATTATTACAAGGACTGTGAGGGCATAATCTTCGTAATAGACAGCAGCGATAGACTCCGATTGGCCGTCGTGAGGGATGAGTTGGACCTTTTGCTGCAACATCCGGACATAGCCACACGTCAGATCCCCATTCTGTTCTTCAGCAACAAGATGGACTTGCGAGAAGCATTATCCAGCGTCAAGATAGCTGCAGGTCTGGGACTAGAGCAGATCATGGACAAACCTTGGCACATTTGCGCCACCAACGCTCTCACAGGCGAGGGTCTCCAGGAAGGCATGGAGTGGTTCACCCAGCAGATCTGTGATCGCAGCTGAACCAGCTTGTAGGGTAGAGTAAACATATTTCTGCAGTTTATTTTCACATTCTCCTCCTATACATAGAATATTGAGAAGGTGTTGTTTTCGTGAACATTTTTGAGTGGATATATCCGTTTTGGGTCCCCCTGAACCCAAAAAAGTGGTTTTCAAAGTGATGCCTGTGTGTGTGTCCGTGTGGTGTGTGTGTGTGGATGTGTGTGGAGCTACAGACCACACCTGTAGTCCGATTTTGATGAAATTTGGTATGTAGGTACTAATCCATAGTAGGCCTATCTAGGTGTTTTTTTTCAAATTTTTTGTTCAAAATTTTGATTTTATTGGTAATTTTCCCATAAAATCCATAAAATAACGGAAAAATTGGATTTGATCAAAAATGGCCCGAACGATTTTGATAAAGATTTAGTATGTTATAGTCATTTAAATTCTGGTTAAAACTACGCACATCCCTATTTCTATAAAAAATTACGGTTACAAATTTATTGTAACTTATTTTATTTTCCCATTAAAACCCATTAAATAAAATAAACAATTTTAAGAAAAAAGCTAGTACGTTATAGTCCTTTAAATTTTGAACATAATGGTACAAATCCCATTTCCCTAAAAATTAGGGTTCAAAAGTTATTGTAACTTATGTTATTTTCTCATTAAATAACCCATGAAATAAAAAAATCAAATTTCAGAAAAAAGGCGGTTTTGATTAAAACTAATGTGTTATGGTCCTTATAATTCTAAACAAAATAGTGCAACCCCCCAATGCTGTAACAGTTACTGCAACTTTTGTGATTTCTCGCTATAAAATATCTGCCGCTTATTACCCATGATAAAAGTTGTTGACAAGGTAATGGGAGAAAGTATGTGTCAGATTGCTGATATCATTTATTTATCTTGTGTACACATATGGTAGTGGAGATTTTAAGAGGAAGCCCCAAACCCTGATCTTGTTTGATTCAAGATCGACCCCTGCACTAGTTCATTACTGTGGTCACTACTGACTTGACTGTCCGACCTATATGGAACTCTTCTCAGGGCAGGTCCGAGGGTGAATTCCTATCAATGCAAGTTGCCATTTTGCCCCCTTTCACAAAAAACCACCACCTTACTTTTACTCCCTCAAAATAAGGTGGGATGGTTGTTTTTGCTTGTAGTAATTGTTGTCTAGGGTAAAAGAGTATTTATTTAGCAAATCTAACGTTTGACAAAATTTAAACTTCATCTATAAAAAAAATAATACAACTGAAAATACAAATAGTTAAATAACTTGGATGGACTAAAACCAACCTATCTGGTTGACCACATATAAGTTATAAGTATAAGTTTAGTAGGGTATAAGTTTGACTACATGTAAACATTATCTACAACAAAACAATACTACAAAAAATACAATTAGTTCAATTACTTAGATGGACTAAAACCAACCACATAGGTAAAATGTTTTTGTCCTTAAATTGTGTATGTATATTTTTCCTGAACGATTACAAGAAAACAAATGTATACTACAGTTGGAAATTAACCTTACAAACCGTTACTTTAAGTGAAGTCTGTAACTATTGATTTGACACCCAATTCTTCAAGAACTTGGTATTCAATGGAAATCCAAGAAAGTCGAACTACCATTATAAACTTATATAACCATTAGAAACCAAATAAACCATTATAAACAACCCTACCATTTTAAAGCCCTGTGCGGCCCAGGACTTGCTTGGCCCCCACGGTTCATCACTGACTTTACCTCATCACACATCTCACTAATGTATGGTGACGGGCAGTTGATATTTTAAATAAACCATTATATTTAAGTTATATTTTTGAAACCATTTAAGGCTTTTTTTTGTCGACTTTTTTTATATAATATGAGATGTATTACATAATGTATATACATACTTCACTGCTAGTTGGAAGTGTGTATAATATAAAATCAATATATGTTACTCTTAGTTGTATTTTAAATCAAACCCAGTTCCAAATTTGTAAATATCATCATTAAAGTGATAATGACATATCACTTCATATTTAGTGAATTCTATTGGGATCATTGAATTCAATATATGTATGATTTTTTCATGCATATCAGCTGATCAGCAATGAAGTAAAGAAAACAGGGATACCATTATATGTAAGCAGTTTTTGTTGTAAACAGTGTCTCACAATAATTGTAATATTTGGGTTGCATTTAATAAAGCACCCTGTAAATACATAAAGCATAAGCAACTGTTACCCATTATGATAAAAATATTAGTGGCCAAGTGGTCTGTGTAAATTCTCTAAAATCTAATACAGCCAAATAAAACATTTGCATGGCTTTTAGCTAATTTCCCTATAGGGAAGTAGCTATTACCGTAGGTGGCATGTTAAGACCTAGGACCGGGACCGATTTACTTTTTCATTTTTATGTCCCCAGAGGCCAAAAACACCATTCGTTGAAATTTTTATATATGTATATACAGGGTGGTAATAAAGTCCGAAGACAGTTAAATATTTTAAAAAATAATGTAGATAGAGCTACAATACTTGGTACAAAGTTACAGAGCAAAAAACTTTATTTTAACATATATTCAGTGATCCAATAACTCTTCAGGGGGACGGCGCCCACAAGGAGTCGGTCGAAAATCTTAAATGGAAGCATAGGTCAATATGCACTTAAAATGAAAGGTATTTTTTAGTAGAATACAATGCCGCAAACCGCACTTCAAAAGGTTGATCCTGCGCAAAATGGCAGCCGTTCAAAAATTTCTTGAATCTGCCATTTTGTAGCTTTGAACGACTGCCATTTTTTACTCAGGCGTTCTTTTGAGCTTTTTGTGAAGACCTTTAATTTGATGTGCATATTGACCTATTCTTACGTTAACAATTTTCTTCCGATTCCTAGGGGGCTGTGCCCCCTGAGGAGTAAGCGTATAATAGCAATGCAAATTAAATGAATCTTTGAACAACTGTCATTCTTGGCTCGGTTGTCCGTTTGAGTTCAAATTTGTGGCAGTATATTCTGCTAGTAAATACTTTTAATTTTATGTACATGTCAACCTCTGCTTCTATTTAAGATTTCCTCCTGTCTCTTTGCGGGACGTCCCCATGATATGACAGAAATTGATATTTCCTAAAAAAAAGTAGATTTTAGGTGTTGTGTTGACGTACCAAATCTTATTGATTTATCTGTTGTCATTTCAAAAATATTTAACTGACTTCGGACTTTATTACCACCCTGTATATATATATATATATATATATATTATATTTACCATATATATGTGTCCTTGAACGCGATAACTTGAGTAATTTTTGTCCGATTTTGATGAAATTTGGTTTGATGGTGTAAGGCTGGATAAACTTTAATGAGTTTTCGAACCAGCATGATCGGACCATGGGAACAGGGTTTTATGGGGTAAAAATTGGGTTTTCTCATTTATGACCCTCAAAACACAGAATTTCCCAATTTCTCTCTAGACCTTTTTAAAGAGCTTAAAAAAACAAATAATTTAGTATACAAAAGTGTTTTTGTACGGTTATTGGTAAGGCTACGGCCACACGGGCGTTTTTTCACTCAAGAACGCAGCGTGAAAAAACGCGAGAAATATGGGCAGCATTAAATGTAATGAGGTATGCCACACGGAGTGTGTTTTCACGCAGATTCGGCGCGTCTTCAAAATCGACCGCCGCGGGCCCGCAGAAGAATGGAGTTGGGTGGATTTTTGAAGCTTTTTCTCACGTTCTGTGCCTGGCCTAGATAAAAAGATAAATGTATCTAATTTTTTCCAGGATAGCGTAAAATATTTTTGGGTCTAGCCAATTACTCAGTAGGATCTTAAACATAGGTCGACCTTACTGGACCACTTAATAATTTGTTACTAAAAGGAAAGGCATTTAGTTGGACTAAAAATGTAAAGAGGCATTTATGTATAATATACAAAGATCTGATGAAAATCTTGTCATAAAAATATTTATATTATATTTATTTTTATATACTAAATGTCAAAATAAAATAATTTTTGTGTTGTTTTCGTATCGAAATCAATATACCATTCATAGTTCTTATTCACTAGTCAGAAACAAGGTTACTATTCCGGCCATGAGGAAGATATATAACATAATTACGTGAATTTGTCAATCAACTGCGGGTTCCCACTGCATTTTGCCGCTCCTGGACTTCAACTGGCGTGAAAATAAGCTACATTTTACTGCGTGAATAAAATGCACGTGTGGCATACAACAGCGGGAATTCAAACAGCGTGAAAATAAGCTACATTTTACCGCGTGAAAAAACGCCCGTGTGGCCGTAGCCTAAAGGAGAAAATTCAAAAAGTTTAAAATTTCCATGTTATTCTTAAGGAGAATATTGTAAAATGTTATAGTTTGCTTGTTTATGGATATATTTTGATCAAACTTGGCAGTTTTATTTATTTTATACTAAGCTATTAATATTTTACTAAAAACACACTTTATTAGTCCCCTTGTAGCAGCAAACCTAGGTACTCGTCAAACCTAATTAATGTTATTTAAATAGATTTAATTGAAAATCAGACAAATGGAAATTTGCTTATAGTCGGCAGGTTTGCTGCGGCGGGGGTATTTAGCTATTGATACTGTTGTTACAAAACCATGTTCCGGCTCTCTTACCCGAGTAATCAATCACTGCTTCATGAAAGTTTGAAGCAGCCAACAAAATATAAATAAATAGTCTTGTGATTCAATATTTATAATTGGTTGGCATTTGAGGAGTTCCGTCCATGTTTTATATATAATATATATATACAGGGTTAGTAAAAAGTGTGGAGACCCCCTGTTATTTTTTTAACGGCCCATACTAGAAAAACTAAACCCGGCACACCATTATGGTATGTTATGAAGTCCTTTTTGGGCATAACCGCCACTTGGCGTTCATCCCCAAAATGGGGGATTTTGGGGAAACTAAAAAATTTCAAAAACAAAGACCCATCAAGTGACCCCTCATTTTGAAGGTCCTGGTAAAAGGAAACCAACAAAGCAAACTAGAGGTCTCTATCTCAGTTCAGTAAAAAATGGCAGCGTGTAAATACAGTGTGTAAATTAAGTCGGGAAAGAAATCTTTATTTTTTTAACCGAAATAGGTATAAATATTCTATCTGTGGCAATAATTGTTAAGAAAGGTTCCGCAATTTTTGGCAACAGGGTAAGGGTTAGGGGGGACTTGTTTTTTCCAAATAGCGACCCCTATTGAATATCTCACCCCTAGCCAAAATGGCGGGTATTCCAAAATGGGTGGTTTTTCACATAAATCAAATTTTGGAATACCCGCCATTTAGGCTAGGGGTGAAATATCTACCTCGGGTTAGCGTCATTGTTTTTCTTTTGACAAACCCTTCAAAATGAGGGGTCACTCAATAGGGGTTGCTATTTGAAAAAAAAGTCACTCCCTACCCCCTACGGGGGGGGGGGGGGTTAACAAATATTTTTGATGTAAAAAATTTCGGAACCTTTGTTAGTAATCAACGCCACAAACAGAATATTTCTAACTATTTTGGTTTTGAAAATACAGATTTGTTTCAAGACTTAATTTACACACTGTATATTTTCCTAATGATAAATAATTGTACCTAAGCTATCCCATATTACACAAATTGGCCTTATTTTATCAACAAAATAATCAGAGTAAGTAGGTTAGGAGGACTAGGAGTTGAAAACTATATGGATATTCCCAAAAATTAATGGGGCTGGCGGCTCATGGTGGAAGGAAAATACATTAAACCATAGGTATGCTATTCCCGTCATATGCTGACGTCACCCAGATTGCAAACACCATTTCACCATTTAGAAAAAAATATAAAAACAATAACAATCAAATTAAATATATATTTATATGGCAATACTATCAGGTGATTTTTTGTTTGCAATCTGGGTGACGTCAGCAAATGACGGGAATAGCACACCTATGTTTTTTCCTTCCACCATGGGGCCACATGGCACATAGTGAACTTTTCAAAAAATACAAAGCCTAATTTCTGGTGTTCCTTTTATTTTGGCTACTCTTTATAAACTTCAAGTTTATCTATGTTTGAAGTCTGACGTCAAATATAACCCACTAATGAAAAATAATGGAAATGACAAAAATGTACATGAAAAAATAAAAGAATGTGTTTCAACAAAAGATTTCATAGTTTGAACCCTTTTCTTCTAAGGTTTTGAAACTTTAAACAACATAAATCCCTCTTTATAGTCACGGGTCTTGAGGCACAAGATATAAATAAATACAAATGTACAAATAAATGAGTGTATTTATGTAAAATACACAAAATAATTACACATATGAAAAATGTTGCAGCATGACTTTTTACAATAATACATACTTTAAACAATATACATTATGATTTAAGTATAAAACAAAGAATTAAACAATGATTTATGCCATGTTATTTGACCAAAATATATGTATCATTATTATTATATTTACAACTAGGATTATGACCCCAAGCCTCACAGTAGGACGTACAGATACCATGGTGGAAGGAAAAAACATGGGTGTGCTATTCCCACATATTCTGACGTCACTCGGATTGCAAACAAAAGATCACCTGATTGTAACTGTCAGATTAGTATGTATTTGTTTTGATTTTATTGTTATTGTTTTTATAATAATAAAAACAACAACAACCAAATAAAAACAAATACGAAATAGTATATTTCGTACCTAGGGCCGAAAATGAGGTTTTGCTGGCTCGAGATAGTTTTTAAGTTTGAGACGAAGTCGAGAACGTAAATCGATCGAGAGCTGCAAAACCATTTCGGTCCGTGGTACGAACGCTATTTTTCACCACACTTTACCCTATTACCACTATTCATCACTATACTAATGCACACTGATAGTCAACACAACTACAACTTTAAGGTTATGTGAAGAAATAATTTGAGGAATCAGCAAAAATAAAAATAAATAGTTGCTAGGCAACGGTGGCAATAACACAATTCTATTGCAATGCTATGGATTTTGATTGTGTATTTAAAATGCATTCATGTTTTAAGTAAGTAAGCGGACAGCTGATTTTGCGGCCCCGGCCTGTAAAAACCTGCTCGGTCCCCAAATTACGATGACAGCTGGCATGGCCAGCGAAACGTAACTTTCAGCCACCAATTAACGTATGTTATACAGCCAAAAACATCATAGTGTGGTGAAAACTAATTTGACAGTTACAATCAGGTGATCTTTTGTTTGCAATCCGAGTGACGTCAGAATATGTGGGAATAGCACACCTATGTTTTTTCCTTCCACCATGTACAGATACATTCTAATTTAGAGAAGGTTTTTGAAAAGGAGAATAATATATAATTAAGTACACATTTTAAAACTCATATTACTGACATATACATAGCAAACAAAAGAATACTGTACTTCCAAGCATTATAGCTATAGGCAACAATGCAGCGGAAATTATTAAATGTAATTGGGTCTTAAATGTATGACACTGTGTTCTGTTTCCATTTTGAATCATATGATTTATACATTCTAAAATTGAAGCATACTATTATGTTAAAAAAGAAGAGATTAGAGGGGAGGTAGAGAAAGAGCGAGTGAGCAGCAATCTAGGCAAGGACTACACAAATGGATTATGCCAACTTCTGAGACGATATCAAAGCTTTTGTTGTTTGAAAGTTGACAGGAGGCTGCACTTGTACGTCAGCACCAATTATTCAGGTTTCTGCGCTGACGATTTGATAACTTAGCTGCTTTTATAAGATTTCTTTAAGTTTCTATTTAGCCAAGACATGTTTATAAAAATATATGTCTATCCAACAGGTCCCAAAACAGTTTTGTATGTATAAAACAAACATCACATTGATATTATCTTTGGTTGAATCTTTTATGAATCCAGCAAAAGTTATGATCAAGCAAAAACTGCCAGTTCGGTATATTATTTATTTGATTTTTTTAAAATGTTGGCAAGAGGCCTGTGTGTGGAACATATACAGCAATGCAAGGGGTGAGCCGGTACAGTACAAAGGTGAACTGTATACCTTCATTTAAAATTCCCAAGTTCTCAAAATTCAAAAATTCAAATATCTCATGGAGAAAGAAAACTGAGTTTGTTTGTTTAAAGATATATTTTGAAAAATTTTGCAAATTTATTGATTTTATATTAAACTATTAACATTTGATATACAAACATTTTTTCCTACAATCACCCGATAAAGTGGGCTTTCTTGTACAGATTATAGTGGTTTGTACAGAAAGCCTTACTTTGCCGCACAGTTTTTACTTTGGCGCACACCAGTATTCCAACCAAACAACACAAAACAGTATGCTTTTATTATGCACGTAATCCGTGTACGCTTGAAAATGAGTTGGCAACACTTAAAGATATTACGACTGCGATCAGCTGATGCAGGTTTCTCATTTTGTTAAATGTTTGGAGTTAACCTAACCTAAAAACGTGTTTGAAAGACTAATTATTTATATGATCTATAGTAACTGTAGGAAAAATATAATGTGTAACACGAGGGCAAACTGCCTTTGCTGCACTCGAGAAACTTTCCACACTCACCTATGGCTCATTCGTAAACATTTCTCTTGTGCCACTTCGCCCACTAGTGCATAAAATAACTATTTACCTTTCTTGTAGCAGCAAACCAACGTACTAATTTAAATATATGTTATTTAAATAGGGATTAAATATCAATTGTTTAAGGAAATATCTTAGTAAAAATCCAATCAGACAAATGTAAATTTTCTTAGTCATGGTTTGCTGTGGCAGGGGTATTTCATATAATATGGTTATACTGTACCTGTTTTAAGATAATTTTAGCGAATTTCCCATATAGGGAATGAGCTATTACCGCAGGTCTCATGGTAAGACCTAGACCCACGACCGATTTACTTTTTCGTTTTAAGTGCCCACAGGCCAAAAACACCATGCGTTCAAATTCATATATCTAAATATATGTGTGTGTGTGTGTCCGTAAGCATCACGATACCTCAAGCAAAAAAGATCTGATTTTAATGGAATTTGGTAAACGCGTAAAACTACATTTATTCGAACGTGTTCGCGAACTAGCATGATCGGACTATGTGATCTGTTTATGGGGGTTTTATGGGGTGAAAATTGATTTTTCCCATTTTTGACCCTAAAAACACAAAATTTCTTAAGTTCTCTCCAAACCATTGTGTAGAGCTTAAAAAAATAAATAATTTTGTATATTAAGGCGTTGTTTTATGCCCAATGGCTACGGAGATAATTAAGGAAATTGTAAATTTAAAATTCCCATGTTATTCTTATGGAGAATAAATAAACTGTTGTAGTTTTCTTGTTTATGGATTTATTCAAACCAAATTTGGAAATTTTGTTTATTTAATACTAGGCTATCAACATTGCAATAAAAAAACACATTTCAATATCTTCCCTGTAGCAGCAAACCTAAGTACTCACTAAAATTAATGTTAATTTAAAAAAATAGGATATATCTGAATGTTAATGATGGATAGTAAAATTGATGAAATAAAAAAGATAAAATTCAAGAGGATGGTTTAATGAACATCATTTTAAAAGAACTGACAAAATGTAAACAAATAATGTAAATAGAAGATTAACAATTAATACAACATATGATTTGTTCACAAAAGGCAGGCAGAACATAGTATTCAGAGAGATTCAGAGAGAACTTCTAACTTTGACAATTTGTAGGGAATATTTTAGTAGAAATCCAGCCAAAAATGGAAATTTGCTTAGTCTGCAGGTTTGCTGCGGCGAAGGTATTTTACTATAGGTATATAGGTAAGAGGATTTGATTACTGTAACAAGCATATTGTTTTGAAGAATTTAAGACGTGTATTAAAAAGAACTGTTTACCGATAGTTTCAACAAATTATTGTCTTTCATTTATAATTAATATATTAATAAAAAAACATTTCTAGCAAATGTTTGTGGTGTGTTGTCTCACACATTGGCTTTCAAGCAGTGCATAAAACTTAAAATTTGGTACAATATATAATCAATATTTATTGTGATTCCAGTATAAAAATTAACATCCATATTTTCCCAACCGCCATAAATAAATCAACATTTAAAATATAACTTAGCATCTGATAACATAACACTCATGCAACATTGATTTGGAATAGACTAAATTAAACCGGAATGTAACAAAAATAATTTCTGATAATATCATCATAAAAATCAACAATAAATAATAAACTAATCTGTACACTAATCCAAATAAGACTTAACCTCATAAACTTAATAAATATGTTTTGAAAATGATACGTGATAAGTATAAACCTCATATTAGAATGATCTTATAATACTGAGGAAGGGGGGATCAAGAATATCTTGTCCAATGACTGTTCTCGCAAAGAATCTGATGGTGTTCTGCTGACCGTCGTCAGAACTTGAGGTCTTTGATAGCTTGCGGCAAGTCAGGTAACTTCATGTCTTTGAATTGCTGTGAGATGTTCATACTCTTGACGGCTGACACTGCCCTAGCAGCCGCCAGCCCAGACTAGAACATACAAACAATTAGTAGCGCATTACTCCCTACTCCACTGGTGTGTGATTTCTAATTGAGTAATTTCTAATCAAGGGTTGTTTTAAGAGATAGCAGGGGTGCCCACAAGGGGGGGCTGTGACGCAGACTGCGTCATTGAAATTCTTGGGGGGGGTTGCAAAAATTCAAATGGGGGGGGGGCTAAAGTTATTTGCAACAGTGTTCAACGTTTCAATGACAATCAAAAATATATTACGAAGTCACTAGATAGAAAGTCGATTATAATGACAATAGTTATACTATTGAATTCAATTAGTTAGAATAGGATTTTAGGATAGTTTAGGATTTGTGTAGGAAGTTATTATTCAAGATTAGCAAGACGTGAGATCTAAAAGGGAGGGCAAGGAATGGCTCAACTGCTGAGATAGATAAAGATAAGATAACGCGTGGTACAGACACGTCCAGCTACACCGCGACTTTAGCTCAGAACGCTTTGTTGACATAAAGCTCGTTGAAATACAATCAAGTAGCCTATACTCGATTACCTGAGATAATAGGGGGGGGGGGGGGAGGAGGAGAATGAAAAATACGGTAAATCTAATATAGTATAAAAACAATTTGCATTTTTATCAACGAAATTCAATATTGCACAACTATTATTATTGTGCAATAATGACATTTCAAATAATTTATCTTGGTTCAGTTGTACAAATGGCAACGTTTAAAATTACAGCTCACCTAAACTCAACTAATAACCAGCCAAACACTGTATTGCTATAAATAACTAAAATATTAAACCTTAGAAAGTTTTGTAAGCTACTGCTCATGATAGACAGATAGGTAGGTGTTGTGTCACAACATAGGAATTTATAGATAAGTAATACAAAAGTGTAAAATCATATTTCAAGATGATAAAAACACCCTTAAAAAGAATGTAACGAGAACAATTTTGTTATTCTTTATATTTTTTCTTCTGTTCTTTCTTAGGGTTCTCTTCAATTCAAACACAAATTCAACAAGTGCCCATATTTACTCGTTGCCCAATCACAGCCTACTAAAGTTACCATGGTTATATTAATCACTCAATCACAGTTTACTAAGCATTGTTGGCGCAAGCGTTAAAGTTGAAGTTATTTTTCCATTTCATTTTCATCAAAGGAGCTGTGATTTTTCAAAAACGATTATGTGGGAGGGAGAGGGGGTTGTTATATGAAGAGAAAGACGCTGACAATTCGTTAAGCAAAGGTTACGAACGCTATGTAGATATTCTGGCAATAAAAAATTCCTTAAATTGAGTTGACTTATAAAACTCTAATTTTATTTATATAGAAAGATAAGTTTTCCAGTCCTGTATAACATTGATTCATGGTCTTTTCCCGGTAATCAAAATTCGAGTACAACTTGATACACACAGAATCTCCAGTTCCCGACTTGGATGATGGCTAGTTATTTAATTTAATTTACAGTTAATTTAATTCACCTACATATTAGTATCAGTGATAAATTAAATCCGTTATGTAAGCCACACGGTTATTAATCTCACTTGGTTTTGGATTTGCTTACAAACGTGATCGGAAATGGTTACAAACGTGATCGGAAATGGTTAAGAACGTGATCGGAAATGGTTAGGACCTACACAGTATTCGTAAACAACATTATATAGGTAAACATATTAAGTGACAGCTAGAAAAAGGAATCTTGATCAAAACAGCTGTTCGTAATTTCATATATGACGTGTTCTCTTAACAGATTATTAGTATTTCATAAATGACGTACGTAGTAAACATGGAGAAAAACTTGAAAAACCACACAAAATTGGGTTTTTGATCGTCCGTTATTTTATTCCCAAAATAGTGAGGCCATATTTTAATGGCTAAGGACACTCTCGCCAATCCTGTGAATACAAACCGTTAGAATCATAATCGGTACTCTAGTTTTCTTTAAGAGTAGGCTGCGTAAAATGCCTTCTGGGCCGGACATAAATTGAGATACCGGTAAGACATGTTTCAACTTCTTTAGTGTATAAAACGTAAAAATAACCCAAAATATGTATAATTCTGAGCAATGTATACAGAAAAAACTATAACTTTATTTATATTTAATACTGGGTTTGAATTTTCAATATCTAAAAAATGTATAAAACTTCTTTTAAAAGTTTTACAAATAATGCTGGGCGGGGGAATACTGTTTCAAAATTTTTGTGTACCTCATTTATGGAGGGGGGGCTGGTACTCAATTGGGGGGGGGGTGCGTCATGAGCCTAGGGGGGGATGGGAATTTTTTCTGCTATATTTCTATTGCGTAAAGTGTTGTGTGGTTTTTTATATTGAATTGCATTGTCAGGATGAACTAAATCCATTCAACTAGGCCAGTTTTCCTTCAAAACAGTACTTAAGACATAGGCCCTAATACCCTATGTAATCATTATTCCTACAGTTACCTGACAAAGCAGGCTTCCTTGCACTGATTCTAGCACACAAAGTAGCTAATTGTTGCATTCACTTACTTTTGCTGCATTCCAGTATTCCCACCAAACAACACAAAACCGTGTGCTTTTAATAAGACACGTAATACGTGTATGCTTGAAAATAAGTTGGCAACACTTAAAGGTAGCCTACTACTGCGATCAGCTGGTGCAGCGTTTCACAGCCTTTGAGTATTGATACTACGACTTAGCCTATTGTTTCGTGTTAACATTCTATTTTCGTTCAACACCTGAATTTAACCTAACCTTAAAGTGTTGTTTAGTGTTTGAAAGACTTAATAGTAGTGCTTTACTGTAGGAAAAGTGCTACTTAGTGCACTAGTTACACAAATAACTATTTCCTACCACTGTAAATCGATTATCAAATTTCCAAACCTGCCAACATTATTCAAAATAGCTCATTTACGCTCTAAAGTGGGAATGGTTATTGCCGCTCGCCAAATCAGCTGATTTCACAGTTGGAGTTTTTATAAAACACTTAACAACCAGTAAGCAAAAAAGATAATATAAAAAAGCAAATATAACCTAAATGACATATTATATGCAACTAAAATGAATATATGTGTTATGATAAGGTTTTTATGGAGGTAGGAAAAATCTTGTGTGTAATATGATCACAAGTGAAAGAGTATTTTCAATAATTACTTTTATTACAGAGAAAAGCACTTTTTAAATATTTACAGAGCACAGTAAAAAAATGACTCACCACGTGGTATGCAGCACTACAGTCAAGGGCTAACAAACTTGGTTGAGAAAAAACACCGGAACATTATCACTTAATTTCATTTTATATTCATGTTTATTTATTCCAAACTGGTCCGGGTTATCCAAAGATCAGACTTAAAGGGGGTCGACTTAATGAGATTGTACTGTTAGATTGGATACTGTGTTTTTATATTCAAAATTATTTTTTTGTTTAAGCGTAAATTTAATAGGTAACTACTACGTTCAACCATCACACAATTAAAACCAGGGTTAAAACACTTAAAAAACTAATTAGTTATTTTTTTTTTTTAAGAAAATCACAGCAAAAACTGGATAATAACTTTTTAAAAACATCTTAACAATAAATATAACAATTAAGAAACATGAAGCCATTAGCCTCATCAATTTAAAAGCTAAATAAATAATACCCAAAGGTTAATGGTTTTTATTCTTCGAGTTAAAACTAAAGATTAGCACATAAAATGAAGTGGGGGCAATACACACAATATGTTTCAATTCTTAACCAATTAAAAACAATTAATAAATTTTTGTGCCAGGTTCACCCCTTTCCACACATGTATTTCTTCGAGGTGCATGTGGACCGTCAAAGAAAAATTAAAATATGCTATTACATAATTAAAATAATAAAAAAAAACAACAAAAAAATTATGTCAAACTTGAAGTATTTTTATTGAATCAAAACACAATAATTTTGTATAAACGATTCTCATGTGCACAGACACGATCATGGATAGTAGAGATTAGTTGTCAAAGTATAAACACACACAATTTAAGATACAGACTTCTCATGTTTTCTGTACATCAGTTTTAAAGTTACATTGTTAACTGTTGATTTGCCTGTTTTTTTTTAAGACTCGAGAGCATTTAATAAACACTGTAAATATATGAAGCGATTTTTAAGTTCATTTAGTTTTTTCTTCAAATCTTGATCAAGCTTTAACATAAGGTCCAATTGTTCCACCAATTTATCCTAGACGGCAAGTAAATATAATATTAGTAATAAAAAAAGGCAACACCTAAATAAATAATATATTTAAATTAAATACAAGGTATATCCAGAAAGTAACCTCCATTCTGGAGTAGAATGAGAATTAATGGGTAGTTCAGTCATCTTGATATTGGCACATGCAGTAGATCACCACACTTCTACCTGTTCCAGGTAGAGCATATGAGTGGAAGGCCTTTTGTCATTGATCTGAATAAAGTGAATGACAAGTTTTGTGAAAATCGTTGATTCACGATCTCGGACCTTTTTGACCACTATCCTGAAGTTTCTCGAAGCTTTGTAAACAAGATATAGTGGCAGAAAAACTAGATTATGACAAGTTTTGTGCTCATCAGGAATCATGATCGCTCACTGACACCCACAAGACAAAGTGCATTTCCCATAGGGGTTCTTTTATGATACAACTTGGAAGAGCAGAGTTTTTTATGCGAATGTTGAGACCGAACAGCAATCATGCAGAATCTCCAAACAAACCTACACAATCATGTTAAACTTAAGTCAACCAGGTGACTACTATTTACTTGCTGGATTATGGAACGTGGCACAACGATTACTTATTTTATTTATTTATTTATAATCATCACGTTACATCAATGATTGACAGGTGATTTGTCATGAATCTAAAATATATTGTAACAAAACAACAATCATAATATTGAATACTTAAAAATAATTAATTATACATTTGTTACGAAATTTTCCAGTGAAAAAAATGCCTCCTCCAGAAGCCATATCTTAAGTGTTTTTTTTTTTCAATTTCGAGATGCAATCAATTTTTATTTATTGTTGAAGGCAGCTTTTTATAAATTTTGGGTCCCATATATTGTGGGGATAAATAAAATAATTTTAGTCTATGTTCCATTGGTTTTATTAATTTTTTGTATCTTGTATCATGGTTGTCAGGGCCGGATTTCCCAATAGGCCCGAGCCTATAGGCGCAAGCTCCCAGAGGGCGAACGGCCGAGAGTAAAAATATTTTTTAATAGCCTATCTAAAAATAAAATAAATAGCCACAGCTGAACATATTTTGCGAGTTGATAAAAAAGAACTCTTGCCAATAAAGCATTATAATTTTGAAATTCATTGGAAGAAATACCTGTTAGAAAATTTAAACTATTTTTCAACATTACGCATCAATTTCCTTACAGCATTGGTAACGGACATTGGTTATACGGGAGTAGGCTGTAGGGATGTTGTCGAGCGCCCGAGCGGTACACATAGTATTCATTGCCACTGTAATCTTTGCACTGCCACTATGCCGGCTCGGCGCTACTGATCGGAGTGATTAGGGGCGCATGCGTGTTGGACGCCATTACCACCCTCACCTCACAAAAAGAAAATTTATTAACTAATCTTTTGATCAGTTTACCTGCAGGGTCAAGTTAATATATATAGCCTAATACGTTTTTTTTTTTTATATTAAAAATACGATAAGTTTATCTTTAAAATTCAATAACGAAAAAATATTTAACTGAGTTTGCAACAGGTTTAGAAAAATTAAATCCCCTCCAAAACATCATTAATGGTGTCATTTCCTCCTCAGCTCAGACCTGAGGATAATTATGGTCGGCGGGACTATTGCTTTGTTTTGCTTCGCAAATATAATCTGGATGCAGTACTACCATAGATTAACCATAAACTCAAGTCGACTTTTTATCACATTGTTAATTCTAAATATTAGTTTTCATGTCTAGTTCATGTATGTTGGTGACACTGGAAGTTACTTTTGACGTAATTTTGTTTCTAGGATTTATTTTAGGAATAGTTCTATGTTGTGTGTTTTAATTTCTTGTAATATAACCAGGGGACAACCTATTGTTTATGATTACATAGTTTTATTTTGGACAAACTAGGTTTAAATACCTTAAATAAAAAGAATTGTTTTCAGATAAGCCCTAAGGATGACAAATCTACTAAAGGAGTATGTTTAATCTATGGTATCACGTACTGTTATGGAGTTCATGTTTTCGGGGCTGAAATCGGAATCAATGGATATGCTTTTTTGCAGGAATGCTCTGTGGGTTGGATTGTTTTGTTTCAGTCCCACAAGCGTGAGCATTTGCCAAAAGCATAAAATTGACAAAAGTGTTTAAGACGGCAAACCAAGACAATTCTTCAAAAAACTTGCAATGATAAAATTCCGATTAGGAGTGGTGTCCAAGCAATTAACATAGGCCTATAGGTATGATATAGTTTTTAATAAAGGTTATTAGGAAAGAAACCGCCAAAATGCTAAATTCGGCCCCGATGGTTGTGAAAGAGCTGACTCTCCATAAGTGTATCCAAGTTACTCTTGACCATCATAGAAATATAATAAATATAAGAGCTGTATAAATTGAGAAAAAAGCTTCTGAAGTTTATTCTAAAACTTTAAGATGTCTAAGATGAGCAATCCAAAACAAGTGTCGTAACATGCTGACATTTAGTATTGTGTTTGTTCATAATGACGTTCAACCTCACAGATTAACAAAACTTCCAGCACCCATACAACCTGGACTTGGCACCAAGTGATTTTCATTTGTTTCCATACATGAAGTGGCGCAAGCGTCTCAGCTGTTCGACAATAAGAGCTTCAAAACACTGTGGAAGGTAGGCTGAATTTACAGGCTGCAGATTTGTTATGAACAGGAGAAGAATACTATTAAAACCTACAACATTTACTTTATCTACACATAGTCGGTTTGGTGACTAAGTGGAAAAATGATGTCCATTGAAGTTTTAAGATGCAGATAGTAAAACTGTTTAATCTTCACTGGACTAATTTTCATTTCAAAAGGGAGGTTACTTTCTGGATAACCTTTCTACTAAATAAACACAATTCATACTTATAAATCAGATAAAAATCAACACAAAAAAAATTAAACATAATTTAGAACATTATTTATGTTTTAAAAAGATGTCCACTAAAAATACTATGTGTTTAGCACCTAAAGTGTGATGCCACATTCAAGGTAACAGGGCTTCTGCAGAGCACGGAATAATAGTGATGAACCATTGGTAACTGTACAATTACCAACCATATCTATCAATTACCAACCGCCGCAACATCTACAACCATTTTACGGATACCAGTTTTATCCGTTTCGGGGAGGGCTAAAAGAAAAGATTTGGTATGAGGGCTAAAAATATGATATGATATGGGGGATAACAAATATGATATGAGGGCTTAAAATATGAGATGGGGGATAAAAAAAAGATTATATGCAAGAGGGGCGAATATTACAAGTAAAAAAAGTACCAATTGCTTTAGTTATCATAATGTTGTGTATGTGTATGTTTGCATCATTATAACCCCTGATTACAGTTTTATTGTAATAATCTCCGACATTAACTGCAAAATTGTGATCATCTCGCGTCCAATGATGGCAGCATAGTGATTTTTTGCTGTAATAGCTGGACATCATAATCTCACAATCACTGGGACTTTGACAAATTGCTATTGCACAAACTTCACAGATATCTTTTGCAATTATATCAATTATGCAATTATATCAATATATTCCTGTTTCCCACTTCATGGAAATGATCTCATTCCCATGCCTTTAAACAGTACGCAAAATAGCTCATTGCCTCTCTAGAGCCGCTAAATCAACTGATTTCACAGTTGGCGTTTGAATATAAATTGCATTTTAAGTAGTATTCTAAACCATCAACTCAGATTTGGTACGTTAGTTTTCAACCGGTAAGAAGTAACATAACCTTTAAAAAAGCAAACATAATCTTTTTGGCATTTTATATAGGCTACATTTAAAATGTTAATCCGTGTGTTATTATAAATTAACTAGGGTAGCAGGCAAAATCTTGTGTGAATTATGAGCACAAACAGTCATTGCCGTTCTCGAAATGTATAGCAACAATTAGACGAAGCTTCAAGCGGCCATCTACAGTTCGGCAATCAGACACTTTGCGCTCTCAATACAAAAATATATATTAAAGAATTCAAATCCTGCCAAACTTTCAACGTTCACTAAATTAATTTTTTCCTTACTGTTTCGGTACCAACTTTTGACCATCAATTCTGATTCAAGTCCAAGAATTGGGGGTGTCAAGAATCTGCTCAACTTTCAATTGATTATACATTAATCTGAGGCATCTAAACAAAATTTTCTAATTTTAACGTTGAAACATGCATTGGGTTAACAAAGTTCTTAGGATTGTTTACATATATTTTTATAGGTTAAGGAGAAATATTGTTTTTAAAAATTTGAGTGTTTTTAAAAAACCAACATGTTATTTGTGAAAATGATTGTTTTGTGGAGTACTATATTGCTTGCCTACCCTTATTAGCAGTAGGCCTACCATTACCACAAAAAAAACAAGAAAAATTATATAAATCGCTCATTTTCAACCTCATAACAAAAGTACATACCTCCTGTTTTTCCATTTTGTTTTGGTCTTCAATTCTTGATAAAATCTCTGACATGTTAGTTTCCAACACCATTCCACCCATGACTAATTCGTTCAATATATAATGGACCTATAGAAATGTTAAAACAGTTCATAATATGTTATACAGCCTTTAAATGACAAGTTGTATACAACTATGTAAAGATGAATTGTTGTTGTAGCTGTCAATTTATTCAAAGCAACTATTTTTGACTAACTATATTTGTTCTATAGACCAACTTGAGTTGGCTATTAAAGATTCACCAGGAATTAATCACAACAAAATGTTGAGTTAAGAGAAACACTATTGATGAATTGAAAATCTAGCTGCATATTATCTGCAACTATGTTTGTCTGATTAAATTTAGGTTTTATTAATCTCGTTATGTTTCACTTTACGACAGAATCAGATTCTACATTGTTAAGATTCTACATTGTTAAGATTCTACATTGTACATGTGCTGATTTTACTTTTCTATATAACAAACGTTTTGTTTAAAGAATAAACTGCACTTTTGGTTTTAGTTAAGTATCAATAAAATATGGATTGTCAATGGTCAATTGAAAAAAAATAAAATAAATATCTCACGTACTACTGCAATATCAAAATACTCTAGGTGATGTTCTTACCTTATCAACATGGAATATGAGATCAAGTTCGCAGACATTTTCAAAGCACTTATCGAGTGTTTCAACAAAAACTTGTATCAAATCAAGAATTCCTAGCTCTGACTCGGAAGAGTCCACACAGAACACAAAGTATAATGTTGCGTAATGTCGATAAATCAGCTTATAATCTGAACCACCAATGAGACTGCAACAAAGAATGTGTTAACTATATTAATAACATTTTAGGTTTACACCTTATAAGTTAAAGCAATACTTATAAAGAACTTGTCTCACTCTGGCTGTAATATAAAATAATTAAAACTGAGACGGAAAAAAATTTCAAATAAATCCCCAAGCTCAAATACAGCTAGAAAATACATGAGTAAAACTGGGTCACATTTTTATGGGGGGTCACAGTGGTCTGGGGCCCGGCCTTAGGGAGTGGAGAGGCCTTACGCCAGAGAATTTTTGTGACCTTAAACTTAGCCTTAAAGGCTCAAATAAACATTTTATGTATCCTTATAAGCAGTGCTCGATTTGGGGGAGAACGAGGTGGGACGGAGTTCCGGAACCTCTCTTTCAGAAAGATAAAAATATTGGCATAAATAAGTACATAAATATGTTCTAATCACATTAAATGGGTTACAGTTCTGGCACCTCATTTTTTGCAAATCGAGCACTGCTTATAAGCATACAAATGTATTACTTAATATGCAAAGCAAACAAAAAATTATATGGAACTTCCATTTAAAACCCTTCAGACTAGTTGAGATTGTATTAGCGGGATTCTACTGTAATGGTAAAATACAGAAATTTTGGAGCTTGAACTTAAAAAAAAAATTGAGTCCTAAATGTCAAATATACAAACTGTGTAAAATACAACAGAATCTGCTTTAAAAATTGACTGACACAATAATTTACTTTTTTTTACAAATGATAAAACTTATAACTTCTAAATGTTTTTCAAAACTTTGTCTTCTCTAAGTACAGCAACATTCGAGATCATCTCCCACGTTTACCATCTAACACTGTATGACGATTTATACAATCGTGATTGGCTTACTTGACACAACAACTATATAAAGTAAAGAGAGGACCATTGGAACGTTTTTGATAGAACATAGACCATAGGTTTTTACAAAATTAAAATACCATTCCCAGTAGAGATGTACGGGCAGCTCGATTTTTGAGCTGGGTCGAGTCAAACTTAAGAGCTTGAGCGATATAGCACCAAGTTAGAAAATCAAGCCAAGGCGAGCTTTTATTCTCACGATATTATCAAGAGTGAAAAGATTTGTTTTTGCGACTGCGGAAGAAGGCAATAATGTCTCCATAGTCTCTCAATGGCTCAGCTTACTGGGCCCTCCGTTCAAACTGGATTTCTGCGGTTCTACTGTATATAGAATGGTGTTCGAATATATTTTTTTATGCTCGATGCCGTGATCGTCCCTCACAAACCCGGCAACACTCATGAACATATCTTGTGGCCTCGGTGATACTTTTATTGTCTCTCACGAACACAGCAACAGTTAAGACCATATAGCACATAGGGACCTCTGCGACACCTCCTGTGATCGTGATTCCTTTGACATTAAAAGAGGACCAATGAAACGCAGTAAATGAATAGAGGCTTGGCCATAGAATATTTTATTATTCCTGATTTCCTGAATTTACATTTCAAGTATAGTTCACAGACTTCTTCTCGGGTCATAAAAACTCACGTACAACCCTCAGCTTTCAGCACGGCTGGACCACCTGTTTCGATATTGTTCTGTAGGTCTTGTCTCACTTGCTACTTTTTTAACAATAAATGTAAATTAACTAAGCTATACAGATGTAGTAATCAAGTTCTATCTAAATACAGATATTCCTAGTTAGGTGGATATATCAAATCAATCCTGACCAGAACTAAAAGTCTTAACCCTAAATGGACTGATATTTGAATGGTAAATGCATTATTCTCAAAAAAATTATTGTCTTTTAAGCGTTGCATTTGATTTTAAACTCTTGTTTTGTAAAGTTTTCTTAACACCATTGCAAGTTCAATAAATCTATCTGCACTAAAATGGGCTGGCCTGCTTTTCCTAAAAGAAACATAATGTGGCTCTTGAGTTAAAAGGGTTGTGACCCATGTTCTATAGGGCTAGGCTAAGTTACTTTTTATCATTTAGACTATATTAAGACAGTTTAAAACTGGAACATACATTAAGTTATCCCCAGTACCAACTGTAATTTACAAAGGAATCCAATAAAAATCATATCTAAATTAGCACGATAATCACTTCTGGCAATCCTACATCATTAAACTATAAATTGTTTTGACATACTTACTTTCCGTATCCGAAAAAATCACCAGCTCAGTTAGATATTATTTTTCCAATAATCTGCCACATATATGGCTTCGTCATTTGCCTCCTTAAGATCGAGCCAGGAGCATGTTCTATCCATATCTGGACAAACTAGTAGATGTTCATGGTCCTGAGGGGCCCCACATGTGCAGTTTGGTTCTCCTTCATAGTACCGGTACCCCCACCTCATGAGGTTTACTTTGCACCTCGAGACCCTACTTCGCAATCTATCCCTCCATGTAGGGTAAGGCAGGTGGCAGCCTGCAGGGAGTTCCTCTCTGAGTTGTACTGGTGGCTGTTGAGCCTCCTGCCTCCATAGCTGAAGCCTTAATACTTCTAGTGTTACTGAATGTATCTCAGTGGTTTTGAGGAAACTCTTTCTTGACCGGAGTCTAGAGGGCTGCTGTTGATGCCCATATAGTGGATGACGGTGGTCGGTCACTTGCTTCTGTCGTTCTACTGCGGCTGCCACGTTTCTCCTTATATATGGTGGAAGGAGGTACTCCTGGGGTACACGGAAGGAGCCTCCCCGAAGATTGCTGACCACATAGGCTACCACAATCGGGCGTACCCTGGGCAACGTTATCTTTAACGGCTAATCCTTCCAAAACCGGAACACCAAGCGAGAACCATGATTGTTTTGACATGACATCAATAACACTACAAAGTCAAATCAAATAATGTATGGCCTACAAACATTGATATAATAGGAAAACACAATCCAGCATGCCCTTACACAAGGGGAAAATTATAAAGGTAGGCCCAGAATAAGACAGTGACCTATTCAAACAGACAGACCTATGCAAACTGAAAAAATAACATAGGCCCATCCTAAGGCTACAATTAAACTTACCGTAACTTATTTCAAGTGCAAGTTAACTAGAGAGACTCGCAGAAAATTATTTTTAAAAGACCTTGCTTACCTTCCACCTTCGAGAAAATTGCAAACGTTGTCATCTCTTTTTGAAACAAGCTGGAATGTTTCTTTGATGATTTGTTGTTGCATATCTTCAGTCTGAAAATATGATTTGGATCAACCTAACATAGCCTAACTCAATAACTCGTTTATTGAACCAAGTATACACAATTACATGTATAGGTTAAATAACTTCTTGATCAGCATTGGACGTGTTATTAAATTTGCGGAAAGTAAATAAAAGAAACGTCTTATAACACTATATATATTTACGCTTATACTGTTACTCACAAGACGGTAAATAAACAAAAAAGGTGGTAAGTGATGATCGATTTTGATTGGACACTCCAGACGAATGACCACCTTTTTTTGTATATTTACCGTCTTGTGAGTAACAGTATAAGCGTAAATATATATTTTAAGTGTTATAAGACGTTTCTTTTATTTATAGGTTAGGCTACGTAACAATAATAATATACAATAGAATTGAACTTAGAACAGTACATACATAAATTCTCTAGGCCTAACCTACATTAAATAAATCTTAATAGCCTAGCAATTTTATGATGCAGCCCTAGCAAAATAGTAGATGATAAAATGGACCATATAATGCGTTTAGTAATCTAATGAATAAGTTATGAGAGAATATAACTTAAGGTATAATTTAATAAAAATAAATGTTAGCCTTTTTTACTTACGAAATATTGGTAAAATTTTGAGAGTCTAGGTTTGCCATGGTTGTTAAAAACTAAAATTGCCTTAATCATAATACGAAATAATAATAAACGAATGTATTAAAGTAAAAAAAATATTAGTTGACCAGCAATAAATTTTGTTTTATGACAACAAAAATAATTTAATAACATAACCAATAACTTCTCGGTTTCTAAAGTTTCTGTCTGTGTGTGGTGTAGAGATGTGTCGCTGCAGCTGGAACTACATTTATCCACCGTTCCGAGAGTGGAACTCGTTCCACCGTTCCAAGCGGAACCACAATCCAGTTCCAGTTCCACTGGAACTACTTTTTCAGCTGCAGCTTGGTGGAACGATTTGAATGTAGTTACGCACAAACAGCTGCAGCCTGTTACTAATTTTTTAAAGATAAGTTCCGGAGTAACTGGATTTGTAAAACACATACAGTTACAACAAAACAGCTGCAGCTGGTTAATTAATACTCTCACTAAACATTGAAGTTCTAGCCTGTGCAGCTGATGCGTTTTGACTTATTTCTTCACTGAGCTAAAATTATAACTGGAGGTAGCACTGCCATGGCAGAAGTCTGTCAAAAGCGAGTCGCTGATTTTGTTAGGTTGGTATAGCAGTAAGTTTTCTTACCATAGCAATAACATGGCTTCTTATAACTAGGTTGGTATAGCAGTGAGTATTTTTGTCATACTTGAATACTTTTAATACTTTAATAATTTTCTTTGAAATGGCGACCATACAAAGTAGGTATTTTAAGCCAAGTATAATAATAGCCATAGCAATAATATGGCTTCTTATAACTCACACCTCACGCAAACATGGCGGCTGGCGACACGCATCTTTGACATTCAGTGCTACCTCCAGTTAGAATTATAGCTCAGTGTATTTCTTGGTCTATTGTAAACAAAGGTTTGATTAGCGGATATGGTTGACATGCCTTAAAAGAAATGAATCATTTTCTGTTTTTTTATTTTTTTCAGGCAGGAATTTAATAAAAGTACATCAGTCCCAGTTAAGTCGTGCTCATAATATATACAAATTTAATTATCTCTTCCTTAGTAATCAGTACCGTAATAATTGTTTGTGTTTAACTTAATTCAGGATTTTTTCACTATTAACTTTAGAATTTTATATAGAGTTAGTGTAAGTGGTGTTTGAATAATATTATTTTAACAATAAAAAAATTTATAATATGAATAAATGCATAATATGAAGAACCTCTAAAATAATTTATATCGATCTTGTCACGTATTATTTTTAGACCTTTGATAGACAAACTAAAAATTTTAATTACTTGTACAACATTTCCAAAACACGATATTGATTTCTTTACAGCCGCTTTTTTGCATTATTTAAAACAATATTCTAATTCAAGAACAGCTTAAACTAATCCGTCTCAAATTATGGCAATAAACGGAGATTTTGTTCATCCGCCCTTTTGTCTCGTTCCACTACAGCCATAGCTCCGCTGCAGCGGGAAAACCAGCTGCAGCGGGCAAAACCAGCTGCAGCTGGAACTGCTTTTGGAACGAGTTCCACGGCGACCTTGGAACTAGCTGCAGCTGTTTCGCCCAAGTAACTGCTTGGCACATCTCTAGTGTGGGGCCCTATTTTTGAAATGGTTGACTGTTGAGTTGAGTGTCGAGTCATTCTATTTCCAATCGTTTCGTATTTTTGAAACGGTTGACGGTGGACTTATACAACCAAAACTACTCAACACCTATCGAGCTGTTGAGTGGAGGTTGACTGCACTTTATTCTTCCTCTCTTTCGGCAAAAAATTACTCTTTTTGAGACGACGCCATATTGTTTTGTTATTGCTTTTAATTTACTTATTGCGATTTAGAGGTTATGTATTTGTTGTCAATGTATTAGCACCCAATTATGCGATTGTTTTCTGTAGAATAATCGCATTTTAATTTTATTTACTGTGTCAATACTAGACTATTTAATCAAGGGTTTTATTCTTGTTGGGATGTTTGAAATAGACTAGGCATACTAATTGAACTTATTATAAGATAATTATTGTTATTAGACCTATGATTTAAGGTTTCAAGATTGTGGTAGAGAGAAACAATATCATAGTTTGTTTCAATACCATTCACCTAATAAAGGGATCAAATTAATTTAAGTTACGATATGCTTTCAGTGCAATGGCAAATAGCCGCTTTAACCTAAATAAAAAACAATTAAAATTAACATAAAACAAACCGATGAAGGAAACTAAAATAAGGTGATGTGTTCCGAAATAGAGACGAAGAAAGCAAATAATAATGTATTTAGGATGAGTGTAGGACCTAAAGTAAAGTGCAGCCTATGCCTAAACTTATAACTAGCTACACCCTAAAACAAACATCCATAGTAAATTTTATTTTTTATACTTAAGTATATTAATTTATTTAGTTTACTTTAGTTTATTACTTAAGTTAAGGTACTTTGCAATCACTAAGATTGCAAGACATAACCTCAATCTCAATCTCTCAAGAACGGAGTTGACAGTTTACCTCAGTGTCTCGAAATATGGCAGATTGAGATTAGCTGCCAAATTTTAGAGTAAGAAGAGGTTAAATCGAAGTCCGCAAGAACTCTGCATTGTGATTGGTTCAAAATGACGTCATCTGAATTTTTGACGGTCGTATGCTCTACATTTCCACCACGAGTCTCTCAACTAGTGATTCCCAAACTCGCTTCCCAACTGTTGGGTTTCAAAAATACCAAATCATGTTGTTGGTTGAGTTGAGTGCTGACGATTGACTCAACTGTCAACCATTTCAAAAATAGGGCCCGTGGTGTGTTGGTGAATGGTGGGGGAAAATAAAATAGAATAGGACTGGACTGGAATGTGTATGGTATGGTAGGGATTTTTCTTCTCATTTTTTAGGTTGGCATCGGATTGTTTTAGTCATGAGACTGCTAAATTTGTCTAATTTTTACTTAATAATGTCATAGATTAAATATACCCCACTCATAGATTTATTGTTTTGGTTTTCAATTCTATATTCTCAATCTTATACTAAATTTATATTTATAAATTTAAATAAATAATACGGAAATAATTAGCTGTTTTTTCCTATATAACCGACAACCATTGGTATTTGATCGAAACTGTTTTAGCACTGACGGTTGACCTTCAATTTGAATCTGCAGCTCTTTGCCAATTTTTTTTGTTTGTTTATGTAATAATGGGAATTTTTAAGTGTATGTCAGATGCACAAACTTGCAAAACTATCACATTTGACAGACATCCCAAATAACATAAATCTCATATAATTTCTAATACCCCCGCCACAGCAAACCTGCAGACTAAGCGAATTTCCATTAGCCTGATAGAATTTCACATTAAAATGCCTCCTTAAAAAAATCATATTTATTCCCTATTTAAATAGAATTAGTTTAACGAGAACTTAGGTTTGTTACAACAGGGAGGGTAAAAAGGTGGTTTGTTTATGTTAATAGTTTAGTAAGAAATGAATGTATTTTACAAGTTCGATCAAAATATGTTCATAAACGAGTAAACTACAACAGTTGACTTATTCTCTATAAGAATAACATGGGGATTTTAAATTTACAATTTTTTGGAATTTTCTCCGTAACCATTAGGCGCACAATAACGCTTCAATATACTAAATTATTTGGTTTTTTTTAAGCTCTACAAAATGGTTTGGAAATAAATTGTAAAATTGTGTGTTCTTAGGGTCAAAAATGGGAAAACCCTATTTTTACCCCATAAAACCCCCCCATAAACCCCCGTTCCCATAGTCCGATCATGCTGGTTCGCGAACTCGTTCAAATAAATGTAGGTTTACACGTTTGTACCAAATTTCATCAAAATCGGATCATTTTTGCTCGAGTTATCGTGCTAACGGACACATATATATATGAATTTGAACGGATGGTGTTTTTGGCCTCTAGGGACCTCAAAACGAAAAAATAAATCGGTTCCGGGTCCAGGTCTTACCATGAGTATTACGGTAATAGCTTATTCCCTATATGGGAAATTCGCTAAAAGGAACTCAACATTCTCACTCAGGAATAACCCAATTACCTAGCGTCCTAGGACAAAAGGTATGTACACAGCTTTGGACAAAAGTCTGGATGGTTTTTAATTATTAATATTTTTACATGTATGTTAAGCTATAGGCATTGACCAAATGACCATGTTGTGTTCACTTTTTATTTTAAGATAAGTTTGATCAATTTAATCCAGCACATTTGTGTCCGATGAAGAAAATGTCTTGATTAATTGTTAATCGGATTTAAACTAAACTTCTGGCTGTATAGAATGTTAGTTGAAAATAAAGATTTTTCAGCACGTTTAAGTACCAAAACCAAATATGATCCCAACTTAACCATTTGCATACACAGCATGATTTATTTTAAACATAAATTTTATATGAGTGTGTTTATCCCGAATCTGGCCAATGGCGTATTGACGACAGTTTCGGACCATAAAAAAGCCACCAGTACTGACATTTATCAGCATTGAAGACACATCCACTCAGCCACCCAGTTATAATGTGTTATATCCATAGTTTTAATTAATTTCGCTTAAGAATCCATTTCAGCTATGGTGTCAATGCAGCAGTTAACAGCGCTGCTTCACCTCTAACAATGCTTTAACCTGAAACCGTTGTCACTCATGTGCATCATATCTTCACGCACCCATGATTCCGTTTCATTATTCTTTCTCGTCATAGCATAAATGTAAACCTTGATTTCGCTCTGTCCTCTCTGAATACAAGAGCTTTTAAAAAGCGATAATATGTGTATATTCTTAGTGTTTATGCACTTTAATTAAACTTAAATTAATTGATAGTTTGCTCCAAAGTCTTTCAAAGGTATTAACTTCTAATTACTGTAACTGTACTAACTTTCGGTTGTCACAGTGGTGTGTGCTTAGTTCCGGTGGAATAGCCCGTTCGGTCCTGTCTTGTCCCTGACAGTCTGTCAGTCATCATCTGTTGATCTGTCTGTAGTCTGCTTAACCTTACGTTTTGTTTTTATTTGGACTATTGGAGAATGTCAGTGTCATAACCTTGATAAGTTTGAAGCCGAGTGGTTAAGACATGATAAGAGAGTTTTGTCTTTGTAAGTTTAAAGACACTTAAGTTTATCAGTAGTTTGGTTGTGCTAGTGATAGTAAGTATACGTAATATCTTATGTTACCGGTAACTAAGTGATTCAAATCAACTTTATTTTCTGGTCTTTATTGTAAAATTAAAATTGGTTTGAACATTTGGAATTTTGCGTTGACGATCTTGGAAAGCTATTGAATCACAAAAATGGGTGGTAAATATTCGTCAATGGATCCCATGGAAATAAAAGTTCCTCAGCTTGATTCTATGCTCGAACGAGATCCTTATTTGAAACCCTATGAAAGAGAATACCGACGCAGGTAAGACTAAGCCTACTTTAGTTTATTTTGAACTCTGGGTACTAATCAAGCATGTAACGCATATTACATAATAAATTTATTTGACACCATTTTAGTCCCTTCAAATTACATTTTAAATTGGCCTACTATGAATAGTCTGGCCGTACTAACAGTTTTACTCTTGTTTTACTTCTAATGCCAAACGTAATACAGTTGTAGCGTTGTTTTGTTTTTCTGCACCAGTCACAGTTTTGGACACTTTAGACTTTGGGCATTATTGTTCATGGACCCTTTTCGCTCTTTTGACCTTGACACAGTACCGGTATAGAGATTGTAATTTTCTCTCAGTAAGTTTTAGCATAAATAGGAGATAGCCTAGTAGGTTTAGTTAGCATCTCGGGACTATTGTGGGAGAGAGACGGGTGTGATTCCCGGCATATTCATAGTAATTTAAGGTGTTTGAACCAGAGGTGAGTAACTCCGGAACGAACTACTCCGAAAGAACTACTCCGACTCCGGAACGACAAGTCCAACTCCGGCTCTTGGATCGGAGTTAGTTCCGAGTCAAGAGACCGTCATTGGTTAAGATACATTATGTTATAAATTAGAGGTTTTTGTAGTAAATAAATATTTAAATTTTTTTGAAAATCTGTTTAAAATGAATGTAGGCTATAATGAACAGTAAGTAATCGACTAATGAGAGGGGAGCAGCGGAATACCAAACATCACAAGAATACGACTGGAACGACTCACTCACTGCCCTACTGTTTTGTCATTCCTCACTCCACTAACTATGGTCCTATCCTAACCTAGCTTAATCATTATTCGTTTCGCTTGTTCAATAACGATTACTGGAATGGAACCAGGAACTATCATCCAGAGGTGATGCGAAGAGGAACGATGGACTGGAACTATGAGCTCTGAACCAAAATGGTTGGTGAGTGAGTGAGTCTGAATGGAAGCGCTAAGCGCTCCTCACTCCGAAAGTCCGGTGTTCAGCGCTCTTCTAAACGGGGTTGGAACTACTCCGCGGAACTAGTTCCGACAACTCAATAACTCCGGAGTGAACGACTCCACCAATTGAACGATAATTCCCATCTCTAGTTTGAACCGCTTTCCCTTCAAATCGTTTGTGTTACCTTCTTTGTAAATTCCACTGGCGTAGACAATTAAAAAAAAGGATTGTATGGGCCTAGTTGGGGATTAAATTTAATTTGAACCACACCTAATCAGGTAGGCCTAGACTATAAAAAACCTCGGAACCTTGTTGATGCTATCTCCATCAACTCAGACATTTGACCATTAAGAGTTATCATGTCCTTAGAGTTTATGTAGTACTGTAGTAGTAGAGTAGAAGAGTAGTAGTAGATAGTAGGAGAGAGTAAGAGGATAGAGTAACTTATAAGCTTTAGTGGGATATGTATACAACATGTACAAAGCAAGAAGTGCAATTCAAAAGGTAGGCAGTCAAAAAAGATTGAAGCAACAAAAAAACTCAGACAAAAAATCACAGAAAGAGAAAGCAAAACGAAGCAGGACGAACCCCATGCACAAACTGACAAACTCAAACAAGAAAGCTTCTTCTTAAAATGACTAGCCTACTTACAAATGCAATGTTCTTGGGGATAGTGAAGAAATCATCGGTAGAGAAGAGTGGATTTTCTAATAGAAGATCCTGGATATTGCCTTTGAATTTTGAATGTCTGGGTCTAGGCTGAACAAACAATGTGATTTAAAAGATTTAAACTCCGTTGGTCAGAGTTACATTGTTTTTTAAACCTTAAAAATGAGATATCAATTATCTCTGTACCTGGTATTATGAGCATGATTATTACATATTCTTTGCAAGGATTGTAAATCTTTCTTAACATTTCCTCTTATTGTAAATTTTACATACACCTAGCATATTTCTTCAACAGAGACTGTGGTAGCAGTTTTGTATGGATTAATTATTACGTACTCTTAAAATAAATGCCTCTTTTTCTGTGAGAATAGACATCTCAAAATTATTCGTAAGTAATTACCAAGGCCTATATTAATACTGTAATTTCATAGAATAATTCATGTTTACAGTAGACTCCCTCTTATCTGGACTCCTCAGGACCAGTCCGGATAACGGGTTTTCCGGTAAAACTGACGTTCCCAAAAAGTCGTTAAAACGGATCATTTAAATGCAAACTGTATACTTGACTTGAATTTAGGAGAGCATTGTATTTAGACACGGGATCACTGGTCTCAAATCTTTCCAACGAGAAGAGTCGTTTCAGTACAACCCACTTCCTTCCGATCTAGTCCGGTTAAATCGATGTGCTGATAAAAATTTGTCCCGTTAAAGAGATGTAATTTCCGCCGAGTGTAGTCCGGTTAAAATGTGTCTGGATAAGAAGGAGTCTACTTTATTTGATATTTTACTAGCCTAATGTTCTTAACACATTTTATATGAGCCTTATTATTGTATTTATTTTTCTTGCAGATACGCCTGTTTTCTGGATTATGTTGACAAGATATCTGAGGGCGAAGGAGGGTTAGAAAATTTCACTCAAGGTTATAAATGGTTTGGGATACATATCAACTCAAATAATTCAGTCACATGCAGGGAATGGGCCCCAGGAGCAGAGGAGGTCTTTTTATTTGGAGACTTCAGTGAGTAAACCAATCATATCAATATAAATAACCCTGTTGCAGCAGACCTGTGTACATTTCCTCCGTGGTTTTTTTATGTGAATACAGCGAAACCTTGATTATTCGGCCCTTGATAATCTGGACCCTCTATTAATCCAGCTTGGATCTCATTCCCAAAATAATCCCACTTAGTCTTTATGTTTCCAGCGGTGGGGGTGTTATATATATATATATTAATTCAAGAATCACCCACTTCTTTGGGATTGACTTCTTGTTACTACACCCCAACAAACAATAGGCCAAAACACCTACCTTTTGTTGTGATAGGCCAAGTTTTTTTGTTTTTTTTTAGAAACCTCCAAATTCCCTAGTTTTACCTTGTTAATTTGTAGGGAATCCATTTGAAAAGGGGTTTCTCCATTGCATTTAAAATTCATATTTTAATGTATTAATGCAAGTGGAAGTATTATTTATACTAATTCAACTGATTATTCAAACCCTTGTTAATTGATAAAATAAAAATAAAATGCTGATTAAAATATACTATAAAGGCGGGTGTTCCTAGCTGCAGGGTATACGCCGCAGCGGGGTGCGGTTTTGAAGTTACGGAGTCTGCGGAGCACACAATACACAGTGATACGTATAAGAGTGTTTTCCTAGGAATTGTACGCCGCACCCCGTCAGCGGGGTTCAGACTGCAAGCCACGCTGTAGGTAGTAAAAAACCAACTGTTTCTATTGTTGCCTTTTGGATGTGTAATGTTGCGCTAAGGCTGTATGTTGGCTTCCTTTCTGAAGAAAAGTAACAACAGGCGACAAGTGAAAAACGATAAGGGCTGTCCAGAAAGTAAAAGTCGTTTTGGTCTAACAGAAGACAGGACTAGCATCCTCGTTTTATAGAACTTGTTTCTACTCTCAATATGTATCTAATTAAGTAAAGGACTAGCTTTAAGCATTGCATTTTTAAAGTTTATTTCATGGAACAGAAATCCTAAAGTTTATTATCACAACAATTGTAGTAATCGTCATCAGGAGGCCAAGTTCTTCTTTAAAAACAATCCACATGGCACGATTAATTCCCTTCTGGATTCTCTAAACATACAATATTTTTTACTTTTTGTTTATTTTTAACGTTAAAACATTGGTTATTTTCTGTGCAGCCCTGGCACTGTAGATTGGAATCCTTGTGCATTATCTGTTTCAGTTAATAACTAATGGAGAAATTTTGAAAAAAAAGAAATGTTAAGCATACGGTATGTAAGAAAATTCTGTCTGAAAAGGTTTGTTAAAAGATAATGATTATATTTTTCCGCTAGAAAAATTGTTTGGGTAACAATAAAAATAGGTTTTAACTATTAAAATGTGAAACCTTTTTAGATCTTAGTAAGTAAAAAATGTTTTTTTTCTGAGTTCAATATTCATAATTTTTTTATATTACTTTAGCATCCACGTATACTGAAGGTTTTATAATTACGGTTGAATCTTAAGCTCTTCACATCATAAAATAGGCTACAATGAATCAACACAAACTTTGCTCTTTAAAAAGTCTTAAAGTCAAATCTTTTAGCCTAAAGATTATTCATTACAATATACTTGAAAGAATAACAGCCAACTCAATAATCTGTGAGAGTTAAGTACACAGTTAGTATCCAATTATTTTAGTTGAAATTATTTATTGATTTAATTAGACATACATTTAGTAAAAAGCACACTAAAAAAAATCTTAATAATGTTTATATTGTAAATATTGTAGGCTACTAATTTGATTACCAATCAAAATGTAATTCAAGGACATCTTATATTAATGATCGGGTTTTTGTGTCAAAATGGGTCTTGGCCTCTGATAATTTCATGACTTATGAACTTAAACAGATTATGCGTTCTTAATATAGTCAAAATAAAATAAAAAACTTATTGCAGTCACTGAAAATAATTTAACTAAACTCTACCAGCAAATATTGAATTCTTGGTCTTTGACAATGTACTTTAATTTATCTTGTTCAAAAAGACTGTAATTATTGATACACTATAAATACCTAATTGCAAATTTTAACATTGGGGTTGTTAAGTTTTATGTTAACAAGAAGAACTCAAACAACCATAAAAAAAATAAATGCCTTCACAAATATATTGTTCATAATTTAATTTGACAAGGAACTGTACCTAAAGAACTAATACAAATTATAGATTTTCTTTTAAAAACAAACCGAACAACTTCATTTTTGAACAATTATTGTGTAGAAAATAATAAACAGGTGTTAGTACCTGCTGTGTAAATTTGTATGGTTAATAGAAACCAGGAGAAGATGAGAATGTAAAATAATATGAATGGTTAAAAAGTCATTGTGAGCTGAAACATGTGTTTTAATTTAACATAAAACTCTTGTGCTGAAATTGGGCCAGAGATCAGAAATCCCGTCTGATTACTCGCAAAAAAATGCAATTGGCGTAGAAAAACACCTAAATAGAAATTAAAGTCAGCCATTTCACAAACAATTTTAATTGGTGTGCTGTTTACAAATGCTGATTTAAAAAATTTCTGTCCTTGTTGGCTTTGTCAGTAAAGTGTTGTTTTCATTTACAATTGTTTTTAATAACTTCAGAGGTAAAATCTGGAAAGAAGTGTTACATACCGGTAACACTAAATATCGCTAATTCGTAAACATGGTAGGCCCTACAATTTGTCCTTTTATTTAGTTTTATTACCGTTGTTTTAGACAGTAATTCAATTTGTGTTATTAGGCCTATTATCAAATTGAATCAAATCAAAATAATTTATTGTTGAAGACATTTTACAATGCATTAACAATTGTTACGAAATAGATAATATTGTCATTAATACAGCAAATTAATTCTTACATGTAAAAAATACAATAATATCTAAAATTAAAAAATACTGGCACAATTAAATATAAATATATTAAAACCTGTAAAAAAATCCTCCACTGTAAAAATCTATTATATCTGTAGAATATTGTTTCAACCACCCAATCAAATTAAACACCATCGAGCATGGCTCTGTCCCCTGTTACTAAGGATGTCATATAAGTTTTGAAATTTACTGCAATAATTGTTATCTAATTTCAGATCAGTGGAATAAGTTTTCTCATCCTTATAAAAAGTTGGAATATGGAAAGTGGGAACTCCAAATTCCACCAAATGCGGATGGGTCATGCCCAGTCAATCACCTCTCTGAAGTTAAGGTACCGTATTTGAAATAATTTTGAGTTGAATAGTATTGGAAACTAATGTTTTATAATTGATTACTTTTTAGAAAGCATTTTTGAAATGATTACTTATTGTGTTCAACCCACTGTTTCCGTTTTAACTGTACAAAAACAGTCTGGAGGTAAAATGAATTAATAACTCAGTTCATTATAACCTAAACTTTACCTTCTTAATCAAGCGAATCCTCAGGATTGGGGTTTTATAGGGGGTCATATGGGGTAAAAATTAGGATTTCCAATGTTAAACTTTCAAAAAATTAAATTTCTTTTTAAAAATGACTTAGGAGGGCTCAAAAAATAAGTACTGTAATTTAGAATAACGGTGTTGAAATTTTTTGTTTGCTATTTAAAAAGTGAATAAATGTGAAATGTTTTAGTAAAAATCCATTCAAGCAAATAAACATTCCCTTAGTCTGCAGGTTTGCTGTGGCTGGGGTATTTTAGATATCCATAATTTTTTATTCACTTTATTTATTTTTAATTTCATTTCACATTTTATATTTGTTAATTTTGATTAATTATATGTCAATGAATTGTTTTTCATGTAGTTATATTGAATAAATAAAGCTAGATGAAATTGAAAATAAATTTATCTTTCCTACAGTCACCCGACAAAGTGACACCTGTGTTTTCCTTGCACAGATTATAGTATAGAAAGCCTTATTTTGGCACACAGTTTTACTTTGGCGCACACCAGTATTCCAACCAAACAACACAAAACAGCGTGATTTTATTATGCACATAATCCGTGTGCACATGAAAATAAGCTGGCAACACTACTTAAAGATATTACAATTGAAAGACTAATTATTTATATGATTTATAGTAACTGTAGGAAAAATATAATGTGTAAAATGAGCGCAAACTGTCTTTGCTGCAATCCAGAAACTTTCCACACACGCCTACGGCTCGTTAGTAAACATTTCTCTTGTATGCAGCAAAGTCCCACTTTGCCCACTAGTTACAGAAATAACAAACATATTGTAGCCTATATAGTGTGTAATGTCTTGTTAATTTTTTTTTAATCGGTTGTACTGCAACATATCTGGATATAGTATGAAGCCCAGATTAATGCTTTCAAGTTTGTATAGAGCCTAAAAGTTGATTAAATCCTAAATAAAAAGTTAAACAAAACATTATTTTCCCTACCCAGGTAAATGTTAAGCTCTCATGGCATATCTACTTGTGAACATAAATAATAACCCTCCAGGGGGCGCTTGCGGAGCTCAGCTCTTCTCGTTAAGATTTTGTCCAAAAAAACTATGTAATTGTCTCCAGCCGTGCCTGACTCTCTACTTGACACCTGACATTCCTGTATTTCCCTAAAACAATGTTTACACCCACTCTTCCCCTATAGGTTCAATTTGAGATGCGAGTTAGTGAGTGTGGTCAAGTCGGGGAGGTTTTCTCCACGTTCACCCTATCTAGATTTTTGTTAGATTTTGTACAAATTCGTTTACCCTACAGTACATATATCACAACACAATTTTTGATTATAAAATTTGTTTAAAGAATTTACAAACTTCCTAAAATGCTTATGATTATAATATTAGTACATGATTATTTGATTTTTAATTTTTTTTTTCTATTAACGTATACTTGCCTCATTGTAGATCAAATATCTGCATGCACTCCCATAACACCGATCTTAAAATTCACTAAGCTATTTAAAAACTCATCATGTTTTTTGAAATATTACTCTTAAATAGTTGTACAATTTACGATTCAAAAATGAATTGGTTCCTTATCACTTTAGTCAGAAGTTAACTGCAAAATTGATATAAAATAAATTTGTATAATTATGTGATGAGGGGAATTTGTATGATTATGTGCATGTGCCCTTTAACTTTTCAAACGTTTAGCGCCCGCTCGATTGTTAACAAGAAGAAAGCATAAATATTCCATTGAAACTCAAATATCTGCACTATCTAGGCTAGAAATAATGTAGCAAGAGATGTTAAAATACGTTTCTAAGACAAGAATTTCAGCCGATTATACTTTTTCTTCCTGTGTTCAACAAATCTTTCTCGATGTTAAAAACAGCCACATCGAAACAATACCTTTCAGTAACTTTGATGACTGTTATAAAACCTGTGCATGAGTCTTTTTGTAAAGCTATTCTAAGTGCAACCGGCTAGATACAAGCCGCTAGTCTGGTGGTCAATAATTTAGCCTAACCATGGGTATAGAGATCATATTTAGATAAAAATAGTAGCAAAATTTACATGAAACAAAACATATTTAAATAAACGGCAATTAACAAAAATACTTAAATCAACTGTGAGAAGTCTGGACATGTGATTCTTAGTTAATAACATCTTAAATAATGTAAACAATACAATTTGGATTTTAAAACAATATACTACCCGGACTCAAGGCAGAAGGTGTTGAGCCCCCAAAGATCACCCGCCACATCACTTCCACTATGATTTAGAGCAGTAGCTTTGTGTAGGTCAGAAGATCAAGCTATTTTACAATACTCATCCATCATACTCACAAAATATTTCTCAACACTTCAATCTTGATAACAGTGTTGGGGAAGCTACTTTTAAAATGTAGCTAGCTACAACTACTGCTACATTTCCAAAAAAGTAGCTTAGCTACAGCTACAGCTACAGTTCCGAAAAAGTAGCTAGCTACAACTACAACTACAATGAAATGTAGCTACAGCTACAATTTTAGCTACTTTTCCAAAGACGTTAATTTTTATTCCACGCACATTAGGTAAATGTAAAATAATTGCAACTACATTTGTATTGAACAAACATTTAAAAAAATGTTAGTATTGTATCTAACATTACTTGGAAAACAAATTATTCCTAGATTGTATTTAATTTGTTGGCATTATAAACCTAACATTACAACAACAGAACCAAATAGTTGGGTGTCCCATCATATTTACCGGTAATTATTTTTAAATATTGCATTATTTTTAAGCATCTTAAAATGTAATTTTCATTAAGTTCAAAGGACATACAACCAAACTATATTTTAAAAGCTAATTTTATTAATTTAATATAGATTCATTTATATATGTTTTATATCAACAATTAAGACCAATAAAACTGCAAAAAGATTATTTAAAAATACTTTTTGTGTTACAGAGCCTAGCCTACTGAAATTGGAGTTTATTGCCTTTTCTTTACTTTTAATGTTAAAAACAACATTGCTATAACTTTTAAAGTGATAAATTACTTATTCTACGAATAACACTTTTCAATGTCAAGAAATCATCCTTCATTGTCATTATGCATAGGGCAAATTGTGCTTCAATCTAGTTGGTAGAGAAAACAGTATTCAGTAACTTATCCTGAAATCGGCTTTTAATTTAAACATGATGAAATTTGTAAAGTAAAAATAACATGTAGGCCTACTTGGCTATGTAACAAGTTGGCTATAGTAGGCTTGTTCTTGCAAGGACTAAACAGATATATTCATAATAATTGAACTTTGTATTCGTCTTAAACCATAGCCTCAGTCCTATACAAGAGCTGTTAGCAGGAGCAAACTATGCTATTTTTTCAATGTAAGTTTCATGTTATATGGAGATTTTTTCATTACAATTATCATGTAGTCTAGGCATATCTTAAATCTCATCAGGTAATTTCCTCTTTGCTAATTTAGTAAACCTTTGAAAAATCTTCGTAATCTAACCAAGGAAGGGCTTGTGATGATAAACCACAATCAACAGCTGAAGCAAAGGTTGATAGACCAGCTTTCTCATTATTTCAAGGTGTGTTGGTTTCCATTAAACCCCAAGTTGAAGCATTATCGATATAATAAAGAAACTAAATTGATTAATAATTCCCCTGTCCTGTCAATCACTTGCAAGCATTCAATTCAATAGCTTCTCTTGTCACCGGTACCGTTTAAACGTCGTCTGCATCTAGCGATTTTATTTTATCTGACAGTAATCATAGAGTAGTAAATTAAGGAAATGAGAGCCAAAAATGTGGATAACACTCATTTAATGGCCTCTATGTCCACACAACGTTGTAATAGGGAATGAAACGGCTGCAACCAGCTGTTTGAAGCCAAGAAAGTAGGCCTAATTTTTTTGAAAATCTCAGTTTGAAAGAGGTTGTTTCACGTAAGGTTGAGGTTATGATAAAAATCACTATCTCAAACAAATGTTAATGTAGCGAGAAAAGTAGCTGAAATTCCGCTACAACTACTTTAAAAATGTAGCTAGCTACAGCTAAAGCTACAAAATTTTCAAAGTAGCGTAGCTACAGCTAACGCTACAAAAAAAGTAGCGCGCTACTGTAGCGTCGCTACTTGTAGCGCGCTACTTCCCAACACTGCTTGATAATCAAACCTACATCTTACCGTTACTACCAGACAATGTCCTCATCGTATAAATTACACAAAACGAAAAACAAATGTCTTAAAAAAATAAGAAGTTAACATTTATGTTTTGAAATTTTAGATCGTGAAATCATAACAAAATGAAAAAAAAGTTAAAAATTTGAGAAAATATAGGACTGAATAACTGAAAGAGGATCTCCATGGATTAGTTGGAGAATTGCAACCCTTGGCATTGAGGTGCTGCCCACAGCCTACGAGGGCTTGACTTACGATGAATCGCTCGCTCTCAGCTGTGGAATTAATTCAACTGACATTAACGAGGATGGTTCCCTAGGGTCTGTGGTTGTGGGTTGTTCATGGTCGGAGCTAGAAGAAGGTCTGTGGTCGGAAGGCCAAAACGCCAATCCAAACTGTTGTTTGATAGATGTTGCTGTTTGTCATATTAGTGACTCTAATCTCAACCCTCAGCATCAAATACTGAGCCTTAAGATCTGGTTGTCTGCGCAGTTGGCAATGTTTCCATCATTGATCCAATTAAAAGCCAAAGTCTGATGATAGGTTCCTCAAAAAGTTATTCCATATTTTATTTTATTTCCTAAGGTAAAACTGATATTTGCTCAGTTTATTTGTACAAGTCAGATTTAAAAGTGTGTTCCTCTGTTGTGTTGCAGTTGGTGATTCGCACCAAGAATGGTGATTTGGTAGAGAGACTATCTCCCTGGGCTACTTATGTGGTACCTCCTCCGCGCAGTGAAGGGTTCACTTACAAACAACGTATCTACCACCCCCCTCCGACACAAGTAAATATGACATATTATATAGGTAAAATTACCACTATGACCTAGAAATATGGTATTGAAAATCTATAAATACGCTCTACTATGGAATTAAATATTAATTTCTGTAACCATTATTAGGTCGTTGCAGTACAGTAGACTCCCTCTTATCCAGATACCTTTAAACTGGAGATTGGTTTAACCGGACTACACTCGGCGGAAATGACATCTCTTTAACCGGACAATTTTTATCAGCACATTGGTTAAACCGGACTAGATCGGCAGGAAGTGGGCGGTACTGAAACAGCTGTTCTCGTGGGAAAGATTTGAGACCAGTGATCACGTGTTTAAATGCAATGCTCTCCTAAATTTAAGCCAAATACTGATATACAGTATGCATTCAAGTGGTCCGTTTTAACAATTTTTTTGGGACGTCGGTTTAACCGGAAATCCCGCTATCCGGACTGGCCTCGATCCCGAGGAGTCCGGATGAGAGGGAGTCTACTGTACTGTATTTAAAAAAAGGTATTTTTTTATCCTAAAACTTAATTAATTCCCTTGTAGTACCTAAGAAAAATTTTATAGTATTATACATACCGGTAGTCTTTAAACTTTGAGTCTCCAAAATTTTCATTGATTTATGTGGCTGTTTTCATATATTTCCATATCTCATTATCATTATCATTTATTGAGATGGGGACGCCACCTAGGTGCGTATTTTAACCCAAATATGAGTGAAGGATGAGTGTAGAATGGTGTGTGATGACCTGTGTAGCTTTGTTACTGACTAAGATCAGCTGTTTCATTAGTCAGGATAATTTATTTAAGGCCCAATGATCAGGAACAGCTGGGTCCAGTTTCGAACCATCAAAAAGCTACTGACTTTTCTCAGGATCGAACTGGCGACCTTTTGATTACTAGGAGAGCACTATAACCACTCAGCTACCCAGCCAATTTACTCATAAAAACATAAAAATTGAAATTCTTTTAAAACAACTTATCAGTAAACACACACCCTCAGATGGCAAGTAAAAAGTAGCGAATTTCTAGATTTGAGGTGCAACTCACAGAAAAGTCACCAATCCTGTCTTTTTCATGGAAGCAGTATTGGGGCCAAAATAAATTTTACAGAAACGTCAGTTTTATTTTAATTTGTGATGAAATAAATAAACTTATTTTACTTAAATTTTTGACCAATTTACCAATGATTTGTTATGTTACAGAAATACATGTTTAAACACCCAAAGCCCAAACGTCCGGCGAGTCTGCGAATCTACGAGTGTCATGTGGGGATCGCTTCTTCTGAGGGCAGGGTCGGACAGTACAAAGAGTTTGCTCAGAATATCATTCCACGCATAAAGAAACAAGGTAACCTGTCATTATTTGATATAAATACAGCCAAATTTAGAGTTTGTGTTAGCAAGGTTTTACACATTTTAACAAATTTATAATCATTTCCTCTATTTTGGAAGAGGGGTTTTTTATATCTATTCAATCGCATACATAATTTCACATTCTGGAAAATTCTTAATTCCACTGCTTAATTTAACCATTTATTTCCAAAGTTTTAATCGTCATATCAATTTAAAGAATACAACAGGAGATTATTTTATGATAATATATTAATTTAATTTTTTTAAGCGAAAAAAAGCTGTTTTGACCTGAATGTTTGTCAGGTTTTGGACTTATAAAACCTAGAGTTGTTCTTGAATTTGTTATGGCTTATTGGACACCTGTAATTAATATGAAGTAGATTGGGGGTATTGGGGTAACCATACCTTTTATTGTTCTTGTTCTTGTTCTTATTGTTATTGTTCTTGTTGACAATAAGGTTAAATTTGCTCTTCTTTTAGGATACAACACTATTCAGCTGATGGCAATTATGGAACACGCATACTACGCCAGCTTTGGATATCAAGTGACTAGCTTCTTCGCTGCCTCCAGGTAAAATACGATAGAACCTTGGTGAATCAACAGAGTAACAAATTTACAGTCACAACAACAAAAATGTTATGAAAAACAGTATTTTGAAAAAATAATTATGTTTAAACACAGTAAACAGTAAACTGTATATTGTTAAAAAAACCATCAGATTCCAATACAGTAAATGCAATGGGAAGACAGTACAAAATAGTATATTACGTTACTAGTCCGGAAAATAAATGTTTACTGGACAAGTATAGTTTTTTATAGTTGTTCAGTACAGTAGTATTAGTATGTGATGAAATACTATTTGATTTATGATTAAGCAGGCGGCAAACAGCTGTTTTCCGGACTAAATCCTTGTGTAAAAAGTCCATTAAAACAGTGTAGTGTGGCAAAAAAATATTGATCAATTTATCAAGTAGCTTGAAAGTCATTACAATAGTGGATGTAATGACTTTCAAGCTACTTGATAAATTGATCAATATTTTTTCGCCACACTACACTGTTTTAATGGACTTTCAAAAATCATCACATCAAAATGTATTTTATTGGCATGGAATTTATTACGACATCAATGTGTGTTGTTGTCATTAGTCCTCTCCATTCTAAATACAAGAATATTCTAAGCAGCTTTCCCAAGATAAAAGCAAAGTGTTATCACAATAACCTCAACATTCTTTGACATATTTGTAGTAATAATTTCAAATTAAAATGGGTTTTGTATCAACTTTGAGTCAAAGTAGTTTAGTTTTACTCCTTTCTGGAGTGAGCAAGCCAAAATTAATTTTGTTCACAAAATGCTATGTGTATACAAAGCAAATATACTTTTGTGAAAGTTATATTCTCTGGAGAACTGTTAAATATATTAAGTGTTCCCAGGGCTCCCCACCTCAATGAATTATATACCCTATAAAGTGATTCTCCCTTTTAAACACCAGTACAGTTTTAAAAATTATTTATCATCATATAGATTTTTTTGATGGATCTTTTCAAGACAGGGGCCGTTCTCCTTGCATACAAGACCTTTTTACTGGATAGGTGAGCCTAAAGTTGTAAAAAAATACAAAAAAAGGGCTCAAAAGTATTTTTAAAAGTGCTATCACACAACAATTTCTACCCTTTAATATTTTTGTATGAAGCCGGTACGGCACACCAGATGAGCTCAAGGAGCTAGTAGACGTGGCTCATGCTCACGGCATCTACGTGCTACTCGATATGGTTCACTCCCACGCTTCCAAGAACGTACTCGATGGACTGAACCAGTTCGACGGTACTAACAGCTGCTACTTCCACGATGGAGCCCGTGGAGAACACTCTCTCTGGGACAGTCGCCTGTTTAACTACTCTGAGTAAGCTGTACAATTTTCAACACCCTTTCCAATAACTATAATTTTGTTTATTTATTTTTTAAGCAACAATATTTATGTACAATTATACACACAACAAGCCTTTATGTACAATTATAACTCGCCTTCAAATCAGAGTGGGATGTCATTTGATTCTGGACTCGGCTATCACTTGTCATTACTTAATCAATTAATTATCTATCGAACAAATTTTAGTGACAGGACCGGGGCTAATTGAATACAAATAAACTGTAGTAACTAAAATAAATCGAATAGTATAAACAAATAATGGTTATTACAACCTTGAAAACAATTTTTATGTTGTCACTAGTCAGTATAGGGCTTTAGATTTTTAATATAACTAAAAATTACTTCTTCAAGAAAACAAAAGTTTAGTTTTTATCATAAAATCCTTTAATTGTAAAAAAGCTTTGTATGATTAAATGTTTGTGGTTATTAAAAATAAAAATGAATGTTGCATATTTGATATGGTTTCTTTTAAAATAATATTGAATAAGTAGTGGTGTGTGAGCCATAGACTTTAAATCGTGCTGAGCTTGAGTCAAGCTCTTGTAAAAATGCTGTTGCCATCAACTTTTTTCGAGCTTAACTTGTGTTTATAATTAATCTATTGTAACTTGTAATCCAAACACAAGTAGATCCTTGATTAACTGGGGGCGGATCAACTGGCAGCAGATCAACCGTGGTCATTAGGTGGCTCTAAAATTATGTTACATAACCTTGAAAGAAAAATACCTAGACAATTGTATAAATTGTATTTCTTTAGTCTAATGTGTTGAAATACATTATTGTATATTTTATATTTAACTTTTTCTGCCCATTATTTAGATGCAGTAGGCTCCCACATTATTGTTTTTTAAACTTTTCAGTTCATTTACTCATTTGAGAAAAACAAAATAGAAGTATAACAAAGAAATATCGATCGGTAGCTTCAACCGTCTGTTCCTTACACATTTGTCTGCTCTGTGCTATGTCACAACAGTAGACGATATGACATAACGCTTGTGATTGGGTAATTAGTAAAGGCCCGTGTACACGTAGCTTGTTTACTAGCAGCTAATATTCGCTATTAGCGCTATCTGGGCACACTAGCGCAAAAATTTCCATCTACACATAGCTAGTTATTATCACTTATTATTAGCGCTAGTCATGTAGAAATGAAGTGTTCATTGGTCACAATTGTCATTTCAGTTCTGCACAAAATGTCTTCTGTTCCCTAAATTGTAATGTGTTGAGACAAATTATAAGAATTATTATTATATATTATATTATTATAATATGAATTGGTATACACGAGTTGTGTGAACATAAAATTTATAAAAAAGACAAACTGTTTGGGGTCGTCGAAAACAAAGGATTAAAAAACCGGTTTTGATTTAACTAAGTAGGGTAAGAGCTAGAGTTATTGGCACTACCATAGTTATTGGCACCTTTTTTTCAAAGCCTTGTACAACTCAATTCAAAAGTCTGTGGAAGAGGGGAGTTAGTTGCTGAGATGCCCACATGAGTTCTCTGTACTTAAGTGTGTGTTTGGTTATTTTAGAGGCCATGCTAACTTGCACATAAAATTGTGTTCAAAGGTTAAGCAGATTTGTATTGATTCTTCACATTTCCTTAAGAATCTGACAATGACTTGAAGACCTATTTATTGTTTCCTATTCAAACTGAATGTTAAAAATTACGTTTTCATCATTTCATTAGTATTAGGAAAGACTGATTTGACTATTCCCACCAACCTTGTACCCATATACTAAAGAAATACCCAATATATGAGGGTTACACCAACTGTGTCTGAAATATGTAGTGATTTGATTTAGTTATTGGCACTACCTTGGCACTACCAATAAGCTGTGGTTACTAGCATGCCAATAACTGTGGTAAATACCCTAATACCGATTGGCACTGTTAATTATTGTGGTTATTGGCATGCCAATGACTGGAGTCATTATACTGGTAACAGGGGTCACTACAAATAACAGTATATACTGTCATGGAAGTCCATAAGTTATTTTAATATGGCCAATATACTTGTATATACATATCTATACTTATTTAATACGCAAGCAGGATTTTTGTGACAATTACTCCTCCAAAACTACTGAACTGATTGACATGTTTTTGGTGTCATTGGAAAGAGCGTAGCAGAAAACTTTCTTTTTAGGTAAATTATTAGAGAGTGAGGCACTGGGGTCCTTTAGAGTTTCGGATTTCTCCATAAGATTAACATGGGAAACAAACATTGTTTTGAAACTCCAGCTGTTGTCAGAAATTAAATATTAATCATTGGTCTCCATGGAAGCATTAGAAAATTCACAATGTTTACATTTGCTTTGACATTTAAATGTAAACAACCAGAACTGTCAAATAACTATTTCACAATTTCAGACAGCTGATCTAAAAAATAAAACAAATATGTGGTAGGTTTATTTAATCTTAAACTTTATGATAGATTATTTATTATAAATCTTCTTCAATGATTATGAAAAAGATTTTTCCCGTTGATGCTCTACACCTTATTGTCTACAAATTTGCTAAATAACTTAGGTACGGTACGTTATAAAAGCTGACAGCCTTTTTACGTTGACTTAAATTGTAAGCTTACCTTTTCCCGTCAATGGGCAGTTTAATTGTTATAAATTAACTCTTTAAACTGGAATAGGACTGTTATGTAAATTGTGAGTATTTCCATTAGTTAATAATCTTTTAGTTGACTCTTTTAAAATCATCGGAAATTATGAATGTTATTAGTTTTTAAACAAGTTATTTGTTTATCTCCTGTACTTCTTTGCAATTGCTGATTTCGAGCAACATGTACACTAGTAAAGTTACAAAGCTTCAAATATTTAACTTACTTTTTACTATATTAAAAAAGGGTAAACCTAAAACCGATCCACCATATGTTAAACGCATAGAAATTCCGTCAAAAAGCCCTCAAAAAGCCCTACTCAGGATCAAATAAGTAACAAAGAGAAAAAAAACTACAGCGAGCAATTAGGATTGTGCTACAAGAGTAGTGACAATTTTTAAAACTATTTTGCTAGGCCTACAAATGGTGGAATGCGATCGTTGTAATAAAATATTTCATAGGACACAACATTTGGATAATTATTACTACGAACCAATACCAATTTATTAACGGCAATTTACAGTTATAAAAATAAATTGTTTTAATAAGTTTAACTGCATTTCTGACTAATGCAAACCATTTTGTAGCCCAAAAAGAGTCCGGTTCCAATTGATTTGTATTGGCAGGACTCCGATTTTGTTAACCCAATCCATTTTTAAATGCAATGAAACAGTGTTTGTTTTTGACAGGCATGAAGTTCTGCGTTTCCTTCTCTCAAACCTTCGATGGTACATTGACGAATATGGATTTGATGGATTCAGGTAAGCACTTACAATAGAAAATCCTTCATTTGTTTATTAAAAAGAAATCAGAATCATGTTTTTCTTAGTCCTGAGTTACATTTTATTCTGCCCATGTTGATGTTGCGTTAGGGGGAAAAAGGTGCACTTGAGTTTGAACTTATTTCTCTGAGATCTAAATATCTCTGAGATGAATCATCTGATGGTGTTGACACAAAAATCAAATTGAAGCTGTGATTTTTAAAGACAGCAAAAGTTGTTTTCAACCTACTTTCTAAAAAGTTTTACAATAGGATGAGATAGTGTTATATATGTAACAGACAAAAAATTCCCGAAATGAATTTCTGTAGACATTTAGCGCGATTGTCAGCGATAAATTCGCCTTGCAGTAGTTAGGTAGTGGGGGTATAGCTGATGAGCCGTAGTTCAGCATTGGTAAGCGCTTTTTGTGTACCTGCAAGTATACATTGCCGGTTACTGTCAGTCGTTTACCTGCATTGAAATGCAGAAATACAGCATTTTTGTTTTGCTTAAAAACCACCTAGTGAGACTCTTGAGTTGTTAATTCAAGGTTATGGAGAAGAGGCGATGAAGAAAAGTCAAGTTTATGAGTGGCAAAAATGGTTTTGTGAAGGCCATGAAAGCATTGACAATGACCCTCGTAAAAAACGTCCTTCAACTTCAGTCAATGACAATCATTCAGCGACAAACAAAAAAGCGTGAAAATCCTAAATTAACAATCGATGAAATTGCATTTGAGGTACGTTTATCTCATGGAAGTGTTCACACCATCCTTCATGATCATTTGAACATGCATCGAATTTGTTTGTGAATGGTTCCAAAAATGCTGTCTCCTGAGTACAAAGAAATTCAAATATTAATGGCTGGTGAATTCATTGATACGGTCGATGCAAGTCCAATTTTTTTGAATGAAATTGTGACTGGTGACGAAACATGGTGTTATCTTTATGACCCTTGTAACAGGCCACATGTGTAGGGGGGGGGGGGGTAAAATAATGGTTAAACCACGAAACTTAAACAGCCAGATGTTGGCTGTTGGAGAAGCCTAGTTGCACCACTAAACTGACATCATACCTAACCTCTAAATCCAAGACCGCAGACGATGTCAGTGTCAGTTGTTTGTCTGGTTGTTTGACTATGTTTGGGGCAGGCTACGGGAGAAAATAAGGCGGCGGAGCCATCTTTTGAGTGTTACGCGGCTGTAAAGCTGTTTGAAGCTGTCATGCGCCTGCCTTCCCTGGCACGGGTCTCAGCTGACTTCGGTTCTGCTGGCCAATGAGGGAGCGAGTTAACCTTTGTCTCAAATTTGGACGAAAGTGAAGTGGGAAGAAAGAAGAATAGTCATTCTGATGCCCAAGGTTTCGCTGGTTCGTCTTCGTTTTCATTTTTGAAGTGATTGTTTCTTCGTCTTTTCGTTTCGATAAATTCGCGCAAGTTACGTTTTTGCAAGCTCTGAAAGCTTAAGTTCGAATTTATAGTTTTGTAGTGAACGTGTGCAGGAACATAGTTTGTTATAATTTTGTCATCTGGTGAGTTTCGTAATTAACTTCTCAGGTTCTCGTATATTACTCGACCAGTTTTCGTGAACGAAACTTGGTTGAACTTGCAGGCTAGGCCTGATTCGCAGACCTAGTCATACGCCTTAACCAACAAATTGAGTAAAGTCTAACAGTTGGTGACATATCCATTCAATTAACGTTTCATAATCTGTATTAGGACTTTTTTTGTTAAATTCTTAAACACTTTTTCTTAAAGTTAAAGACCCTAAGTTTGCCCCATCAGTCAGGTTTCTGCTGGACAAGTTTTGTCGAAGTTGGTTCAAGTTGAACACGTGAGAAAGTAGAAGTTTTAGTTTTCGTTTTAAGGTCGATTCACACATATCAGTTCAGTCACAGTTCCGTTACAGTCCAGTTACAGTTCAGTCTCAGTTACATCCGCAATTTCTCAGTCAATAGTCCTTCAGTTGGTTTCAGTCAGTCTTCCGGCTCTAAAATTCACAGTAATTTACAGTCAAAAGTTTTAAATTATAAACCTATATTCTATCAAATTTTCATTGTCCATCTTGTTGATTGTTACAAACAGTACTCAAAACATAAACACAACCATTTAAACATAAACACTATTTTCATTTTCTAACCTTAAACAAGTCCGTCAGGCGTCCGAACAATCCGAAAGTATCGGTGGAAAGAAATCTGAAATTAACTGACGGATGCCGTTAGAGCGACTGACGGGACTGCAACGGATAAGTGTAGATAGCGCAATAGAAAATCCAAATCCATTAAAGAATATTTTTGTTAACTGTGACGTGCCTGAAGTGACTGGACTGAGACGTTCCGTAACTGATGTGTGTGAATCGACCTTTAAGCTCAAGGTGCAGTTTTTTTTTTTTTTTTTTAGTTTCAGTTGTTTCGTTTCGTTTCTTACCTGGACAACTTGAGCCAACTTGTATTTTTTGTTCGTTTAATAAATTCGGACTCTGGGAATTAGGCTTGGCTAGGCCTATCTTATACTAACCTCTGTTTCAGGTTAACGCCTTAACTCCGTAGGTAAGCGGGGTGACTACGTAGTTTACTAGTTGTCTAGTCAAAATTAGAGTCTAGTCAAAATTACCAGTTTCCCCACAAGCCCCCTGACTAGACTGGTGATATTAAGTTTGGTGTTTGGTAACCCGCTACGTTCGTCTCGAGCTCTGATAACCAGGGCTATCAAATTTAGGCTATCCTAATAACTATCGACTCCTGGGAAAATCCCCGCGACCAGACTTGTGCGATTCCTGGGACTTCGCTTATCGTATAGGTGGCGTAATTTCCCACGTGTCGCCCTCAGGAAAATTACGTCACACCCTCTACCAAGTTTGTGCCAGTTTGTGGTAAACAACCAACAAAGTAGACTTGCAGGTACACGAAAAGTACTTACCAATGCTGCACTACGGCTTGTCAGCTATATCCCCACTACCGAAATGCCTTCCCCAAGAGTCGTACTAACTACTGCAAGACAAATTTCCCACTGGTAATCGTGCTAAATGTCTACAGAAATTCATTCTAGGAATTTTTTGACTGTAGTAGTATACAGTATACATATTTTGTGACAAGCTCGCTGACATCAACCCTTTCCATAAAGGTCTTATAAGTAAGTCTTAGTGATTTTTGATTGCTATTTCAATGAAAACCAAATTAAATAAAACTATTACTTTCTTTAAACTTTTAGAGTAAAAGCTATTTGTTAGGCTGCACTTTTGGTTTTTTAGTGTGTTTTTACTTAATATTTGTATTTATCTATTCTTCCTCCCATGACCAAACTCAACAGCAGTAAACAGCTGATATAAGCCGTCTCACGTACAATGGTTGTGTTACAGGTTTGATGGAGTGACGTCCATGCTGTACCACTCTAGAGGAATCGGTCAGGGGTTCAGCGGACATTATGATGAATATTTCGGTCTCAACGTAGACACGGAAGCCATAGTTTATCTGATGCTGGCCAATCATGTGCTTCACAAGCTGAACCCTGAGTTGACCACCATTGCTGAGGTAGGAAATCACACTTTCGCTTGACAACTCGTACATTAATGACCACTGTTGTTGTGATAGAAAGCCTATCTGAATGGGAAAAGTCTATCATAGCGAAACTCAAACACTATTTTGGGTTTTACAATACCGTCTACCATGTAGTCCCTATGGTAACAACTATGTTACATGTTTCCACAGGATGCTAATGTCAAACACATCAGGCCAGGGAATACATTAATATAAAACACATAGAATAGCCAATGGTTATAAAAGCAAAATTATTGACAAATTAGTAATCCAACATAAAAATAAAAAAAAAAAACAGACCAATCCACCCACTCCTGGAAAACGTTTTGCTTCTGCTGATTATGGCTTCGTCCTCAATCATACATAAAAGAGGGAAATGGCAAAAAATAATGTCACAGTTTCATTTAGAGCAAACAACAAACTGAGCTCAATGTTGAAGGAAAATAATAATAAACAAAAAACTGGGAAGGAGGACAAAACTGGAGTTTACAAGCTCCAGTGTGATGACTGTGAAGGAAAAAATAAATATTACATAGGTAGGTTAAACATCTCGTTCATTTCATATAAGATATAAAGAACACATCCTGTCCAGTAAAAAATGAGATTCAAAATAAATATTTGCCAACCATCTAATAAATGAAAACCATAATTACACAAGTTTTGAGATGAATTTAAAAGTACCGCATCTCTGCCCAAGAAAAGGAAGTTTTTAAATAGCATGGAAGAGTTTGAAATCTATAAAGCCATCAAGTCAAGAGCCCCAAAAAGTTTTAAATGAACAAACATAATTTAAATCGAACATAATAAAGATGCAGCGATTCGCATCTACAATAATGAGAGGCAAAAATACCTCATTGTACGGCAATACGACATTGCCCCCTGATAATGGGAGGGGGCAGCAAGGTCAGCCACAACCCGTCATGACAAAACGTCTGCCCGTGCCGCGTTGTGTGTGGAACTAGTTCCCGAATTTATGTTAATCGTCTTCGTCTGTAAATATGTCTCGCGTTTTATTTATTTAAATGTTAGTGTTTTAGTGTGTTTATAAAACTTGACGATCTCTCAAGAGTGACAACAAAATCCTGATGATGAGGTTATAACCTTGAAACCGTTTAGGAACACAACAAATTTAGGATCACAGACGGAAACAGGTAATCTTATACAATTTTAATATTCAAAAAGTGATCCTGGACCAAAGAACATCAATATGACATTAATTGCGCTTGATTAGCACCGTTGATGGTTTAAATATGCATATACATCTAACACACAACTGATGTGTTTGACAATGGCATTCTGCCGAAACATGTAGCACGGCTGTGATCACTGGAACTTTATGATATGTGTTTAAAAAACCATCTAGTCAATATTTCAATTTCAGGGGCTTTTACAACGAATTTAATTAAACACAATCACTTTATAATATAAATACCTCGTCACAGCTCTGAAGTTTCTTTAGATTACAGCTGTTTCGGCATCAAAATGCCATCCTCAGATATACATACATCCACCTGAATTGGCGTCGTTAAACTGTACACATACACAAACACGATAAAAACACGTAAAACAAGAGACAGGCCTGTCGCGTACATGATTGCTACGAGTACGGAAGCTGACTGGACAACTGCTAGTTCGTTCCAGCTGTGGCGGTATTATCTGCTGGACTTTGATCCCTTGTCTGCCAAAGTCAAAGTCAAAGATTTTTATTGTCTTTAAACACATGTGTGCAATTGACAAAGTCACAAGCATATAATGTATGTAAAAGGCCGAAGGTCGAGCTGTCTTGTGTTACCCTTGAAAATAAGAATTGTGTCATCAACATAACGGTGATATTCCGTTATCTTGTTTTTTTGTTTGTTTAGGTCTGAAAGTATATATTTATTTTATTTTCAATATGGTTTAGATATACGTTGGCGAGTAAACTTGATAAGGGAGAGCCCATTGCCAGGCCATTTGGTTGACTGTAATATTTATCATTGAATTTGAAATAATTTTGTTTGAGTGCTTCTTTTAACAAAGTTAGTAGTTCGGTAATTGCTTCAGGTAATAAATTTGAATCTTTGTTCAGGTGGTCTTTGACTATGTCTAGAGTTTGGTCAACGGGAACATTAGTAAAGAAATTGACAATGTCAAATGAAACTAGTAAATCATTAGGGTTTACCTGTACATTTTTGGCTTTGTTAATAAAATCATAGGTGTTGATAAGGCTGTAACTATTATGTAGAACTATTTGTTGGCTTAATATAGATTCAAGTTTCTGAGCGAGTTTGTATATCGGGGCTGACGTGTAATCGACCAGTGGTCTTATTGGGGTGCCTTCCTTATGCACTTTAGGCAACCCTCGTAACATTGGTGCGTTGGGGTTCATTACACGAAGGCGTTTTATTTCTTTTTCGCTGAAAAGAACTTTGCTATTGTTTATAAGCTTCCTTATTGTCTTTTGATAATTGTTAGTAGGATCTTTTTTCAATTCTATTACACCATTACTCTGAATAAAATCATTTACTTTGGTATTATAATCATCTATGTACATTAATACTGCTGTATTGCCCTTATCAGCTTTGCATAACAAGGCGTTGTTTAAACATAACTTATCTTTGATACTAATTAGAGCTAATTCCTCCTTCTTATGTATGTTAACTGAGTGTGAGGTTGATTTTGCATTCTCATGTGTCCTATTTAATTTATTAGTTACTATCACACGAGCGGAGTTGCGGCTATCTTCATCTGGGATGGCTTTAATTGCACATTCAGCATTAATAAAGTCGTCAAACTGTGCTTTTTTGCCTACTTTGGGAAGGTTATATTTTAACCCTTTCTCTAACACGGAACCTTCATCAGTGTTAATACTATATCAGTGTTATTTATTAATCGAGGATAGAACTCAAAATCGTGTAAGATTGCTGTTTCTTTATGTTTTTGTTCGTTAATTAGCCTAGAAAACTTTTTTTGGAGAGTAGACTTTTTAGACTTCATAATTTTAGTGATAGAAAGTTTGATTTTATCCAACATATCTTCAAGAATAATCTTGTGCGTGCAGTTTGAGAACTCTAGGTATTTTCTTAGCATGAGCCTATTTAACATATCCTTCTTCCGATATAAAAACTTTATTTCATTTCTAATCCATAACTTTTCTGCCTGTTCTAAAGTTTTCTTAGCTGATAAGGATTTGTTTCTAACCTTTATTTGGACATAGTTAGGTTTTAATCCATAACGAAGGCAGTCCTTATTAAACTTTATGTTCTGAACCGTGTTGTGTAGTTTCAGTTTGATGTTCTTGTATTGTGTGGCTAATGTTGCTTGACTAGCGTATGAATCAATAGACATGGTTTAGCCCCTGAGCTGAATTGATGACTAATATAATATAAATACCTCGTCACAGCTCTGAAGTTTCTGTAGATTACAGCTGTTTCGGCATCAAAATGCCATCCTCAGATATACATACATCCACCTGAATTGGCGTCGTTAAACTTTACACATACACGAACACGATAAAAACACAAAAACACGTAAAACAAGAGACAGGCCTGTCGCGTACTGCTACGAGTACGGAAGCTGACTGGACAACTGCTAGTTCGTTCCAGCTGTGGCGGTATTATCTGCTGGACTTTGATCCCTTGTCTGTGGCTTGCTCCGTTTGATAATGTTATTAAAAATGGTGTGGGATTTAAATTGTAATTGATCATTTAGTATGGGCTCATTGTTGCTTTTTATTTTATGAGCTTTATAAATCTCGTATTCTTCAAGGGTATCTAATCTATTTCCATTAATACAGGCGTGTAGAATTTCTAAGCCGTTGTCCAAATCAAGTAAGTCGTGATTGTTATCAACCAGGTGTTGCGCGAACGTGGATTTCTGTTTGTCAGTTTTTCCGTTAGGGCGATGTTCTTTGTACCTAATGCTAAAGGATCGTCCTGTTTTTCCAATGTATGTACTCGGGCAACTAGCACATTTGATTTTATATACACCTGATTGGTCAGCTTTATTTTTATATATCTTAGGTTTTAACTTATTAATAACTTTATTGCTAGTTCTGAAAGCTAGTTTGATCCCATGCTTTTCCAACTCATTCTTTAGGCTGTGCTGTAGGTGGTGAGAATAATCTACGCAGACAAATTTTTTGTTTTGCGGGGTTAAGTTCTGATTTTGATTTTGTTTATTTTTGTATTTCTTTACTAAGTTGTCAACCATTTGAATATCATACCCATTAGATACGGCGATTTGCTGGATGATTTTCAGTTCTCTATTGTAGTTCTGTTCTGTCATTGGGACATGTAATAGGCGACATACCATACCAGGTGTTGCACGAACGTGGATTTCTGTTTGTCAGTTTTTCCGTTAGGGCGATGTTCTTTGTACCTAATGCTAAAGGACAGTTTACTAGATATTTAAATTACAATCACTCTGGTGTTTCAAAATAGTTTGAGATAATAAATAACTCTTCAGCGGCTGTTTGAAATTAACATTGGTCTTATGGTGGGCAAATCCAAGATGGCCGTTAGCTTCCATGGACTCTTAAATGTGGTACAGTGGCACTTATACAGCACACTAGGTAGCCTAGATTTTTAACTCTGAGAATTTCGTCAAATGATAACAAAACTATGAACCTTGCAGGATGTATCAGGCATGCCTGGTGTCTGTCGGCCGGTGGAGGAAGGTGGCGTAGGATTTGACTACCGTCTTGCGATGGCGATCCCAGACAAGTGGATCAAGCTGCTCAAGGAAACGTCCGATGAAGACTGGGAGATGGGGAACATCGTCCACACCCTCTCCAACCGTCGCTGGATGGAGAAGACTGTGGCGTATGCTGAATCTCATGACCAGGTCAGTTATGGTCGCCTAAATTTTATCCTCAGAGCAAAGCTGATGTCGTAGTAACCTGAGTGCTCTCAAGTTTTTTTGTGGGCGGAACTTTACCCCCCTTGATTTGGGAATCTGAGTCTAATTGAAAATAGTCAGAGCGTGATAAATTAGATTCGCAATAAAATCTGGAATTTTACCCCTACCCAACTTGGTGTCAGAAAACTAAAGATGTACAGCCTGAAATTTTACCTCGGAATTTTGCCCTCATAATTTCACCCCCTGAATTTCACCTCTGATCAGATATATAATTTAGTAAGAATCGTAAATTTTGTATGTAATGTGCTTTTTTTAGAGAAAGAATTTTAAACAGTCCACTAAAAGTTACTGCTGTTTATATATTGATGTCAAATACTCATCCTTTTTTACCAGATATTCTGTTGAATCCCCAACATCTCAAATTATTAAAAAATACAACAAAATTATACTTCCAGCATAGTCCATTATTGACTTTAAATTATTCGATATTTTGTTAAAATGGTGAAATAACATAATAAATAAAATTAGACATGTTAATTTAGAGTAACTCGAAATTAACAAGTAACATATGTCACAAGATAAAGCATACCAGTAAGTACAGTTTCGATATGTTATATTCCATTTTAAAATTTGTGTCATAGATTATGGAAATAAGTAAGATTCAATGACTGTTCTTGCATGTTTTTGGATTAGTCCTTGAAATACCTAGACAGAAGTTGAACTCCTAACCCAGACATAATAACATGAATATGTGACTAATCTACACTATTGTAAAAATGAGAATATTTCACTGGTTTAGTTGATATCTGTCTGTCTGGGTGGCTGTCACGACTAAAATACTAAACCAATACAGCCAAAATTAAACACAAGGACGGTCGTTATATATCTAGGAATGTCATAGGCATATTCACTTCTCTGAGTTCCTCTAGTTCTACGCCCTGTGTTACTATCGAGTAATTATTTGACATTATAATAAACAGGGGTAAGTAATATTTAACTCTTTAAAGACCTTTTTCTAAAAGACTCCCATTATTTACAAAATGAATGAGTTTTTTCCTGACCAAATTATATATCTGTTCTAGGATTCGTGCATTCTAAGATTTATAATTTGAATAGTTCTGATTCAATTCACTACAGTCAAAAGATATGTTTAACCTTTAATTTATTAAACTAATGTTGTGAAACTCAAAAGTTTGCGGACAGAATCTACCCCCATGGTTGTAACATCAGTTTTGCTCTGAGGGTAAAGTTCCAGGGGGATAAAGTTCTTCTACCCCGTCAGATAGTGTCATACTCTGCTTCTTTTTCTATCTCACTCTCTTTGTTATTTTAGGGTCACACATTAGAGAAAGTAAATATATAAAAATAAAAATATATTCAAAATATAGTAAAAAACATTGTAATTTCACTGATAAATACTTAAACATACTTCCGCAGGCACTGGTAGGAGACAAAACCCTAGCATTCTGGTTGATGGACAAGGAAATGTACACTCACATGTCTACCCTATCCGACCCTTCACCCATCATCGACCGAGGACTCGCTCTTCACAAACTCATCCGACTGATCACCCATGCTCTCGGAGGGGAAGGATGGCTTAACTTTATGGGTGAGATTCAGTAATCCTATTAGGCCCGAGGGCTTTAAGCTTTTTGCCTCGCCTTTATTGCAGTGCATGATTTTAGAAATGTACCTGTGGGGACCAAGACTGACCAGGAGCTAGGAAATATTCCACCATTTTCTCATTTCACCTCCCAGTCAATTGTACTAGCACAAGAAAAATCAGTTGCACAATATTTAGCATTAGTCTGTTAAAAGATTTTTCTCATGAATAGTTTTATATCTTAAAAATATAACTATAAGGAAAGATTAGTGGACTCCTCATGAATTGCAGACAGTCCTAATAAGCACGATTCAAGTACTCAATCTACCTCGTTGTGGAGTAAAGTGAACGCCTTAAAATGAACAGCCATCGATCATGGTCTACTGTAGGGACCCATTGCTCTTACGTAGTAGTTCTAAAATACATTTATTGTACATATTTCCCCACTGTTTTAATGGTGGTGAAAAAACAAAGAACCCAAGTAAAAATTGTATTTCCAAATTTGCAAGTACCTACCTATTTTGATATGTGTGTATATATATATAAATTTTATCATCGACTAAATCTGTTGGCTATTTCTCTTGAAGGTAATGAATTTGGACACCCAGAGTGGCTGGACTTTCCCCGAGCCGGCAACAACGACTCTTATCACTACGCAAGGAGACAATGGAACCTCGTTGATGATGAAATGCTAAAGTACAAGTTTCTCAATAATTTTGATGCAGCCATGAACAAGCTTGAGGAGAAATACGGTTGGCTCCACAAGGATCCTGTAAGTCTTTATTTTGAAATGTTTGCAGTTTGTGTGTGTTAGGCCTATGCAGGGCGTTATTTTAGTAATGCAATTCTAAAACGAAATAAGACCAACGATGAAAATATGTGTCTTGCCATATTAATGGATCTTTATTTATTCATCAGGGTTATGTTATTAGTGTTTAAACATTGTTTTGGGCATATGGGCATCATGGCACACACTTTCCAACAGCTTGTTATATCCAGCAAACATTACTAGCAACAAAAAACATTATTTATAAAAGAATAAAAACTGTAATGACATCTATTAAAAACTTTGGCATGGACAAATAAGAAAGCAGGTCTTAGGTACCAATGCAGATTCTGTGCAACGAATGTGGCTGAATTATTGTCCAGCTCTCTAGTCCAAAGATGGTTGTACCCAAATTCTTATCAAAGCCAACTAAGAGGCCAAAAAATGAAAAAGGGAAATTTATGGGTGTGGGCCAAAAGCCAAAGGCTGATTACCTGATAAGTGATACCCTGATAAGTGCAACAAAAGGCTAATAGCTACGGTAACTAGGGTTTGGTGTGTTGCCTTACCCCAATCCCCTACAAAGAAACTTTTAACTATATCTCATGATAAAATTTTCAGCCATTACTTTTAAATTTGTAAAAAAACAAACAAATAGCCTATAAAAATTAATATATCTTAATAATCTGACAACTCTGAAACCTTTGAGTTTAAAAATTTTTAAATCGTGATATCCTAATTATTAATTTTTACTATAACTAATTTATAATTATGTATCTATGACTAAACCAAAAAGACATCAGGGCTTCAACACCACGAAATGATAAAAACCCATGTTTGCTGTTTGTCAGGGCTTTGTAAGCTGGAAGCACGAAGAAGACAAAGTCGTTGTGTTTGAGCGTGCTGAACTATTGTTTGCCTTCAACTTTCATCCAACCAAGAGTTTCACAGACTACAGGCTAGGGGTGGATCTGCCTGGAGATTACAGAGCCGTGCTCAACTCTGACGATCCTCAGTTTGGGGGACACAACCGCATAGACACCTCTGTTGTCCATGTCTCCGACCCTGAGGGCTTTGCTTGGAGGAGAAACTACATTCAGGTAAACTATAAATCCTATAAACTCAATAACTAGTTATTGGTTATTGCAAACACATCTTGGGAATCAAGCTTTGCTCGCCAGAAAATAATCAGTACTCTACAAAGTTGTCAGTAGTATTCATCCCAAATTTTGTTGATCGGCGACCTGTAGGAGCATTTATCGGGCATGTAAGAGGAGTTTGCTTTCTAAGCGGCCGACCTATAGTACTATAGTGTTGTGAGGTGTTTAATTCGGGTAGGGTCACCTAGCCTAAACTTACCTCCGTTCGCTCGGACAGCTCGAGTAGTCCAGGGTTCTCATGCTAACAGTCTCCGTCGGGGACTGGGTCAGGGTACCAACGCTGCTGACTGAGGGGGAGGGGGGCGGAAAAGATATTTTTCCCAAAAATAGCTCTCAAAGTGTTCCGCCTGTCTGAGCATTTCGTCGATAGAGAATAAGTCGTGCCTCCTCATCGTCAACTTATATTCGGGTCTCATATTTGTATACAAAATATTCAGTTGTTCGTGGAGACTGAGGGTTCCCTTGTGCCGCATGAGAGTAGTTAAAGCCACAACAAAGTTTCTGAAAGCTTCGTTGTCACCTTGAGTCCGACGCCGAATTTCTTCGTATAGATTTCGCTGGTACCCCGGTGGTAGGTATTGCAGTTCGAAACTCGATCGGGATGACTCATAATTGTGCCATGAGCCTTTATGGTTTCGATACCACAGCAGCGCATTACCATGGAGTAGTTCTGGGAGTGCTCGTATTATATCGTTCTTATTAATTTCGTAGGCCTCCATAAGCTCTTCCAGGCATTCCAAGAAAGAAATGGGGTCTTTAGTGCCGTCAAAACGAACATTCCACTTTCAAACTAGATTACACAACGCAGATACGTCAACACCAACCTTGTGAACTACGTTAGGATTTTCATGACACGAAGGCAAACCACTACTGAATCCGTGATTCACGCTTGCCTGTGTAGGAATACCTAGTTGTTCGCTCGCAAACCCTCGGTATGGTCGCTGACCAGTACCGGACACCGTAGGTCGATGAATCGAATCTGTAGAGTGGGAAGTGTCGAAAGCATAGTTAACACCTGTTCTGGTTAATGTCCTATAAACTAACCCCTCAGAATTTTTAAAACGATCTGATTGCGTTATATTGACTGGATAATTACTAGCCTGATTGTTGGCCTTATCAGCGCGCATTGTTAGGCTTGATAAGGAACGACAAACGTCCTCAAAGTTGGTTCCTGGAGGCAAACCAACTATCTCCCGTACTCTGTCAAGTTCCGCACTTCGTATGTCACTGTCAGCCGGTCGTGAGTCGACATATCTCGTGTCGTTGCCGAGTGGAAGTGCAGACGCACCACGCATCCACGCTAACATTCACATCCTTACCGTACACTGCTCGGGGGAATGCCATGTTTCCAAAATTTACAAAATGATTTTCCAAGTTCGACGACTGTCCCCATATTAGCTAAACCGTATCGACTCATTTCGTAACGAAGTTCATCCTTGGTTAACGTGTGAAACCACCCAATTTGCGGGTCCTCCTCCTCCTCTTGAGCGGGTCATCCTCTGAGGGACTCTTAGACGTCAAGGTACGATCAGTTGTAGTAAGTAAACTTAAAGTCGATGGTACCGTTAACTGTGACGTAGTTGTAGCTACTTGAGACTGAGTAGCCTCTGCGGTCGTAGTGGGAAAATTTAAAGTCGATGGCACAGTTGATTGTGAAATAGTTTGTGCTACTTGAGCTTGTGAAGGCCTGGCAGTCGTAGTTGTAGTTGTCGCGGTCGATTCAGTCACCGCTCTGACCGTTTTAGGCGTAGTTTTCGCGTTAGCACTCGACCCTAGAACCATTTTTGATTTTTCTAATTTTCGACGAGGAATCACTAAGATAATCGAGTCTACCGTTCGGGCGCCAATTTGTGAGATACTTTGAATAATACGACAAATAACAGAGAGAAATCAGGTCCCTGTTCGGGGGCGCCACTTTGTGAGGTGTTTAATTCGGGTATGGTCACCTAGCCTAAGCTTACCTCCGTTCGCTCGGACAGCTCGAGTAATCCAGGGTTCTCACGCTAACAGTCTCCGTCGCTCGCTAACTGCTTCTCGGTCCTTGTAAATTTGCTATTGTGTCGATCTACCAGTACACGAGTACACCCTGTGTACGTCGGCACCTCGACGCACCGAACACTAATTACAGTTATAATGTGGTCTCAGCACAGTGATGCACTGACAAAGAACAGGTACATTCTAACTAATATGTGCCTAGGGATAAAAAGGCGAAATAGATTAGGAACTAAAATAGAGAGCTAGCTCCTAGGCTTAACGAAAGAAATCACTTCTAAATAAAACTAAAAATAACCTTCTCGCATTTAAAAAGAAAACGTCGTTAACTCGCGATAAGTAAACAATGAAATAAAATAGGTCTGGGCTTATAGGCCAATGCACTTCTTGGCTCTAGGGAAAACAAATAAAAACACTTAATAGGAAATAAAACAAAACCGCTTTGGATAACTGAACAAAAAGACGTAGGCTACTGCGACACTACACTCGCAGCGGCGGTCGATAAACTATAATATTCTAAGGTCTAAAATACCTAAAATAGCCTAATAAATAATAATGTAATTTATCTCGCCAAAGTGGGTACGATATAACGTATACGCTAGCTACACAGTGTACTTACGTAACACAATATTTCACGATTCGCATCGATGTTTCGCGCACGCCTTCGTCCAGATACTTTATTGGGTTGACACACAGCCTAAGGATGGTTGGTGTGCGCGAACCTCTCGCTCGCCGCAGACTGACTTATGGTCTCGAGAGAGGGTTGTGGGCGACACATACGCTCGCCGTCGACTGTCCAAGAAATTGTCCACTGTTCGGCGGTCTTGGCTAATCCCCACCACCGCTACGTCAGCGCTACGGGGTGGTGACGGCCGAGCCACGAACTAGGACACTTGACATGACATGCCTAGTGTTCGAGGCATTAAGATAATTAAAACGTACTCCTAACAAAATTTTACCATTACAGTGTTTTGTACTGTTTTATTTTGTTAATGCATTGGTATATTTAGCCTGTTTAAAAACATATGGTTCTTTTGGTTTCCTTCTTGTGGATTGTTATTATTACTCTACAACCAACACATAGTAACCTGTAAGGACTAAATCCACCTTTACATCTTTATGAACAGACACGTCAAATCTTTTATAAGCAGAACTTATTTATAGCTTACATTTAAAGGTATTCTTAGGACCAAGTCTTTTTAAACTTATCACTGATTAGTGATTATTTAATTAATCGTTTAACACGTTCGGTGCGGCCTATCAAATGGCAGGCGTAGCCCCAGTGCGGCACAGCCCACAGCCTCGAACAAACCCGATTGCCAGGGGAGAAGGGAGGGCTTTCAAATTTCGGTCTGACAAATAGCAAATAATGTGCGGTGATGTCCTGCTTAACGACGAGAGTCGACTTAGTTCGCTAAAACACCCACAGATAGCAGCACTGCTTGGAACGTAGCCGGTCCCATTGTATTGCCAATTGGAGGGAGAAAGACGGGACAACAAGTTGATTTTTAAGCTTGCCAGACGGAGATTTTACAGGGAAATGTACTACCAACCTATACCACAAGTCACACACAACACGCTAACGTGGTCCGCCTTTGACCAAAACCAAAAAGAGCAAAAACAAAGATATACGAAAGGCATTGCGGAGCGTATCCGAACGGTTACGGCAGCACCCCAACACCGCTCGGCCCGTATCCAATCGGATACACACGCAGTGAACGTGTTAAGCAAGCAAGCAGACCTTACTCATATTATAGTATGGATTACACCTAGTATATTAAAAAAAATAATTGATTTTTTGTAGCTTTATGGAATATTTCCCATTTACAATCCATGAATCGTAATATCACTGTAAATATGAATTTCCGACTTTAATCCAATACTACAAATATAACTGCTGTTTATTTAATTTGTTTGTCAGGCCATTGACGTATTTTAAGTTTTCTGTAAGGGAACGGTCCCAATCGTTTTCCTACAGGATGACGCCTTTGTAGATATGTACTTAGACACATAAGAATAGCTTTCTTTAGCATATCATGTGATATGTACTTATACCTTCCGGAAAAATTTGTGGCGGCTGAGGGATTAGGACGGTCGGGTGGTGTCCCAGCCCCTAAATCAGCCCTCGCTCGGCTGCTCTGTGTTTTGACCATGAGTCACCCACTAGGCTCAATGCACAGTTGGAAGAATTTTGTATATCACCATAAAGTGTAATAAATAACGCCAGTTTAACTGATTACTTGTTTTTTGAATACTTTTTACACTGCCTGGCTTAATACTTTGTTCTTATACTGAATGAAAGTAATTTTATGTTTTATGTTACAGGCTTACCTTCCATCCCGTGTTGTTGTGGTTTTCGCCAGGAATTAGTCCTCCAATGTCACACTGTGGTTATAGATGACACAGCAGTCAGTTTCTGGACCACTAAGGTTTTATTATCTTTGCTAGATTATATTAATTTTTCTTAAAGAAGACTGGTAACACATTACCAAAACGGGTAGATCAAAAAGATCAACAAGTCTGAAAAAATTCTCCATAGAATCGCATAATTAGTATATGACAAATATTAAATTTTTGAAAAGCTAGAGTAGAGAACATATTTTTATATACTTTACAATTGTTACTGAAGAGCATTTAACAACTAAGCCTTCCCATGAATTAAAATTTTGAAAATGTTGTTAATATTTTTCTTGTTTTGTTTTTACTATTGTTGTTTGTTTATTCATAGAGTATTTAGAATTCGTTGTTCATTTAACATTAGTATAACTATCATGAGAATGTTGAAAATATATAATGAATATTATTTGTTAGCCTTTTTAGTGTACTTTTATAGCCATGTAGATTCAAGTATATCTTTGTTGAGATTTGTTATGCTTTAAAATTATATTTTTGTTATGAAATTCTAGCTTTAGCTCAAAGTGTTCTTATAGATTTTTCTGATGTTATTCATGAAAGTTATGTGCCTTAAACATTTTTCAACCAATTTAAGACTGAGAGAAAACATGTACAATTTAAACAAGGTAATGTTACAAATATATACAATGTCCTTCTTATATTTAACATAATTATTACTACTTACATGTTTGTTTTCAAAAGTAAATTTTCCTGTTGCACAAAATGCCATGGTTAAAAAGGGTTTTTTAACCATAAGTTTACACACTGAGGACTAGTTTCAGGTTTCAGGGACTACCATTTTCATATATAAGGATTTTTGGTAATTCGTTTCCAAACCAATCCTTTATCAGTCATTATGTCTTTTCAAATTTTCCCTTACACTCAGCCAAGTAAAAATAAAACCTTAAAGAAATCTTAGAATTGTTTACAGATTTTCAAACAATTTATTTGTGGTTTTACTGTTTGTTTAGATTATTTGGCAGCTTGATTTACCTATCTAAGCTCACTGAATGTGTCTTTCATCCTCAGTGGGTTAAAATATAAATCATTGAATATTTCATGATAATTGTTAGTTATAACTTAGTGTAAACTTACACTGTTAAGTGTGGACACCTTGTCAACACACTGTATGTGATCAAATCATCTTGTCAGGGATTGATAGAAATTGACATTTTGATTGATGATTGAACTACTGAGAAGTTACCTCTTTTTTGGAATCGGCTGTGTTTTTCACCCTTACAAAATTTCATGAAACTTTAGTTTTGTAAGTTAGAGTACTCTTTTATTGATTTATCACCCAGAACTTTGATTATTTTCATGGCCGAAAATAACACTCTGGGGGTTTACGGTTACCTCAACAATAAAAAAATAAACATAAGAAATGCTCAGTGAACAAATAATACTCTAAGCTTATTTACTCAAAAGTTCCATTAAAGGAGGATTATTTTTCCTGAAAATTTGCTTTGTGAAATGGCAATTAGTCAATTTCTATCAAATCTATCTTTTCCGAAAAATTAACATTCTCATAAAGATTTAAGAAACTAGCTTTATAGTAGTTAATATGAATAGACTAGTTTGTTATACATTTGCAGCTTGTATTGCATGTGCCATATTATTCAATAAATAATTTTTATAAATTAATGGAGTTTATATTTTTTTACGGCAAGAACATTTCTCTCTTATATTATAAAATCTTCAATAGCATGAAACCGTTTTATCTACTTGAATTTGTAATTGCACTTATGCACTGGGAATAGCAAACCTTCATAAGAAGTTTACTTTCGCAAGAAGTCTTAAAATTGAATTTGTTATCTTTAACCACCAATTTCTTATCTATTACATGTTCAGTGGCAGAGCATATGGTGATGCGCTATGTATTTGCTGATGACAAAAATAAAATGCAAACGAAATAATAACATTATTGAAACGAAATTAAATTAATCAAAGAGTAAAACTAAAAATTATCCATTCAAAGAGCATGTGGAACAGGTGTAATTAGATTGTATAACTGTGCCCCACAGTCAAAACAACCCTTGGCCAGGGTATCATTCCCCTCCAATCTTCACTCGCTGCATTGGATATGTAGGTAATTTATTTGGTATTACGTATGTGGTGAGTGCACCAAAAGACTTTTTATAACCAGCTAGACTTAATGATTTGTTTTGGTTATGATAAGTTTGCTGTCATCATACTGTCCGGAAAACAACCGTTTTTCGTTTTCTAAATTGTCCGCAAAATCATTGTTTTCGGGTAACTTCAAATAGGGAACAGAAAAACATGGTCCTACATTTTTGCAGTTTGCTATCCTCAAAATTTGTTAATGGCACATTATAAATGTTGTTTACTATTTGAAACACACATTATGAAAGCACTGCTAATCATACGTTATTTTAAGTTATGTTTCTAAACAACGGAAATGTAAACATTGATGACAACTTTGTATAACCTCAAAATATGTGGTCTAATTTTGCAACGATTAGAAGGCTGTTTCCACGGTATGATAAAAAATAGTTGTTCATCACAGAGCGAAAGTGTCTCTTTGGTACTTAGTCGTTTTTCCTATTGCGTACCAGAAAGTGCTACTTTCGCTCCTAGTGATGAAATATACTATTTTGGTTTGTTTCCAACTAAATTTAAAACATTATAGCTTTGTAACTCATTGATATTACTGTTGATTGAATAATCATAAGCAGGAAATATTTGACACTTTAGCATATCTGTTTCTTAACTTTATTTGTATTTTCTAAAACATTTTATAGTTTCTCATCAGTACAACTGTGTAAATAAATACTATACAAAGTAAGAACGAAACTCAAACAATATAAACATTTCTACATGTATTTGCATAGGCTTAAACAATTGACTAACATGTGATCATTCAGTATTATAAGCTGACGGATTGTAAGCTCAAGCTGACGGATATTATCACATGTTATTACATATGAATGAATTTTTTTTTTGACGTTTCATTATTAGAATTGCAAAGTTAAATTTTATATTTATCATTAAATAAAACTGTATTTGTATTTTAATTTAGACTATACCTTTTCAAGACAAAACTAGAGACATTAGTCAAAATCTTACTTGTAAAATTAAGACATTTTGATTAAATAGTTACATGTCAATACAGTTACAACGTAATTATCACTTCTGAGTTTGTTAATGAAAAACGTCGATCAATAGTCTTTATACTGATTGGTTACTACAACTAACATTATAATAACCCGATATTCGGATTTGTATCTCAATAATAGGGAATGATTGCTTAGGGAAACAGAATTCAAAACAATCGAATGAGAAATAAAGGTATGTACTCATTAGGAAAGAGTAAAAACTACCATAAAAGTAACAAATTCCTAAGAAACCATAAATTTAAAAAATGTTATTAACACATTAAGTATTTATTACTTCCTTTTGTAAATGTATCTTAATTGAGTTTATAATATTTTAGCTGCACAAAACAATAAATTCCAACCATTATACCCAAGGCTATTTTTCTTTAAACATATTGTTCAAACTTTAAATAAATAATATAATGTGACAATGTAGGTAAGCCTAAATTTATTTGTATTGCACAATCATAACACATAACACCTTGCTGTAACCTTGCAGTATACAAACTTAACTTTGTAAAATGTGATGTAATTGAACTTTTCACTGTCAAAGAAGGTTGATAAGGATTTTTATGAATTACTGTCCAAGGATTTTATAGCTTAGTAAAAAAATGAAGCTAAACTTCAAATTGGATTTTTTGGGGGGTAAAGTTAATAAAATACTAAGTAATGATAATTATCCTTTGAGGCTTAACTTAGTAAATAATAGTAGTAAAACTTAGTAAAAAATTGAGGCTTAACATAGCACCTTACTTAAATTACTAGTTTTGACAACATTCCTGTCACATGGATAAAAGTTCTAATTGCACTATTATTTCCAAGGCTTCAGTAAAAATAATCAATACAACCTATTTATACAATTGTTAGAGATTCAAAATTGTTAAAATTAGCTGATCAAAAGGTAATGATTACTGATTAATCTTTAGTGATTTCCAACAACACATTACAGCCCTTTACTGCTGAGAAGCTAATACCCAAAACTATCAGATATATTCTGCAGTTGATTTCCCGCTGTCAAAGATGTCTTTGACTACCCAGACTTGTTTAATCAATTCATGAGGGAAACACTGATGTTACCGTAAATGCAAAGTTATGAAGAAGTTGGAATCAATTAACAAGGATTTATGAATACTGTTCGATAAAGATGAATCATATGATTAAAGAGGTAAATAACTTAAATTTAAAATTTCCAAAATTTATAAAAAATCACTTTAATAACTTTCAAGTTGTTCAATTTTTGAATTTGATTTAATATTGAAATTTGGATTCCTAATCAGTGTTTTATACAGTTGACTCTGAAACGCTTGTAAAATTTGGTTATAATATTTCCTTAAAGAGCTAATAATTATTACTGTATTGCCCTTTCATTCATACAAGTCCTAAGTCACATTTACACATACAAAAGTAATTCAAAATCTTAATTAAATGGCTAACTCATTGGCCATATCGAAAATTTATGTATTTTCTTATAGGTGTAGCAAAGGTTGCCTACCCTGGTCCAGTTATCATTAATCATCATATGTATTTATAATTATTATTTTCAAAATAAAAGAAAAACTACGATAATGTATCAATTATAAACAAAACAAGCTTATAGTTAATCAGCACCATGTCACCTTATACTTAGAAAAGCTAATGAATTAAATATACATAACATGTAATTATATACAATACCTAATCTAAACGATTCTTAAGTAGAATGTAATAATTTGAAACAAAAATACTGCTCGACTGGCCAAAAAGAAACTTAATTAATCTTTGTTGAACTTAACCTGATGAACTATATGTGGTGTTCAAATGTACAGGCAAGGATTACAAATAATAATACTTCATAATCATCCTTAGTGAACTGCTGAAGACTTTATTTTATAATCATGCCTGATGATGATTGTTCAGAAAGCTATACTCCGTTCACTTATTTAGGCAGTTTGAAGGGAAGATCTCCCCCTACTTTTTCTGCTTAATGTATGTGGCAGCTGATTATTTTTTTCACAAATCTCAGCTATTAAGCCATGTTTCAATAGTAGGATCAAGATGTGGAGGGGATAGATTTCTTCCCCTGAAACTGCCTAAATTTTTTGAACGGAGTATAGGTAACTTTGAAATTAATACGCCCAAATAGAACAATATATTTATAAATGATGCTCGTCAACTGATATAACAACAAATAGCGCACAATGGATAACTTACCGTAAAACATTTATTCAACATCCACTCTTTAAGAGTTAACGGACATTAACACAAATCAAAACAGTTTTCATATTTTAGAATTAAATCATTAAATCTACTTGAAAAATCCAAAGTCATAGTACAGGTTAAGTAAACGACAATTGTGAGGGTTTACCCTTAAATACACATTTTATACAACCTAGTGTTTATAATTACAGTTTTTGTAAATCAGCATGATAAGTATAATTAAGTTAGAGATCAGTTGTCAGTTCAAAGAAAAGAGTAAATAACACAAGTTTAAACATTTTTCTTTTTCTTTATCGTTACAATAAAAAATCAAAGGTGTCCTAAGCTCAGTTCCACGACTAGCACTCTTCATAGAGCCAAATACCATCCTTACTTCGTGTTTAAGATAATGTAAATGAAGAAATTGTATTGTCAGTTAGAGCACAATCGGCATTTAGCCTTAGTTCAGGCAAGGTTGAGTAATTTTTTTTATGAATTGGATTTCAAAGCTCCTTTTAATAATAGGGGTTTTATGAGTTAGCAGGTTATAGGCTAGTCAACCTTTGGTTTTCATTTTTTTTATAAAGTAAGTTTTATATAAAGGTTTTGAGTTTATTTCCTGGCTATGTCTTCACGTAGTAAACAAGAGCCAAAGTAAAGGCTGTGCCAACATTATATGGTTGTCATCAAAACATTTTTTCAGTTATTGATCAGCTGTTTGTGTTTTTATTAGCGTAAAATTAAACATGTATAGATCTGATAGAAGAAAGGCCATTTTCATAAAGTTTACTACAAAATGAATGTGGAACTGAGTATGGTTAAAACATATGTGGCATATTTCTTGGCAAACCATTTGAAATCTTTTATCTTGGGCAAGCATTTAATACTCGAGATTTAGAAAGATAAAAAGAATTTTAAAACTTTGGCTTTTCCTAGTATTAGGACATTTTCTTCATATGTAGCAAGATTTATTGCTGTTATAAGTTGATTCATACATATACTGTTATAAGTTCTGGAGGTTCTCATACCATATTAACGATAGCATTTGCTTTGACCATATAAATTAACACTGTACAAAAGTTATTTTATAAAAGTATTCATGTACATATATAAACAAGTTATCTGTCTTACAGCTGCAATAGGTACTGGCCTTATAATACTGCGGTTTGCACTGGCCAAATAATAAAGCTATCCTAACAAATATTACATATATACACTACTTTATTTTATATATATTTATACTGACCGAAGCAACGTAAAATTACTTAATCGATAAAAAAATTAACTAAATGTTACATAGTTTAAAGTACAATTTTTTTCTAAAGTAAATTGTTGTGAAGGTGGTTCAACACGCTTGGTAGTATCATAGAGTGACTGGAAATAACCCATTTTACTTACAACACACTAAAAAGGACCTTTTTCAACCACAAGAGTTGATAATAATTAAAGGAACATAAAATTAGAAAATATTATTTTTAGTAACATTAATGTTAAATGAATTAATGAACATAAATTATTGGTTATATGTCTGTAATAGAAATCCATCATCAATTAGTGTTAAAATGTAAACTTTTGGAGTTTAATTTTATTGTAAATTTTACTTATTTTTAAAACCATAAGTGTACAAATAAGGAGGATTAATACTGATTAAGTTGTTTTGTGAATGAAGTCTTTTTTACGTTATTGTTCTGCACCCACATTAATGTTGGCCATACTAGTAATTAATTGGGCAACACTATTTTAATTCTTAAGCTACCACCACTTTCTTATTTAATAAAGTGCATCCTTTTACACAAAACTAAAAACTTAAACCTTCTGGATGAACTTAAAACATAAAACCTTCTGGATGAACTTAAAAACATAAAACCTTCTGGATGAACTTAAAAACATAAAACCTTCTGGATGAACTTAAAAACATGAAACCTTCTGGATGAACTTAAAAACACGAAACCTTCTGGACCGGTCGGGACTTCCACTTGGTAGATATCCTGAAAAAAAAATCATTTTTATTGTTCACTTTCACTTATTATAACTATAATTTATGTTAAAAAATTCACTCCTGAGAAAAACGCTGTTTGAGGAATTATTTTACAATTTTACCACTCTAACTATGCTCAACAAAGCTATCAAAATAGTCTTGTAGTAGGTTGGTATGAGAGATTAGACCTAAACACAGCTGGCTTTAGGCAGGTGCAAAACGTGCGTCCGCACCTCAGGGGCCTCGCAATTGGTGTAAAAGACAACAAAATTTTTAAAAGTCTGTGAATTTTACATAAATTATGTAAATTATGAAAAAAGAAAAAGGGGAGTATAAATACTAATACTATTCATTGAAATTTTTTTAGTCATAATTGTTCTGATACTACTTTTTCAGTAATAAGGGCCCCGATCTGATTTTTTTTACTGGGGGTTGCACTAACCTAAGACGGCTCTGAACCTTAAGTACTTTGATCTTAAATTACTTATGATTTTCCTGAAATAGGTCTTAATAGAAATCTTCTGGCACTTGCTAATCACTGCTTAATTGGACAGGTCTAATTTAAAGGATTACAGTAGACTCCCTCTTATCCAGACTCCTTGGGACCGAGGCCAGTCCGGATAACGGGTTTTCCGGTTAAACCGACGTCACTAAAAACTCGTTAAAACGGGCCGTTTACTGTGATATTCGACTTAAATTTAGGAGAGCATTCTATTTGGACACGTGATCACTAATCTCAAATCTTTCCCACGAGAACAGTCGTTTCATTACCGCCCACTTCCTGCCGATCTAGTCCGGTTAAAGAGATGTCATTTCCGCCGAGTGTAGTCCGCTTAAACCGATGTCCGGTTAAAAGGTGTCCGGATAAGAGGGAGTCTACTGTACATTATTCTCCGACTGGGAAGGGCTGAGACAGGCAAATCATGCTGTATCCACTGAGGATTTCATGGGAAATGTCTACTTAAGATATCCTGAATATACTAGGATTGCTTTCAGAGAGGTGAAAGCCAAGTTGAGCGGAACAAACGTGATTTGATATTTGTATAAGTAACTAAATGTAAAAAAAGTCAAACTAATTCTTGTTTTATTGATTAAAATTAGAATAATTCAAATTTAGTTTTTTTACTACATCTTGTTATTTATTCAGATACCTCTTCCAAAAGTGGATTATGGTAGTTTTGACCAGGAAAATATTACAGTAGTTGGAATCTGATATTAACATGCAAAAAGGGCATTAAAGTATAAAAAAGAGAAAGGAAATATAACATTCAAATTCAACTGTAGCCTACAACAAAAACATTGGACTTAATTTTCACCCTTACAATCGGTTAATAGTATTTAAGTATAAAAAACAGTAACTTAACTATTAAAAAAACGAGTATCTAAGTATAAAAACAGGAGGGGAAATTTTACATTTAAATTCAACTGTGCAACAAACATTTGTCTTCATTTCAACCCTTGCAATCGGTTAAACTCAGCTTTCTTTGCTGGAAATAATTTATGATTGTTAATACCAAGTATTCTTGATGGAGGAGATGATTATAATGTAACAGGTATTTTCTTGTTTATTAAGATCGTAGCAATGGTTTAAAAACGTTTAAAAGAAAAGTCTAGAAAGTTCAGAAATACCTGATGATTTTCTTGTTTACATTTTTCTTGTTAATTCATAAAACTGTCATGGCTACTTTAGTCCTATAAGCCTAATGTTAAAAATTGGAAATTTTAAGTTCGTTTTAAATTGCATTAGCATTATCTAATTGAAATTTGTTTGTTTACAAACCATTTTACTATTAGTCTAAGTAATCTTGTTAAGTTTGGATGAAATGTGTTCAGCCGTTATTGAGTGATGGTGTTTGCATTGAAGTGATCCCAAAGAGCTTCGCTCGCTCCGTTCAATGACCAATTTATTATGGACTGGGACTCTCCAACTGAAATGTTACTAATATTTTTGGACTTTTCCAACGTTTCTTGTGTTCAAAACTACACAAAGTTTCTGGAGGTAGGTCAACTCCTCCCATTTATGAGTGAAATTACTAATTACAACATTAATCTGAACTAGACCTCAAAATGTAGGCCAGTCAAAAAATTGCTTCTTGAAAATAACTATTTACATTTAACACTAAACATTTCAGAGCCATCGCCATAATGAGCTTAAAAACTCTCCAACTGAGATCCAAACTCAAGCAACAGTAAATGAACAACAGGATCTAACCTCAGTGTCTCTTCATATGTAATGAAAGATGGTCAGATCTGGAGAACGATCTCTGGCAGAGATGACATTTGAAAGGTTTTTGTCCAGTGTGCTTGCGGAAATGTCTTGTCAGCTCGTCAGAACGTGCAAACTTCCAGGTACATCCTTCCCAAGAGCACCGGTAAGGCTTTTCACCTGGCAGACAAGAAAGATTACAAAATATTGTAATGCAAAACTTATCCTTCAAGTGGGCGAAGGCATTTTCTTCTGAGTGCAATTTATTTTTGACCAAACCACTAATGGGTGTCAGTAAATGTAACCTATAAATATAAATGTCAGTAACCAACCTTACTCTTAGAAATCTCCTTCTCCTCATATATATTTTCCCCCAATTATGCTCAAAACATTTTATGAAACGTAAAAGTCATGAGGGGAAAACTCTGCATTCCCTCATTCCATCATCAAAGGCATTTGTATGGTTTGCAAAAGGGTGTGTGCTTGGTTTTAAAAATCATAAATATCTATATTCATATACTTGTCATTAACTCTACAACCACATTTCAAGAGTGATAAAAGTTATTGAAATTAAATGTTGGATGTTATTGTACAAAGTTGTAGTCTATTAACTTACTGGAAAATTCCAAAACCCCATACACTTCAATCCCATGACTATTCTCGCTGGTTTAAAATCAAATCAAATCAAAATCAAATCATGTTTATTAGCACATGTTTATTAGTTTATCATGTTTATTAGTTTGTGAACTCAAGTGTACGGTATAGTGCCTTGCACATTCATGAAATGAAATATCATTTAAATAAGTTTTTTAATTATTTTTGAATGTCTGTCCCCTCATTTGATGAGCTATTATCGAAGATTAGAGTGCAAATACAAAAACAAGACACGTACATGAGACACTGTATTTATCCTCAAGAGATGCTAGCAGTGACGTTAAGGTAAGTTTTTGTTTTCTCTGGAATAAAGTACCATAATTAAAGCCTTCAAGAAAATCAATTATTTGTACGTGTGAGTATACATTCCTCCCCCAAATATGTTGGATACAAAACTTAACAGACTAAAAATAAAAACTAAATTAACTAAATAGCAAAACAAAACTAAATACACCACTTGGACACTGCCACTGCGCTAAAATAAAAAAAAAACCATAACCCTTGAGGGTTGAACCACGACTGAGGAGTGGGGGCAGGGGTAGGTCCGGCTGTTTCACCGGTATGTGTGTTCATCTCCATAAAGCACAATGCCCCGCTACCCGCTGGGCCGGCGAAACCACCGATCCGGCGGTCCGGCAAAGTAGAGAATATCCGGCAGTTTCGCCGGAGCATTTTCCCGCCGGACCGGCGGTTTCGCCGAACCGGAGAAGTGTGGCCTTCCCCATGCCTTCCTGTGTAACTCAACTTTCTCTGGCGTCCGGCGATTTCGCCGGTAAGTGTGTACCCGGCCTAGTCAGTAACAAAGCAACAAAGATAATCTCAGACAGTTCTACACCCATCCCCCACCCATTTTTGGGTAAAAATAAAAATACACACCTAGGTGGCGTCCCCATCTCAATTAATGGTGATAATAATAATGATAATGATACTTTTTTTAATCAGCTTCAAAATTGTGTCAGTTTTTTCTAACCAATTTACAATAAACTATAGTGGCAGCCTTTAACGATTACACAACACGTAACAGAAATAAACCTTTTTTTAATTGGAATTTTTGATATAGTAGGTTGTTACACTTGGATATACAGTACTAGTACATTATTGCAACTTTACACTTTTCAAGTATTTTCACCTCATGACAAAACAATCTCATTCAACAATCTTACAATCCTCATTTGGTATGTTTACAAAGTCAATTTGAAATGCAGTTTGAAAGATTTAGTAATACGGTTGTTACCTGTGTGGGTACGTTTGTGAGCCTTAAGATGAGAACTTTTAGTATAGACTTTATCACAGCCGGGTACATCACATCTGTGGATCTTCCTCCTCTGAAGACTATCTGAATATTCTGGAGGGCTCGAACTTGGGAAAAGTCTGTAAAAGATACCAAGTTACTCTTTCAATATGTTTGCTAAGGCCAATATTGTAAAAATTTTTGGATATGGTAAGATAATATTAACGACTACTGAAAAAGAAAAACAAGCTTCACAAAGAATATTTTACAGTATGCCTATCTGATGTTGGAGCAGTGCCGGATTTATCACTAGGCCGATTAGGCCGCAGACTATAGGGCTGCAGAGGTGGACAAAAAACATTTTTTCTGAACAAAAAAGATCATTATTTTTTGAAACCATCAGTTTGATATACCCATGATTGCGGCCTGCGGGAGATGTTCACGATTACGCCACGACCACGGGTGTCGATAATGATGTCCCCGTGATTGCGTTAGTCAAGTTTTAAGTTTAAAGAATTGTGATTTGAAAAATTGTCATGCAACCCATTTTTTTTATGATTTAAATCTATGTACCGTTATTAGTTTACTTTAAAAGCTATACAAAAAGTTCAAATAAACTTAAGAGTGTTTTTTTTTAAGTACAGTGTTAACAGTCAACACTCCTAGCTACTTAAGGGTTAAAACTTACTATTATAGTACCAAACTCTTTCAAGCTATCGTAGTGGAAGAAACATTCACGTATGTAAGAAGAGGAAACTATTTATCTGCCTTATAGGCTTTTTTGTTAGCTATCTCCAAACTCCAATGCTGAAATTAATTTTAGTTTTTTAAAAAGTGTAACCTATTTTCTTCCGAAGAAAGAGTGTTAAAAATTGTAAATATTGGTTAAAACAACCTTTTAGCACATACTAGTTTTCCTCACCATTTAAACAGACCTTACTGTATTATCTTTAATTTAAAAATAAGACTTTCTCACTACGTAGCAAATGCTTTGAAAATGTTTCCTGTTTAAAACTTTGTAGAAAACGTCATTTGACGGTACAGTAAAGAGTTATTTGTTTAGTCAGTTCTAGTGACTTACAATGAAGGTTCCTTGATCCTGTATGCTGAGGCACATCGAGGTAAGACGTCTTCCTTGGACGGAATCGGAGCTTCTGAAACAGAATATGATATCACTTTAGATTAGAATAACCCAAAGTCCAAGTAGGCCTATGGAAAAACAAACAAATACCAATGAGTTACAATTAAAGATGGTTCCAATGATTGCTAATGGTTATTTATCACCTGAATAGCATCTGAGCAAATGACGGTGCTTTAAGTTATAGCAATAGACTACACAGATAAATTGACATATACTATACATTTGACTATTAACTAGACATTTCCATCCCCATGTTTAAGTTTTAATAAAAATCGTCGTAGTTGATGTGAGCCAGCTGATTTCTGGACTAAATCCTTACGTGGGAAGTTCGTCAAAATAGTGTATAGTGGCGGTAAAGTGCATAACGTTACTTTTCCGTGTTTAGGCACGGTAAAGGGCATCTTTCCAGCCTATCAATACGGATGGAAAAGTACCTGCTTCTGTGTAGTATGATATTCAAACATCGATTTCTGAGATCTGACCATACCCTATGTGTATCAAAGGAGATACAATAATGTTTAAAACTAATATTTTTTAATCTACTCAAATGATATCACCCCAGCAAACTCAAATAATCCATGACAGTACAAAATGACTTTTTATTCATATAACAGACTAATAAACTCTAACTACACTAAGATATGAGCTGAAAAAAACGAAACTCTAGCTAGCCTGAATTTATGTGTGTGGGTTCGAAAATCTAGGGGGGAACATTGTATTTAGTGATTTTGACAATTGGAAATAACAGTACAGTACTTAGTTGCAAAAGTCAAAAGCCAAACGTAATCAATTCAGCGATGGTTTTGTACGTGTTCAAATGTTCGTACGGTATAAATTTATATTCAGACCAGTTAAGTTGTCAACGTAACTTGATTTCCGCTTGGTAATTATTGGAACACATAGTTCATCTCAGTCATCAGTGAAGTGCGTTTCCTGAAGTGCTGAAGTGCAATACCGACGATCAGTCGTAAACAACTGATAACTTAAACATTCCAGTGACAGTTGACAGTTGCAGAAATAATCTCCAGACAGCTGATGTTGTTTGATAAACCACGTCCTCTCCAAACTGATGATTTGTTATTTGAGGGACGACGCGACGCTACGTATGCAGTTCTAAGAAGAAAATGGCTCAATTGTTCTACAAAACTGCGTTAAACGTTCGTTAATCTGATTTAAAAAATAGGTTCTTGGGGGTATTGAACGTGAAAACAGTTAAAAACTTCATGTTTAATTTATTTCATGATAGTACAGTAATTTTATTTGTGAACTAACACCTTACCTTACCTCTATTTATAAGAACGGATTTAGACCTGTTGTGGAAAAGGCTTGCTGTGTATACACCAATATAAGGTAAGTTAAGAAGACTGTTTTAATATTCGGCGATGTATTTTTAACAAATTTCCCAGATAAGAAATATAAGCTATTACCGTCTGGTAAAACCTAGACCCGAGGCCGATTTCTTTTTCTTTTGTATGCCCTAGAGACCAAAACACCATTCGTTACAATTCATATGTGTGTGAGTGCGATAGCTCAAGTAAAAAAGATCCAATTTTCAAGAAATTTGGTACCAACTGTAAACATACGAGTTCGCGAACCAGCATGATCGAAGGAACGGGGTTTATCAGGGACTCCTCGCCATTGGTTGGTATAGAGATACATCTCATCAATTACGCAATATAAAGCATCAAATACGTAAGTTGAATTTTCTGAAACCCTAATTTCATACGAGACTTGACTCACTCTTGAATGGCATTAATATCCACCTCGGTGAGTAGGTCACAAAGGTAGTACTGTGGTGCTCCGTCTCCCTCATTTATTGCACAAAGTATTATTATCTTTTGTATATACTGTAGCAAGAAAACTAAACCGAAATGTAAAATATCCATTTGATAGTTTTATCTCAAACAGCATTGTGCAACGAGTAAACTAAATAAATCTTGTTAAATGATTTTGCAGCTTTAAATTCTCAAACTGTGGATGTGATTTAACAAGCTGTGCTATCAATCATAAAACACAACACATTATTGACTGGTGCGAATTATGAACTCCAGGACTGCCTCACTGGGAAAGATATGTCGAGGGTTTAAGGACAATGTTTTATAGAGTTCCCATTGTTTCCAAAAAAGATTAGTAATACTAGTACAATTCCATACATAAGCCATACTGTTACTTTTCAAAGTAAGGTGTTTTTCGTGTGTTGTTTTTTTAGACCCGCGCTTAAGTTAAGAGTTTTCAATTGTAGCTTAGTTTGTTCAGATGTTGTGCCCTAAAATTAAAATTGTCGACTAGTATACACAATGGACAAGGTTGGCCAACGTAAAGGTAATCATTATTGTGGCATCATGCCGTGTGATTTTTTCATATAAGGGTAAATAAGCGACATCGTTTTCAGATCAAAGAGAGAAAATTAAGAGATTTTCTTTAAGATCCCAACTTAATACAACTTCCTTTTCAATCCATGTGTGAAATTCCGTTTTTCGCATTTCGTTGGGATCTTGAATAAAGTCTTCCCTGGTAATTAAGTTATTTTGTTCGGTAGACTATGTCCTAAACATGTGGCTACAACCAACACATGTAAAACATTGTACGTAGGAACGAAGGCTTAGGTAAGAAGTTGAACTAGACCTATTCTTTTGTGGACACCCTGTATGGTAGCAGTTATCGAATTGAGGATACCCTCGGTAGCAGGGATGGGAGCGAGGCGACCGTTTTTGGGCGAGGATGAAGCAGTCGACCTCCATAACTAACAGAGGAAGACACCAAGGTCAGTACGCCCACAGGCACAGTATAGGTCAAGGAGTATGTCTTCCTCGCAGTGAGTAGCGAGTAGCGGGGGACATCGCAATTAGTAAAATATAAGTCGACAACAGCTGTGACTACAGCCGAAACCTACATTCGCGTACTTGCAGATGGATGCATTTACTATGAGAATGAAACAGTTTAATATGCAGTAGGGACAAAACCCTACGGTGATTAGTTTGAGTGAACAAAACTGTACAAGAGTTTCTGGACGTAAAATTGGATTGATTTACTTTCAAGGTTGTTACACGGTCATCTTAACTCTTAAAAATTAAATCCATAACTGTCACAATTACTCAAGTTTAATTTTAATACGGTTTAATGCGGTAGATAAATGCCGAGGTCGTATACAAAATCTTAAAATTTTGGTAAAACTAACGTCACTAAAAAACAGAGCTAAATTTAGAAATGAGGCGCAGTTTTTGCTGCTTACTTTGTTGTAGCATTTGTGGTCCAAATCGATTACAAAAAACTTATTAAGAAACAGAAAAAGAAATGAAAGTTTAAACAGTGAAACATCTCCAGGTTGTGGTAAAAACAATTGACCTTGAAAATGAATTGCGAAAATAAGATCCGCGAACGAAAAGTATAACGTGTACTTGACATAGTGTTGGTATTAAGTAAATTCACTACAAGACAAGAAATATGTGGTTCGTAAAGTTCATACACTATATAAATATAACGTGTATGTATAGCCTATTTGATGACGGCAGTGACACTGCAGACATATACTTGACGCCTTGCGTATATACAATTGATGACATCATGATTGTTGGAGAAAATACTCGGTGGTCTTGTGCACATATACTTGATGACATTGCAGACAAATACCTTGTATACATTTATTCGATGACGTCAGTGACGGGTCTTGTGTATGACATACATATACTCGGCAGTCTTGTGTAGGGCATACATATACTCGGCAGTCCTATGTAGGGCATACTCGGCAGTCTTGTGTAGGGTCTACATATACTCGGTAGTCTTGTGTAGTGTCTACATATACTCGATGACGTCAGTGACGGGTCTTGTGTAGGGCATACATATACTTGCCCTGTGTTGTGTGTGTTATATCTTGTCTGAGTTGTATGTCTTGTGCTGTGTAGGGCCTACATATACTCGATGACGTCAGTGACGGGTGTTGTGTAGGGCCTACATATACTCGATGACGTCAGTGACGTGTCTTGTGTAGGGCCTACATATACTCGGTATTCTTGTGTATTGCCTACATATACTCGATGACGTCAGTGACGGGTCTTGTGTTGGGCATACATATACTCGATAGTCTTGTGTAGGGCCTACATATACTCGATGACGTCAGTGACGGGTCTTGTGTAGGGCATACAATATACTCGGTAGTCTTGTGTAGGGCTTGCATATACTCGATGACGTCTCTAGTCGCTGGGTCGCTGGGCACAAGGCGTGACGGGGACCGCTCTCATATCGTGCTGTAGAGATGTTCCCACGGCTGTAGCTGCGTCGTGACCTGCATACCCTCTCTCTCCTCAGTCTCACTTCTTTGTGGAAACATCCTCGAACACACCCGAGCTTGGTCCACGCCCGCACACACCCACGCCTTCCCACGGCCCCGAGCCTCGCCCATCACCCTCACCCATCACCGTTCACCGTCTCACCGTGGCATGCATAGCACCGAGGGAAACACACACTACCTTAACAAGTTATGATAATTAATACTTCAGTGCACTAGGACCTCTGGTGACATCCTTGTCCTACATTTCCAACTGTGTTCATGTTTTTTTTTTGTTTTTTTTTTTTTGTGGGAGGTGTTAAATATTGCGGGTCTATTGAAAATACTCGGCAGCCTTCAGACCACCATTTTGGGGAATATTCATGCATGCATAGCGATGCAGAATTAACAGTTGCTATTGTCAATTGCATAATTAATTACTTGTAAGTTTCCATAAATATGTTATGAGATCTGTAGTTACGTGTGGTGAATAGTGACGTGATGCTTGACAAGCAAATTCTACGTGCAAACACCTTAGCGATCAATCAACACAGTTTAATGATTTCGGTGAACATACTGATGACCGTTGAATGATACTCTTAACTCGTGCTTCTCGGCAGCATGTCGTTTTCTGGAGCTACTGACGAAAAAGGTTACAACACTTCTATCGAGTATAGTATAAACTTGGTTTCACTTACTTTTATAAAATATTCAATTATGAATCAGCTGTGAGGTCTTTTTCTTTAAACTTAAGCTAAATCGTTCCAGAGATGGACAATAATGTGATGCGATCCTGAAGCTTAAATTCACATGTTCTAGGACAGACACAACGTTTGTATGATAGTATAGTATACCTATGAAGCCTCGAAGGGCTCCTTACCTCGCTTCAGGTGTATGGGGCTGTATATCGGCACTGTAAGCACCACTGCTGCCTCGGGGTTGGTCTTGACGCTCTTGATGCTCAAGTCTACTGGCTCGTTCTGAACTGGAGGTCCGGATGCCTACATACAAAGCAACGAGTTAAACTTCGGCAAAACTAGGCAGGAAAATATAAATTATAGGGCTACATATTCTGGGAAATGGTATTTTCACAGGTTCAAACCTTGCAAACGTTTTATACCGATAGTAATAGAGTAGTATTAAATTATTGTCTCAAAAAAGTATACTCCGTATTATATTAAAAAGTATACTCCGTATTATATTAAGTATGCTTTTTACGAATTGTAGGCATATACAAATAATTTGACTACCTATTTTAATGTCGATAATTCAAACCTGCATCAATTATTATTTTACTGCAAACTATCTCAAATAATATTGAGTAGAAATTAAATCTAGAGAGTTCAAAATGTAATCCAACATCCAAGGGGAAGCCAAACGAATGTGTTGTATCAGAACACCTCTCGTTTTGATGGAATTGAGTTAGTTCTTCCATCGCCGAAGTGAGGAGAAGAACTCCGTCCTAGCCAATAGCAAATTTAAAAGCCATTTCAGACATTGTTCTTGTAAGGACTTTTGTAAGGCTCAAACCTATAATTATACTCGAGTATGAAAGGTTTCTGCGACGAGGAGCACGCACTATGTTTGTCAATATACTTTGCTCACATTCAGAGTCACCAATCGTATGGAATTGTAGTGTGGGGATGTGACAGCAGTGTTAAAAAGTTACTGTTTCTGCAGAAGAAAGCGCTAAGTATATGTAAAGTAAAAAGATAAACTCATTGTAAACATTTGTTTAGAAAACTTGGTGTGCTAACTGTACCTTCATTATATTTACTGGATTCTTTGTTGTACATTAAAAAAAAACTAATAATATTCCTGCTAACAATTCAGTGCATTCATATTTTACCAGACGGAGCCATTTGATCAGAATCCACCAATGTAATTATCAGACTACCATTAAATCTACTTTTGAATTAGGTAAGAAAATCTTTAATTTGCTGCCACATAATGTAAAATGCTTAGATGATAAAAAATTCAAAGTGCATTTGAAATCTCTATTGATAGAATTAAGTGTGTATGATGTTGACGAATTTATCACTTATTTAAGCTATCCAGTCATGTAAATAGCAATTTATTGTAAAATATGACGATGCCATACGTCTGTTTTGTGTGTTTTTTTACGGCAATCAATGATATGATTTGTTAAATTTTGCCTATGATGTAAAGCAATCCATTGCCCAATTGTATTAAACTCGATCTATAAACAAGTAATCTCAACCAATAAGCTTTTATCCTTTATCCTCTTATGTATAAAAAAACACTGTGTTTGGAACTCTGGATATCTCTGCTACTTATTAGAAGTAGAATTGCAATGAACTGAGCATAAGTGTTCGTATTTTGGGCTTATGGAATGGTGAAAATAATGTTTAACAACTGCAAATATTTAGGTAAATAAGCCTAAATCCCGTATCGTATTGATTTAATAACTCATTGAAATAAATGTTGCTGAGCACTTTTGTTGGGAATTTCACGAAAAATTCTGACAATGTTTACGTATTCTATGGTACGTAATACACACACATCACTTAGAATTCTGCCTACCAAAACCTGCAGACTATAAGGATCTCAAGTTTCTCTATACACTTGTTATTCAAATATTTCTTACAGAGGAATAGAAGTGTTAACTAGCTATGGATCCAGATTAGAACAATACATATCAGAATGGCCCTAACCTCGCGAGCGGCTGTGGGCTCGTCCCCCAGAGGCGAGTAGGAAGAGCAGCCTTTGGAGTTTACCCCTTTCCATCGTCTGCTTGTGCTCTCAGGCTCATCCTAGAACAAAAATAATAAAATCTAAGAAACTTATTTGCTTCATTATCTATTTATTTATCCATAACACCGTTTTATACAAATAATTATTAATATTACGTGTACAATGTCAAGATGACGTGTGTTAAGTGTCAAGATGTCAAGACTGCTTAAGTTAGTTGAAAAACAAATTGAATGCTTGTGTGAATATTCGTATGGATACATAATTAAAATATTTGTCACTTGTAGAAGAGACTTTCAGTTCCAGCAAAGAACAGTGAAGTGTAGCCTATGGGGAATCAGTTCCAGCAAGGTACAGCGAGGTGTAGCCTATGGGGAATCAGTTCCAGCAAAGAACAGCGAGGTGTAGCCCTTGGAAAATCTGTTCCAGCAAGGTACCGTGAGGTGTAGCCTATGAGGAATCAGTTCCAGCAAGGTACGGTGAGGTGTTGCCTATGGGGAATCAGTTCCAGCAAGGTACCGTGAGGTGTAGCCTATGGGGAATCAGTTCCAGCAAGGTACGGTGAGGTGTAGCCTATGGGGAATCAGTTCCAGCAAGGTACCGTGAGGTGTAGCCTATGGAGAATCAGTTCCAGCAAGGTACCGTGAGGTGTAGCCTATGGAGAATCAGTTCCAGCAAGGTACCGTGAGGTGTAGCCTATGGAGAATCAGTTCCAGCAAGGTACCGTGAGGTGTAGCCTATGGGGAATCAGTTCCAGCAAGGTACGGTGAGGTGTAGCCTATGGGGAATCAGTTCCAGCAAGGTACGGTGAGGTGTAGCCTATGGGGAATCAGTTCCAGCAAGGTACGGTGAGGTGTAGCCTATGGAGAATCAGTTCCAGCAAGGTGATGTAGCGAAAGGAGTCCGTACCGAGGTTCCCACGATCGCCTGCCATACCGTGAAAGTGTTACGCAACTCGCCCATACGAAGAAGCACACGGAATAATTATTACATAAGGCGTGTTGAGATTCACCAGTCAAACCGGTTCTGCCGAGGTTCCCCCTTCGGCACCTGCGCCTGCGCCTCCCTTCTCCCGGGGATTGCGACACGGTCCATGTCCATCTTGACTCCGGGACCTTCACGACAACCACGCCTTGAACATCTTCACAGTCGCTCGGCATGGCTTTCGCCTTCGCCTCCGCCTCACCACACACGTTACCTTCCATCGAATTCAACTGAAATTATACATATACCCTTAGTTTGTTTGTGTCAATTAAACTTGAGTCTAAAAGGAACATCTCATGATAAGACTGTACCATTGATAAGGCCACAATTTTCTTTTATAAAAGGATGTTAATATTGATTTTAAAAGTTGCATTTGGTACATACTGTACTTACTATCCCCCAGTTTCATCCTAATAATAATCTTAAAGGAATCTTAATTATATATGTGTGAATTTTATGTTAATTCATTAAGTAAGAGTAACTTTTATATTCATGACACTAAACCTATCTTCGTCACATCTCTGATCTAAGTTTCCAAAGTTTACTGCAATCTGTCCATGACAATACTGTAAACCACGTCAAACTTTATATCGACCCGGTAATAATGCTGGCTGAACTGTATTTCGTAGATTGGGAAACAACAAGCTTGTACATTGCTTGTACAAGTTTTTAATAAGAAAACTCACAAAATAGATACTAATAGATTGGTCCGACTAAGAAGACCTTTTGGTTTATAATTATCAACCAGCAGTGTACAAAAATGGGCCTACTCCCGTACCACTACCCGATATATTTATCTATAAACAGATTGGTATCATACTAGAATTGGTTCCAGAGAGATTGCAGTTAAGAAGCATATTGATATGATTGTATAGATTGTATTTTTGTATTTGTTATAGTATTTATTTGTATACATATTAGATTATTAGTAGTAGTAGGTAGTTTGCGGTACTTCCTAAGGTCTCAAAAAATAAAGGCGGACAAAACGTATTTTTTTCTGGAATAGATCACGGAACGGAACTATTTTTTTTACCACAAAACCTTCATACTCACTACGTTTTTAATGATACTTATTACTTGTATGTTTCTGTTCAACGAAACTTCAATGCAATAACAGCACGCTTGAACAGAAAAATAAACACATCCTAAAATTCAAATGAACATTGCTGGGAATATCAGTATTGTATGAAACTTAACAATTTGCATCCATATCTAAGATCAAGCTATTAGCTATGAAGCTGTAATGAAATAAACTGATTATAAAAGTTACGTATAGAAAGGGAGAGGGGAGAGGAAGTTACATTATTCCCATCATCCAGCACCAGTTCCATTTCACTGCTACCACAAATTACCCGAAATTTAAGGTTCATTTTGTGAGCTCATAACGGTACGTTGAATTGGAACTCAGAGATGACTGTATTGTCAACTACTGACTAGGGGTATGGAATTTTCCCCAAAACAACGGGGATCGTATTCTTTTATTTATTATATAAATAAAGTGTTTGGCCCTTTGGGCGGCACAAGAAGCAATATACAATTTGCAATATACAATGCCTGTTGATTTTTTTGTTTCTTCGTTGTTTTACTTGGACTTCCTTTTGTGCCATCCATTTAGCTGTTTTCTGAGTTAGATTACTGAAGCAACTGCTTAGCTGTTAAGTTGTCTGTCACCCTAAAGTTGACTTGATGGATTTTGACTCGTTTGCACTTTGTTGGGAGATTTCAGTTTCTGTGAGGGGAGAAGGATTTTCATAGATACGTTGGAGCCTTATAGTCGTATTAAGTTCAAAAAATGTTCGTCTTCTTAATCATTGAAAATATTTAATTCGCAAATATAATAAGATAACTTTTGATGGTTGTGTTACTAATATTTAGATTGTACAGAGAGTTGTTTTGATGGCCAACCTCCTAAGTATCATTTTAAGTATCAATAAGACCTTCATCAAGAACTGGTAGTATTGGGTTTTATTCAAATTTGAAATAAAAACATCACCAATATTTTTGATTTTTTATTTTCATGAGGCATTTCGCCAGCTATGTTGGCATCATTAGACACATAAATATTTTTTCATATTTAACTAACCATAGGTTATATTTTAAAATTTATTATTGTAAACATAGACATAACCTTCAGTTTTTGTGATGTGTGTGGTAATGCCAGCATAGCTGGCAAAAGGCCATATTAAAATAAAAATTCAAAAATATAGGTGAAGTTTTTATTTTAAATTTAAAATATCAATACTATGTCTAAAAATAATTCCTACGTGTAAACTTTACTGAAAACAGTTGAGAAATCGAGATATGTGTTAATGTAGACTAATATAACAATAATCGGTTTTTATATCAGTGTTCAAGATGTATCCGAGTTTTTGTGACCTCGACTAGGCTCGACTTGGGCCCCCGGACAACTACCACCAATGCAGGTTCCTACGTCATGTTGACGTCAGAGATCCAGTCACGGACACTCAAGTTTCGTTGTCATACTGTTCTAAACTAACCTAACCTAACCAACCAAACTTGCTGTTACATTTCAAAATACGGTATGATATTCCCCACATGCCTTTTCTGTTATCAAACGGAATTACTCGAATTAAAATTACAATAACATAGCATCAAATTTTGCTAGGGGTAGTATTCCAGTCTCGGACACGGCTCCCGTATTGGTTAGTTGGCAAATTTCGTGACGTCACGTTTCACCTGGGATGGTAGTTTTTCCGGGGGATAGTATTCCGCATTTCCCTCGACTTGTCACAAAATCATGCCAGGTCGAGGTCGGTAGTAAAACAATAAGCTCAGCCGTGGAGGTATGAACCCATCAATGGCCAAGTATCCACTCTCATTACATTGCGAAGAGGCCAAAGAGGGCACATTTTTGTAAAAGTCACCGTGATTTGACAACTGAACCCACTGAAAGGTTGTACAGTACTTATATTTACTTAGGTTTTATCGCGAGAGGAGGAGCTGAAAAGGCATGTCGATTGTTCTACTCTTTACAACGATGTGTAGTGGTTCTAATATTTATTTTAATTATTTTTAAAATCAGTTTAAACTTTCAAAGATAAACTCATTAATCTCCAGGAAAGAACAATGAGGTGTAGCCCTTGGATAATCAGTTCCAGCAAGGCACAGCAAGGTGTAGCCTATAGGGAATCAGTTCCAGCAAGGCACAGCAAGGTGTAGCCTATAGGGAATCAGTTCCAGCAAGGCACAGCAAGGTGTAGCCTATAGGGAATCAGTTCCAGCAAGGCACAGCAAGTTGTAGCCTATAGGGAATCAGTTCCAGCAAGGCACAGCAAGGTGTAGCCTATAGGGGAATCAGTTCCAGCAAGGCACAGCAAGTTGTAGCCTATAGGGAATCAGTTCCAGCAAGGATTCAAATGCTCCAAATGTGGGTTGTTGACCGACGGATCCCAAAATATACATTCATGTTGTTAGGGGGTCTGGCCCGGGATTTCGGTCCAAGAGGTCCCGGGTTCAAATTCCGCCAAATCACCAATGGATATTATCACAGAAAACGTACTACTGATATTATCTAAGTGGTAATGCCGCAACCCCTAGGTCTAGCCTGAAGTAATGTGAAAAACAATCCCAGGCTCGTGCCTAGCGTAAACAAAAACTAAAAAAACTACGGTGTGTAAAACATCAAAATATCAAAGTTATGACAAACAACCCCAATTTTACCAGCAGCATATTTTACCTACACCTCACATCGGAAATACAACAAGTAGCCTACATTGTTCATCAATAAGTTTGGACAAAACACACTGGATGAATAAGCGAATATATCATATTCTATGCATCCACTATCGAAAGGTGGCAATTTAAATACCCGTAAATTAAAATAAAATACACGTAACTAAGTAGATACTATGATTCGTTTAGCGAAATACCTACGAAAATATCCAAAAAGAAACTGGTTTAGCGATGTGAAATTAGATAATTACTGTAAATAAGAGAGAGCGGGAGAGTTAGTGTGGATAACAATAGTGGATGGAGTAAGGAGCGAGTGTGGATGTGGAAGTGGATGTGTGGAAGTAGGGGCCGCATTCTTGGAGTGAGGCGTGGTGGGATGTGCTGA